GAGATTTGTGACTTTTGCTTCACTTGGAATGGGAGGATTCTCGTCCGCTGGCTATCTTGCAGCCGTTGTGGAATCAACAGCATCAATAACAACGTTAGTAAGGGCAAAACGTGGCGTGTCATTGGTGTCTTCTTTGCTGAGTGGCTGCCGTACCTTACCTTACGGCGATGTAGGTACGACTAAGGCACACCTAACCCATGTTGGTTTCTCTACGGTTACCGAGACAGACAGACGGAGAAGACGGCGACACAGAGACTGCGAGATGGAGTACCGAAGTATGGTACGTATCGGCGTTGCTACCGTCTCCAAACAGTCTACTGCGCGCCGGGCTGCGTCGCCAAACTGCACTAAGGAACGGTACGGCAACGGCGCAGTACTTTGCTTTCCACGCTTTTCCCAGCCACTTTTTGGTGTTTTCTGTTGTAGTCCGCATCTCCGCGCCAGTTTAGAGAGTACAGAGCTTGCAGACCAAACTGACAAGCCCCGGACGGACTGGAGTGAACTGGAGAGAGGGAGAGCGGGAGACGAATCGTCTCTCCCTGCTAATGTGATTCAGTCTTCAACGACACTGCTACTCGAGTTACGACTCAACCACAATTACACCGTCGCCTCGCTTGCTCTCTGAGTCGAGGCCAGTCCGTACTGTCCAGTCTAGTCAAGTGCAATCCCTTTGCTGCTCGCCCTGAGATCCCTCAGTCTACGTGACCTAGCCTCTCCATCGCATCACCGTTGCCTCTACTACTGTCGTTGTCGCTTCTGGCAACTGAGACGACTAGTGGTTCTTGCTGCTGCGCTGCATCGCAGAAACATCAACAATGACACACACAAAGGAAACAAGAACAAGTGGCGGCTACCTATCCGTACCTTACCTACCTTACTCTTCAATAAGGTACCTTCTTCATCGCTGCCCGGCGCAACGGTAATCGCAGCCGCAACCGCATCTCTAACCGCAACTGCACGTCGGCAAGCAAGTCCTCTTCTTTTTCCCTTCCTCGAGCAACACAAGACCAAGACCAAGGCCAGAAAGACCCTGGCGACTGTCTCTGCCAATTCTCGTGGAGGGTTTCGACTGCGACGCCTCGACGTTACCACAAACTCTACTTCCTGCAGTTGCCGCCCTTGCTGCTTCTTTTTTGCCGTGCGCTTCTCCTGCCAGACTCGTTGAGAATATGCAGTCGAATATCACATTTCCAACCTGATCAGTAAACCTTCGCCTTCACATTAACCATCACACATCTCAACCCTCGCTTGGCTGTGCCGTCGACATCTGGCTGGTCGCCCGTCCGTGTGTTGTGTACCTCCACCATACGTCTACACCTTGACACACACCTATTCTCTACGTCTTTCTACCTCACCGCACGACAACCTTGTTCGTCACTCTTTGGAACCCGGACCTGCTGAAGCTCTGAGATCTCGGCCCTCTCCGCATTTTCTCCCACCTTTCCGCTGTCCATCAACCTCTCCTCCGAAGAGAGAGGGGAGGGGAACACCCCCGACTTGTCCGTTCTCACAACGTGCGAAAGCCGGCCGTCATCAACGTCGTGGAAAAAGAAACGCCCTCACATCTCATCTTCAACACCGCTCGTCCTCACTCACAGACGCGCTCCTCAACCGTCACATTCAGCCCTGTTGCTTCTCCATCCAAACAACATCCCAACGCCCAGGGTCCCCGACCGAACCCGTCCTCGCCAAAGACTTTTTTTTTCTTTCGCTTTTTTTTGATCAGATCTCTGTTCTTTTTGCTTCTCTGCGACGTAAAGCAAACTTGTCCCCCCTCCCCTTCTCCTAATAACACAATACACCACGCAATTCCCAACGACACAATCTCGTCACGCACAGCCGACCCGAGGAGAATTCCCAAAGAGGCCCTTGCAACCGGCATACCTAGAGCGTCTCATCATCCTCTCTGTGCCACCTCGACCAGTCGCATCTGTACCTTGCTTCTTCGGTCGCTGCTTGGAGTTGCGTCTCTGGCTCCATTGGCCTACAGCTCGTCTCTGACCTCCGAGCCGTAATACTTACTCTCTTCACCCCTCCTCGTAACGAGCAGTCTCTCGACTTTTGTCTAATCTGTTCCTGCCTGGTGCGCGGTTCGTGCGTGCTTCTTGCTTCCTGGCAACGACATCAGAAGCAGCAGCAGCAGAAGCAGGGCAAAAGCAGGGCAAAAGCAGAAGCAGAGCACAGCCGGTTCTCATCACAGCTGCGGGTGTGTGTTTGTGCGCTTGCAGCTCGCTCGTCTCTCGCTCTCGCGAGTACGGATATACTCGTCAATATCTCACGATTCTCGAACCCAGACCGGAAGACACTCACAAGTCCGGCTTCCCCAATCATCACAACAGCTTCAAAGACTACTCCAGTGTCGTGTCCCGCTTGTCGTCTACGCTTGCCAATTGCAATTCCCCAGAGCTGCCAAAACAACACATAATATATTTATATCGGGGGCCATTCCGTTTCGAACTCCTGCGACCTGACGCACAGAACGCTACTCTCCGTTCTAAAGATCGCCACGCCCGCAGGAGCTAAATCCACCACCACCACCTTACCTGGGCCTGGCGTGTGGTCTCTGTCGTCTCTCTCCGTTGATCTAATCAATTTCTGTAGCAAGCCAGGCCGGCCCTACCTGGTCTGCCAGCGCTCGAGCGTTTCCCACACCTCAAGCCAGGGCCGTCGACGAAGGACGAGGGGGGGGTAGTCTACACTACTACCACTACGACGACGGGACCACGGTACGGTACATGCCAAAAGTCACTCGACCTTCTTCAGAGCACCTGACCCATCCCCTTCTCTTCTCTTTTCGTCCTGCACCATCAAAAATAAGAAACGTCTCTCAATCTGTATTCGTACTACCTTACCTCAGGTACCCAGAGACTGCACCTCACTCCACGCCTCCACAGCTCCCCTTATCCCCCTGCCCATAACCCATACCCATACTTGACCCTCCTTCAAGGGGCCCCTGGGACTAAGAAGCCTGCCCACTCCAGCAGAAGCAGAAAAGGCACTGGACCACTTCTTTTCGATGCTATATTGCTTGTCTCTTAAGGTATATACTCATCAGAGACGCCTCACGTCTTTTTTCTCATATAGCAACGCCTCCACGATAATCTTCTTTTTGGCTGGCACCGGGCGTCGTCACTCCTCTTCCCTTGTAGTATAACATAAACACTCAACGGCTCTCACACATACACGTTGTCGTTACACACATCATCAATCCCACGCCGTCGTTCACCTCATCTCAACTCTTACCACCTTGTTTCGTTTCTTCCAGCCAGGCAGGCTTTGCTGCGTTTGGACTCACAAACCACGTCTTTGTGCCGAGCATACCCTCATCCTCCCAACAACAGCTGCCAACGTGTAGCTCACCAGCTCCTACGGCTCTCACTCGCGTGTCCACCGTCATCAGTCATCCCCATCCTTCCATCACGATCTGGAAAAGTCGTTGGGCTCAAAATACACACGACTCACCACGACCACCGACACCAAGGTTTCTCCATCCCCGGCTCACCGTCGTCGACACCTGCAACATCCCGGCTTTCGCCCCAAGTAGCTTCATCGCCACGGCTCAACCAGCAGCACCGCCGCCCTAGAAGCTACCTACACGAGAAGAAGAAGCTCGAGAGCCTCAGACGTTCTTCCTGGTCTTCTTCCTTCGGCCCCCCACTTGGGTGATTCTCGCGGTCCGTCTCTCTAGACCAACTTCTTCCAGTGGATCCTATTCCCTTCGGAGAGCCATCAAGAGCTCTGTGCACTCTTCTGCGCGAGTCGTCGGATAGAGACGTGGAAAGAGTAGAAGCAAGGAAGCTGCCGGTAGAAGAGTCGAGTTTGGTTTGGTTTCTTGTCATCCAGACACACCCGGAGAGAAGAAGACAACCAACGAAGACGCCAGTCGTCCAAGATCCCGCTTGGTCTCCCGTACCTGAGCGCTCAGAGGTTCAACGATCGCATTGTTCCTGGTGGCCACCATTATGCTTCTAGTCTCGGAAACTTAACACACGCCGGCCCTCGACACTTGGACTTCGAAACAAAATACACGGCAAGCCAGCCCGAACTTGGTTCACCCTTCTTATCTCACCATCTGCCCGAAGAAGGGATTGTCCTGCAAACAACATCAGCACTTCCCACCAGTTTGCGCTCGACCACTCGCAACAGATCCTCCAGTCAGGTGGCTAATTTTCATCGAGAACGGAGAATTTTAGTGCCTGTGCACCAGGACCCTCTTACCGTCTGGTACGTTCACACTTGTGGCTGTCTTAAAGGAGCCTACTTTCCCACCCGCTATGAACCTCGTCCTGCACTCTGGCTACCATCAGTTCGTCGTACCTTGGGTTATTCTTGAGCTGATCGTTTCTACCAGCTTCACTCCCCTTCCTCTCTTTCTCTCCTTCACACACTCTCTCTCTACCTCTCTCTCTCACTCTAAAAGAGGAGTGTCAGCTTCTCCCGTCACCAGTCACCGCCACCGTGCCTGATCAATACCATACACCCCCCCAGCTCAGGCCTCCTCTTCTCTCATATCATCCGTCCATCTCCCTCCTTTTCTCAACCTCGACATCAACGTCTCGGACGCCTCCTCCTGCTCCTCGTCTTCCAAGCTTCAGCTTCAGCGCTTCGAACATTGCTCAACTTCGGCAACCTTGCGCTGGACGCCGCACCGTTCTTGTCTCAAGTCGTCGACCTCCTGTTTCTCGGCTCAGATTCTCCACACCTCGCACATCCTTCAAAGACCCGTCATTCCTTGAACGACGATTCGGGAGTCTGCAGACGGAGAACCCGCATTGAGCGTCCCGCTTAAGCAACATTCCGAACCGGGGTACCATATTACGCACATCAACCCACGCCACCCTTGCTTCTTCTGCTCCGGGAACCATACCAGGCCTGGCCTTCATCACCCGATAATTCAAGACATCCTTTAATATCCTCCGCCGCGGCACTATAAGTAGCACGACTACTGCACCGGTCCGCATCTTGGTAATTCGATCGACACCAGAAATAATCCCAAAGAGATGGAACTCATGGAACTCGTCGAGAACGAGCCTACCGCTCGCCCCTTCCAGTGCGACTGGCAGTCGTGCAACAAGGTGAGTTTCCAGATCTCGGGGGGGATCACTCGATCCCCTTCCCGTCTCGCCTGTCTGTGGGCGGAATCTAATCTTGACCTCTCGTAGAGCTTCAACAGGAAGTCCGACTTGCAAAGACACTACCGCATTCACACCAACGAGCGTCCCTACTCCTGCACGACACCTGGTTGTGGCAAGAGCTTCATCCAGCGAAGTGCGCTCACCGTTCACATCCGCACTCACACCGGAGAAAAGCCGCATCAATGTCAACACATCGGCTGCGGAAAGCGGTTCTCTGACGTATGGCACTCATCTTCTCATCTTCGGTGACATGTACTGACTTCAGCAGTCCTCGAGTTTGGCCAGACACCGCCGCATCCATACTGGCAAACGCCCGTATAAGTGCGCACACGATGGTTGCCTGAAGAGGTAGACTTCGAGTCCCCCTTTCCCTGGATTTGAAAGAGTTGACACTAATCAACTTCACAGCTTCTGCCGCAAGACCACCATGGTCAAGCACCAAAGGAGATCTCACCAGCGCGGCCTGCACCCCAACGAGCTCATGGACGACTGCACCTCGGACTCTGACAGCGGCGAGTCACCTTCGACCCCGAAGCACGCCGGTATGCAGTGGCCTCCTCAAGGCGTCATGGCCATGAACCACCCTGGCATGCACGGCGGCCACGCCATGCACCGAGCCGCGTCCTTCGCCGACTTCGGCCAGCACATGAACGGCTACCCCATGCAGCAGCAGCAGCAACCGCAGTACGGTGCTCACCGCCACAGCCTGTCTTCAGGTGGCGCCCACGAGTTCCACGGCCAGCCCGTACACGAGCAGCAACACCCCGGTGTGCAGATGCTGCACCGAACCGCGAGCATGCCCCAGCACTCGTACTACGTGACCGAGCAGAACAATCCGGGGGTCGCCACCATGAACACGAACCCCATGGCGAACCAGTACGGCCAAGTGCCTCGGCAGCAACAGCCGCAGGTCGATATCCCGTACTCAGCAGCTGGTATGAATCAGTCCATTCAGAGCAGCCCGAGCAGCTTCTCGGCGGCATCGGGTAGGAGCCCATCCATTCCCGGGGATTTTTACACTCACCAACCAACTCAAGCAGCAACGTACGCATTGCACAATGCCTCCCCCGTTATCGAGCAACAGCAGCAGCCGGGCATGGTCCCGTACCCGCAACAGATGCACCAGCAGATTCACACTCCCCAACCGATCCCGACCCAGGCGCCCCCGCCTCCGCCGCAGCAGCAGGTCTCGGCCTATGCCTCCCCGACGCCCCAAGGGCAGTCCGATGAGTACTGGAACAGCGTTCCGTACCAAGCACCGGTCGAGGTCGCCACCATCGGCCAGCTTCCGACGTACGGCTCCGGCGTCTACGACCCTTGGGGAGGACCCAAGATCGAGTTCGAGGACCCGTCGATGCAACTGCCCTCGGCGCGTATCGAGAACCTGTAGGCCACAACATCGTTCAACCGCGTCCGTCAACGCACACATCATCCCTTCCCTCCTGATATATAATCATCGTTTCCCAGCGGAGCTCGCTTAGGGCTTTCCGTTTGTACCACCACCCCGGAAAAGAATATGACGGCGATTTGATTTTTTTCATATTCCCCCACCTCGTTGAATTCAAGAGAAGGAGATACCACGCGGGCTCCACAGAACCGAGCTGTCGTCGACTGTTGAAAAGAGAGCGAACACCGGATGGTCTAATGGGCTCTTGCGGCCATCCTCACCCGTCGTCCGTGTCGGTTGACTCGACGGTAACTTACCGGAAAGAGAAAAAAAGGGACAGAAAAAGTCAATACTTCACCCCAAAAGCATTACGTTGGTGGTAATTTGTTTTTCTGGGTTTCAACATCTCACCCAGCACGCGGCCCTCGCCAAGGTCATCGGACGCGTCGCTCCGATTCCTCACCTCGATCGTCTCGCGGCTGTCTGCCTCAAGGCATGACTGTTTCCTTTGTCCCACAACATACGATTACCCTCCCGCATGTCGGAATTTGCGAGCATTTGCTTTTTTGCCGGTCTGGAATATATCATATGGAGGCTCGTTCTGCGTTTCGGATAATCATGTTATCGCTCACTTGGTGTCTCGGGTTTTTGGTGCTTGGTCATGTTTTCGGCGAGAAGGCTCGGGGAGCCCCGGCACTGGCGGCGGTTTATCCTGCTGTCCATTAATACTTTCATTTTCCACACCTTTTTTCATTTCTGTCTCTCTCTCTCATTTTTGTTGCCCACGGGGTCGGAGGTTTGACCACAGGCGTGCGTCGGCCGAAGCCTCGATGACATGACGTCACGAAAGCAAATTTGGAGCATAACAAACCGGAGCCAGGGGGGATGGGGCCCACGGAGGAGGAAAACAGGCATTACGATATCCGAATAACTTGGTTTATGACCTGAGCGGTGGAGGATGTATTTCATAATGGTGGATGAGAGAAGGAGGAAAGAACACGAAGGGGGGGGAAAGGGAACCTCACGAAGCGAAGCCGGATACACGAGAGGCTTTCGCTCGTGGGGGCTGGACAAAAACCAAGACCACCGGTTTCCCTTGTAACAACAGTACGAAGTCGACGATATTTCTTATCCGGCGGCGGCGCAAATCCCTAGACCAAAGCGGTTGTTCTTCTTTATACGGTTGGAAGAGAGAGAGAGAGACGCGGAGATCGGCGACGGACTCTCACTCTCGAGGGGGAGGGGCGCGAAAAGAAGCGGTGGCAAGAAGAGGTTTGGGGAAGATAGGAGCTCTCGGCTTGTCTATAACCTGTATTTTTAGTGTCGCCTGTTGTTTTTTTTTGGTCGGATTGTTTAGTTTGTTTTACTGCGCTGGGATATCGGCGTGGGCAAACGAGAAACCGTGGAATAGTTTTTGATACCCGTAGCTGGGAAAAACGAAAATAAAAATCTGTCAAATCATGATCTGCTCCTGTCGTTGAAGAGTGAGTTGGGAAGCCGTTGTGGGATTACCTCCAGAGTTCTGGCCTGGGCTTGTTCTTCTTAAGTTTGCTGGAAGCTGGAGGACGGAAAATTGGTGTGAGACGGGAAGGAGGGCCGCGTGATGTGTCCCTTTTGCCGAGTTTAGCCTGCTGCATCGGATGGTGATGCTTAGTGCGTTGTCTGGATGGTGTGTGGTTAACACGTCTTCCGTGCAGATTAGGCGCGGAGCCGGGTGAGTTGAGGTCAGTTGGTTGGTTTGGGTTGGTTCGACGAAGGCCCTTTGATGGTTGGTTGATTCTGTGCCGCGGACGATGGGTGTTGGTGAGGATGGTGTTTCTTGTGGGATGTGTGTGAGATGGTTGCTTGGGTTGAGGCGATTCCGACGTTTGTCTGAGTTGTCTCTGTCTTGATGGTATGCCCTGCGAGGACGGGTGAGGTTTGAGGGATAGGGATGAGGTCCGCTCGATGGATATAGGAATGTTGGTTGTTGAACAGCTGACTGGGTTCGATGATTGAGTTGTGTGTGAGTTCTGTCGTGTGGTCGTAGTGAGTTTGATGTGATGAGTTGTTGGTGATGTCGGTTGGAGCAAAGTGATGAGATGCTGAGCTTGATGAGTATCTCGGTGAGGCTGATTTGCGGAAGTCGAAGATTTGCAGAGGAAGGGTCGGTGAAGTGAGGTTGATGTGTGACGCTGAAGGGACATCCGGTGTTCTCGTTACACCAAGAGAGTACAGTCTGAAAAAAGCTGTCGGCTGATGAGTCTTTTTGAGATGAACGGGTCGAGAACGACGATCATCCGGAGTAAGGTCACATAACCGTAGACAGTATGAGACTTACACCGGAGCCCATAACAAGATTTCTCTTTGTCGCTCAAGGACCTCCAACAACTCTCTCCCTTGAAACGATGAGTCTTGCGGATGAAAAGTAAGAGGGAGAGAGAAATGCTGAAGGTGAGGGGATTTCGGAACGGAGAAGCGCGCGCGGGGCCCGCGGCACAAATCTCAATGGGGAGAATCCGGAGATGATGCGTGAAATGAGGAGGGGCGAACCGGGACCTTGATGGGAAAAGGCTACGCGGCGGGCGCGTAGATTGAACGGCGCTGGCATGATGATTGATCTGCAATATCTGCCTGAATCCGGTGGGATGCGTGCATTCTTTCGCGATGACAGACTGGGGGGGTCTCACCTGCCTGTTGCAGGAGTTGGTGTGATTGGCTGATAATCATGGCCAATCATGTCTCTTTCTTTTGACGTTGTTCACAGTTCAGGCTGAGAAAGCGCTATAGCGAACCGATGAAGATTATGATGATTATACAGTTGAAGTAGAGACTCGATCTCAGTTCCTCAAAGCCGAAGTAACTAGCCCTTTAGGCGTTGCATCCCAAGGTTGGTGACTGAAGCCGTGTTGTCTCATTTGACAGCTGATTATTGTCCAATGAAATGAAGCTCTTTGACACCAACATGTTCATCTCGAAATGCCGTCGGAACAGCTTTCCCCCGCGCCCGATCCGGGCACATTCTAGAATCTATGTCACGTGTGTCCACTTTGTTCGCTCGAGCGCGCCCGGTCGCGGCGTCTCGGAGGCAGGGAAAAATTCGGAAGGCAGCGACGGGCCTGGCGTGGTCCCCTCAGGTCGTGCCAGGTCCCAGCCCAGGTCCCCCATTTCCAATAACGTCAACTAGCGCATTTCGCCTCAACGTATCCATATCCCGACGGCCCTGTCGCCTCTCAACAAGACGATGAGTAATTGACGGTGAACCATGTCATCTTCTTCACCTCAAACGCAACATCAACAACGTCAATAGCAGAAGACTCTTCACCAGTCTCTTTTGCTCTCCTTCTTGGAAGGGGCTACCCGCTCCCACCAGTCCAATCCACACTCTGCGTCCCGCAAACATCCAACTCCTGTCCACTTCTTACGACAAGGCGACCATGGCATTACGCCCAGCAGCGCTGGCGCTGACCAGCCCGCTGCTTCGGCGCGTGGCGATGCAGCCGATGCAGCAGCCAGCGACGATGCAATCGGTATTCAGGCTCGCGGCCTTCGCTCGCCCGGCCGTCCCCTCCCCCATGAGGGCGACGACTCTGGGTCTCGGACTCGCTCTTCAACAACGGCAACAACGGCACTTCGGATCGAACCACGGCATCTCTCGCAACCTCCTCGCCAGCAGGGAGGCGGCAGCGAACAGGAACCCCGGCAGCGCGACCGCGCAGAACGCCTTCTACCAACTCCTCATCAAGGCGAACATGCCCGCCATCGTCATCGAGCGCTACCAGTCCGGCCGCTTCGCGAACAACGACGCCACCGACCAGGCCTACAACCAGGCCCTCGGCATGCAGAGCCAGGCGGCCGTCGGCGGCCTGGGCGGACACGACCACCTCCCCTCCGCGTTCGGAAACGGCGGCGGCGTCCAACAGACGGGCCAGGCGACCGGCGGCGGCAACGGCAGCCTGTCGCAGGCTCAGCTGCAGGCTGTCGGGCAGGCGCTCGCCGCCCGCTCGCGCGATTCGAATATGGCTTCGGCAAAGGTTACCGGCGATGGGGGGCAGGCGTCTCCGCTGCACGTCGTCGTCGACGAGTCGTTCGGCGGCACCGTGTTCCGCTGGGTCAAGTTCCTCATGTGGTTCTGTCTCTTCACGTACCTCAGCTTAGTCGTCGTCACGATGCTGGTCGAGGGTCTGAATCTGTTCAAGCGTCCGGGCGGCAAGGTTGACAGCGAGGCCAAGGCCGAGAACCAAACCACCCGATTCTCCGATGTTCACGGTGCCGACGAGGCCAAGGACGAGCTCCAGGAGCTCGTCGAGTTCCTCCGCAACCCCGACAAGTTCTCCACGCTCGGCGGCAAGCTCCCCAAGGGTATCCTCATGGTTGGTCCCCCCGGTACTGGTAAAACGCTCCTCGCCCGCGCCGTCGCCGGCGAGGCCGGTGTGCCTTTCTTCTACATGTCTGGTAGCGAGTTCGACGAAGTCTACGTCGGTGTCGGTGCCAAGCGCGTTCGCGACCTGTTTGCTTCCGCCAAGTCCAAGTCTCCTGCCATCATCTTCATCGACGAGCTTGACGCCATCGGTGGACGCCGCAACACTAGGGATGCTGCCTACCACAAGCAGACTCTGAACCAGCTTTTGACGGAATTGGACGGTTTCGAGCAGAATAGCGGTGTTGTCATCATCGCTGCCACCAACTTCCCGGAACTCCTCGACAAGGCCCTCACCCGACCCGGACGATTTGATCGCCACGTCACCGTCTCCCTCCCCGATGTTCGCGGTCGCATTGCGATCCTGAAGTACCACGCCAAGAAGATCAAGGCCGCTCCCGAGGTCAACTTTGACGCCATTGCCGCGAGCACCGGAGGTCTCTCTGGAGCCGAGCTGGAGAACATTGTCAACCAGGCCGCGGTCCGCGCGAGCAGACTGAAGGCTAACGCTGTCACCATGACCGACTTCGAATGGGCAAAGGACAAGGTGATCATGGGTGCTGAGCGCAAGAGCATGGTTATCGGAGAGAAGGAAAAGGAAATGACCGCCTACCACGAGGCTGGCCACGCTCTGGTTTCGTTCTTCAACCCCAGCGGTCCCAACAAGCTCTACAAGGTCACCATTCTCCCCCGCGGTCAGAGTCTGGGTCACACTGCACACCTTCCCGAGATGGACAAGTACTCGTACACAACCAGGGATTTGAAGAGTCTCATTGAGACTTCTTTGGGCGGTAAGCTTGCTGAGGAGCTCGTCTACGGCACCGACAAGGTGACTACCGGTGTCTCAAGCGTAAGTACATCGACGGCTAGTTTCCTGAACTTTTGCTAATATTCGATAGGATCTCGAGAACGCTACCAACCTGGCTTTCCAGATGGTCGCCCTTTACGGCATGTCTGCCAAGCTCGGCCCCGTCGAGTACGGCAAGCGTTACAACCAGCTCAGTGGAGAGACCAAGGCTCTTATCGAGTCGGAGGTCCAAAGAACACTAAGCGAGTCGTACGAAAAAGTCCGCGAGCTCCTCACCACCAAGCGCAAGGAGCTCGACCTTCTTGCCAAGGCACTTGTCGAGTACGAGACGCTAGACAAGAACGAGGTCGAAAAGGTTATCCGCGGTGAGAAGCTCACCGACCGTGTTCCGGTACCCAAAGGTCCGATGAAGGTGCCCGCCAACGCCGGCGCATCCATCGGTCAAACCATCCCCCCACCGATGCCCCCACCTAACGAGGGCTCTCCGGCCCCGCCTCCGTCACCGCCGCCACCTGCGTCAACGGGCGGCATAGTCCCGGGCCCGAACCAGAACTCATGATCGGGAGGAGAGTCGGACTACGGTTCAACACTGTCATTTACTTCACGTTTACATGCACGAGTGCGGAGGCCAAGTCGCGGCCAGAGGAGGCACTCAGATTGTCTTACTTGTATCATTCCATCGGTACAGCATGGCAGGCGTTTCAGCGATTCCAAAGAACGTGCGAATTATCTGCTTTGGAGATGAAGGGAGGCTCAGCCGCGAGGGTAAGAGGAGAAGCCTATTTTGGGCGACGCAAGTCGGACCGCGGGTTTCGTGAGGGCCGCTTCGAGCAAAACAAACAAAAACAACTCTCCTCTCACCCGGGGCTTTATTCTGATAACGCCTTGCGAATTGGGCGCCGGCGTAAGCACTAGATTGGGATTCTGGCTATTGAGGTATTCGGGAGGACACTTGGTATCGGTCAATCAGAAGGGTTGGACTGGACTTGCCCCCCAACAAAGCGGCGAAAGCGGACACCGTCCTCTCGAGGAGTTGCACATCGAGCGGCTGGACTCGAGGAGTGGAAGTTCTAGCATGAACGATTGTATTATTTCGTTTGTAGGAATATGTACTTGATGCATAGCCTGTGTACATGACTTATTGATGCGTTTCTGTGAAGAAAAGGTCAGGTCGCTCGCTCTGCGCCGCTTCGGGAGCCGCGACGGATCGGCCCGGGGAACTCGCCGGGCGTGTACGATACGGACCCTTCGGAGACGGCGCGATCCCGTCCGCGGCACAGCTCAGCGATTGGGAGATAGTCGGCGAATCAACAACCTGCCGTTGGCTATCCCTGTGATGTACAAAAAGCTGCGACATCGGTGGAAACAGAGCCGAGGGAATGCTGAGAGCTATGTAAGCGGATCGGCGGCACATGAATGGCTGAGATGACGTGGTGGATGGGGGACCGGTCCTCCCGCCCACGCTGCCGGGGGCCTTGATGGCGGGGGAAGATGAGGTGAAGCGGGGCAACTTTGGTGTTATCATGCAATGGAGGGGTAAACTACTTTGGGGGTCACTAATTAGCTGTAAATAAATTCCCCGGGGTAATGAAGTCACACCTTGCTCTTATCACTCTTGTCATTGAAGATTGATTCACACCTCATTTGAGAATTGCTTCACTCAGTTGCAAAGAACAGACCCGACACCATCAAGATGACCAAGATTCTCCTCACTGGTAAGTGAACCACCCCTTCTTTTAAACCCCTTGAAGTGAGTGACAATGTCGATGACCTCACACTGACACAACCAGGCGGCTCCGGCTTCATCGCCGCCCACATCCTCGAACAGCTCCTCGAGCGCGGCCACGACGTCGTCACGACCGTTCGCTCCGAGGACAAGGCCCAGAAGATCCGCGACGCCCACAAAGACCTCCCCGCCAGCCGCCTGACCGTCGCCATCGTGCCCGACATCGCCCGCGAGGACGCCTTCGACGAGGTCGTCAAGACCCCCGGCCTCGAGGCCGTCCTGCACACCGCCAGCCCCTTCCACTTCAACTGGACGGACCCCAAGAAGGAGCTCATCGACCCGGCCCTCGTCGGCACCACGGCCATCCTCAAGGCCCTCAAGAGGGACGCCCCCGGCGTCAAGCGCGTCGTCGTCACCAGCAGCTTCGCCTCCATCATCGACGAGGCCAAGCTGCAGGACCCGAAGACCGTATACACCGAGAAGTATTGGAACCCCGTCACGCTCGAGGACATCCACCGCAGCCCGGCGACGGCGTACCGCGCGAGCAAGAAGCTCGCGGAGAAGGCGGCCTGGGACTTTGTCGCGGCCGAGAAGCCCGGTTTCGACCTGGTGACCATCTGCCCGCCGCTCGTGCTGGGGCCCGTGGTGCACCACTTCGCGGACCTGAGCAGCATCAACACGTCCAACGAGCGCGTCGTCGATCTGGTGAGCGGCAAGTGGAAGGAGGGAATCGCGGCGACGGGGGCGGCGTATCTGTGGATCGACGTCCGCGACCTGGCGCTGGCGCACGTGCTGGCGCTGGAGAAGACCGAGGCCGGCGGGAAGAGGTTGTTCACGACGGCCGGGTGGTTCAGCAATGCCGAGATCGCGGAGGTGGTGAGGAAGAATTTCCCCGATTTGAAGGAGAGGCTGCCTGCGCCGGGGACCAAGGGTGGTGAGCTGCCGCCTAAGGACCAGGTGTACGGGTACGATGATAGCGAAACGGCGAAGATTCTGGGCATTAAGTGGAGGAGTTTGGAAGATAGCATCGTGGAGCTGGTCAAGGACTTGAAGAAATTTGGTGTTTAGATGAGGTGGTGTTACCACGTGAATGCTCAAAGAAATTCAATGACTGTATTGACCACCAAGGCGTTCGTTGCAATGTTGAATGCATGCACATGGGAATCCAACCAACAAGCCGTGAAACTGTCCTAAGATTCTCTCTTGGTTTCCTTCTCCTTACGCCCATGTAGTCTGCTTTTTCCGATCTCTTCGTAAGCGGAGAGTCCGCTCAAGCCCAGACAAAACACCGTCTCTTTGGTCTGTTGAATCAATCTTCTCTGTTTTGTCTTTCTGCTTGCCGCTTCTACTGATAGAGGGAATCTTGATCCGGGCGAACATCACCACGCTCAGAAAGGCAACTATAAGCACGGAGACAGCAACTGATTACAAGGAGTCAGAGTTGATCGCCATGGCATTTCTGAGTACTCACAAATCACAACCAGAGACCAAGTTGGAGCCTCAAGAAAAGAAGCGACGTCTAATGCGAACAGAGAGGTGAGGAAGGATAGAGGTGCCTAGGTAGTGGAAGCATTTGTCAGCGACTTAGGGTTCTTGACGGGATCGACACTGAACGACTACGGACGGGATGGGTGCGCTCACAAAGATGATGGTGACAACTGTGAAGGCAAATATCTTCCGGCCCTGTTTTGCAGCTTCTATAGCCTCGAGGTTCGCTATCTCGCTTTCATGCAGCGTGATGGTAGTGTTCAACTATGCCATACGTCAATGGTCAACTGGACAAATTATTTAGTTGGACCTCCTGACTGAATGTGAACTCACAGCATCGTTGATTCTTTCAGCAACCTTTTCAAGTTCAGCGATGTCGTCGCAAACGTAAGTAGCAGTCAGGTCGCGCTCATCATTGTTATTCGACCCCTTAGTGAAGCTTTTCTCCAAGTCGGACTGAACTCGCTGCTGAAGGTTCGCAACGTTTTTGAGAATATTTAGCTCGTCACGAACGTCCTTGATGTCGTATAGAAGTTTGGCTGCGTCAAGGGTAGCATTTTGCAGCTTTTCCGTTGTTAACCCCTCTGCCGGAGGATCTCGTTTGAGGAACAAGCGAAATAGATCGGTTTCTCCCCTAACCTGTCCTGACGATCAGACTTGATACATCCGTAAGCTAAGGATGTGTTACCCACCGTGTCGTTGATGGAGTCGGAAAACATCTGACGAATCGACCGTTGCTGAGGAGGTTCCTCGTCGCCAATGTTGACTTGTTTTTCGTATGCACTGACGCAGTGCTCTACAATCATTTTCAGTAGTTCGCCTGGGGTTGCTGGGCCAGTGACTTGATCCCCTTCTTCTGCAAGACGCTTGAGATGCTCGAAAACATCATAAACGAAGCTGCTCTGCGCTTCACTCTTTGCGCATGAGGTAGACGTTATCAACCATGCTGTATGCTGTTATTATGATTCTGTGCATCGAGAGAAGGACATCTTGTTGCTTGCGAATTGAGGCTTACCATCTGCAATGGTCCAGGCCCATAGCTGACCGACTCGTATGATGGGCCAGCAATTGGGCTGATCCATCTCCAACTCTTCGGTATGCCGCTCCTTGGTCTGCAGTCTTCGTCTCAGCTTGGTTATGCATCTGGTGACAACTTGGGATCTATTCCGCGAATCTCGATCTTTGGATGATTCGGCGTCTCCGTCGAAATGGTATTGGTATTCGTCTAGCGGGGAAGAACCATGAATGACAGCCTTCTCGTAGGCTTTGAACAGCTTTTGACGTTTGCGAAGATACTCTCTTTCAATCATCTCATCTGGCCTCTCGTTAGTCGATTTTACGCTGTTCAACGCAGAGCTTGGTCGGCTGTCGCGTTCGCTGATCTCGTTCTCGTGGTACTTCGAAAATGAGAAAAACGGCATCTGATGTGACATCAGCAATTGAAAGCACTGAACACACCACTCTGGATTTCTCACGTAGAGCGCTGAGCTCTTGAGGGGCGTGCGACTTCCTTCTGCACAAGAATCGGTGTCTGCGTTCTTCAAATTTAGTCGACTGTTCTCGACTGCTTGTCCACCTATGTAATGGTTTCAAGTCAGCAAGACGTATTTATTGGCATATCTGTGTCTCCCACCTTGTGCGAAGCCCGAATCTGAATGGCCGGCCCTTTCGAAGTCCCGTTTCACATATCGTGGTCGCATGCTACGCGGAGAGGATGTTTCATCTGGCATCTGGATCCAGGTGCTGCGGAAAAACGAAGCAAGCTTCTCAAACTCATGAGAAGTGTAACCCTCTTGAGTCGAGATCTTTTTCATGACGTCCTGTGCAGAAATCGATTTAGTTTCGAAGCTCAGGACGTAGGTACGTAGGATTCAAGTGGAGTCACTCAGTTCTCCTCGGGCCTTCTGTCATCTTACCTTCATCCATTCCATCTATAGATAGTCAGCTTAGCAAACCAGGCGTAGACGGTTCAAGAAACTCGCATTTGTTGAAGGTAGATGAATCCAGTTGAACTCCTTTTCAACCTTGCCTGTAACACCCGTGGCAGCTGCATTGAGTCCGAGTCCCTTGGTGTCAATTGATGTCGGAAGAGCCTGGTACTTGCTGACGGTATCGCCAACAGTCATTATTGGCGCATCGTTGTAAATCAAATTGTTCACCGTTCTTGACACCGCATATCTTGTGAGCTCAGGGCCACCTGGACGCATCTGGGTAACGGTTGCCCAGAAGTTACTCATGCTATCTTGCGCATGGCGCGTAGGTTCCGATAGCTTCATAGTTTCCTTGAACTTTGGGGTTTTGACGATAAGGTAATCGAGGATATGCTCCATATCGATCAAGACTTGCTTTGAGCTCGTTTCCTTGCTTCCGGTTTCTTTTGCTGTTTCCGAAGTGTTCGCCGATGGGCTCTCAGCATCTTCCTGTGACTTCTTTCTCAAGAATTTGATAATTGCCTTTCCGACTTCCCGTGGCGATGCTCCCTGCTTACCAGTTGGGCCCTTCTGGAGTGTTGGGCAACTCAATAGCACGCGAGGGAGTCGATGGTAAACCGCCCACTCGACCAAGGTCCAATTTGATGGTGTAAGATGCTGAGGAGCATTCTTGGCTTGCGGCATCTCGGAAAGAATTTGAAAAGCTTTCCAATAGTGTTCTTGATGCTCAGCGAGCCAGACAAGAAGGTCCTCCCTTGATTCATTCTCATTCAGCTTGTTAATCATCTTCTTGGTTAACTCTTCGATGATCTCCACAGGGCCGTTTGATGTAATGGTCACATCGAATGCAGTCTTTCCTTCTCGATCTCGTTGAAGCAGAGATTGTCTTGGTACCGCTTAGATTATTGCTGATGCGTTCTCATAGTTCCTTTCGTCTGCAGCTGATCGCATGGCGTAGTGCAAGGCTGTCTTGCAATCTTTGTCCATGATTCCGGTTCTTCGTAAAACACTTTTCGCCAAATCTTGAGCCTGTTGTAGAAACGGCTCGCCTACGGACTTTGGCATAGGAACACAAAGCTTTATGAGCGTCTCCATTTCCTGTCCATGAAGAATGCCACCAGAATGGTCCTGTGCGTCTATCTCATTTATAAGATGAACGAGCAGCTTGACTAAAATCGCGTAATGCTCCCCGTCGAGGGCTGACAATATCGGCGTTTGTCCGTCGAAGTCCTTGATTGTAGTGTTTGGATTCCGTTGCAGGATGGCTTCGACAGCTTCCTCATTTCCAACACTCACAGCCAAGTTGAGGGGAGTCATGCCCCAAACAGTCTCCGCTTTGTTGATATATTGGTCTTCAGGGCCAAGAAGAAGATGGATTGTCTTCATCTTGAGCCCATGAATGATCGTCCAGTGAAGAGGAATCTTTCCCCTTGAGTCTGAATGACCCAGGTCAGCCTTGTGTTCCACCAACAACTTCACCATATCGTGGTGCTGAGTACGGCAGGCAAGGTGCAAGGCTTGTTGGTTTTCATCATCAACTGCGTTGACATTGGCACCCGCGTTAAGCAGCCGACTGCCCAAATTTGCAAAACCCTTTTTCGCGGCATCATGTAGAAGCGGGCGCCATGATGGAGATCTGAGTCTGTTTCGAGATTTGACAGATTTGGTCCACTTCTCTCGGTTCTTGTCGAAATTGTCGCAGGCATCTTTGTCGGTGTGGCATCTCGTGATAAAGTTGCTCAGCTCTGTAGCCACTCCTTCGTCATCCATGACATAGTTTGACTTTTCTGAGGTCTCTGGTTGCAAAGTGCGATTGGTCGTCGGCGACATAGGCCCATTTGGGCTCCTCGCTCATGTCTGTTATGGTGCCAATTGGGGATAAAATTGAAGACAAACGGTTGTTTGCTGTCCCTTGTCAGAACTGACACCCCGAAAGAAATGCAGGAATTGATGGACCCAGGATTGACAGAGAAGATGAAAGTGAAGGTGTGGTGGTCTAGGAGACCGGGCATTGTTGTAATACCTAGCCGAGAGTGCTACTGCAATGTCCTCGAGGTTCTAGCCAGCACAAAAGACCTGGTTATGAGAAGAAGGACAAGTGATTGGTCGCCTCGTTTTTGATATCTTATGCAACTCGGTCAATATCCCGGACTAAAGTATAGCGAGAGAATGCCATACACTCGGGCTTGGCGATCCGGCTTCGGAAAACATTGCATATATGATCCACCCCGGTGAGCCAGGATGCATTTACCTGGTCACTTGACCGTGAATGAGACCAGTAAACTGTTCAAGCCTAAGTTTCTATCCACGCCCTTGCCAGGACGCCAATCCACCAGACGTTGAATGACGCTGGGCCGTAAGTATTAAGCAAACTACGGTATGCCCAGGTTGTTCTAGGGAACAGTTCAATCGAGTGTAAAACACAACCCGACGCAGAAGACAGTTTGGAAGGATATCATGGACCTCAGAAGTCTTTGAAACCCTCCTGTGTTGCTAGTCGGCGGTACGTGGGTGTTTCGTACGAGAGAAGGGCGAGACGGATCAGCGTCCAACGTTTTCTCAACTAGTGACCGGCATTTCTTAATCTATGCGCCCCGGGCGTCAGGCCTTGTACGAATTGAGGGCTGCTGATCATCGCCAGTCAGCCAATGATGAGCCCAAGTAGCCCTATTCATGCAGTTGAAAAGCGGTGCGCCTATTGCGAATTAATCCACGGCTCTTGAAAATGACTTGTGCGACGCCTTGTCACACTGCAACCTGATATCCGCATAGAGCACAGATGTATGAGATAGAAAGTTGAAAACCGCTCAGGATGTCGTACAAGCCAATGGCATAACAATACTGGTGTCTCTCTGCCTTAAACTTTAGTGATCGGGCCAACTCACGCAAGAATAAAACCATATGAAGACAGTTATGTGTCTCATTTGAAAATCGCATGTTCATAGTTGTTGGTCCATTGTTGGTCTGCAGAGGTTCAACATTATTCCAAGACAGCATTTGACTCAGTCATACCGGGCGACTATCTCTTTCACGAAGCCACTTAGACTACCGCCAACATGCAGATCGAAGCCCATGTAAGAACCATATGCACAAACTAAGACAAAATGGTGTCGCCCCTTGAAGAGATACGAGAGCTAAAACCCGAAAGACCGTCTACCTCGTCCTACTTGCCGCCGCCGCCACCGGTCCCGCCATCGCCGTCACGTTCGATGAGACTGCAGAAGCAACAGCATACATTCCCGGCCTCCACGAAAGACCTGACTTTTTCGAGTTCGACAGCACCATGAAGGACACCTTTGCTACCATACGAGAACGGGCCGCCGTTATACCCAAGCCCGCCACCGAGGAGCTTGCGGCTTCGTGCCGTCGCTCTTTTCCCCTGAGCTGCACCTCGGACATCGGGTTCAAGTGTGCTCTCAAGTGTATGGACCCGACTAGAACTAGCAACCCGATCTCGTGCGTCAAGAGGTGCGCAGATGTCGAGATTGCGGAGTGCGTTGCTTTGGGCTGCCCATAGGTCCTGTACGGGGAGTTTGGAATGTGAGGTTCACCAGTGTAGTTGATACAACTAACTCATGGAATAATATTCTTGCAAAACTGGTCTGTTTTTCTTCGCCATGATTGGAAAAAACAATAGGTTTCTATAACTCTCGTCTGTCGTGACGGCTATGCTTCCTCAACCTTGCACCGTTCTGTGTAGACGTTAGTCTGAATCGAACATTTGATGTCAATGGATAGATCTTACCAAGTAAAGAATAAATGGTATAGGGACAAGCGCCATGGCGAATATAGCCATCAGTATGCTCGAACCAAATATGCCGAGCTTGTAATACAGCAACGGTACGAATAGGGGAAATGTGCCACCACAGAGACTGGTAAACACCTCATGTCCGGCAAAGATGGAGCTGACGTGATCTGGGAACGACTCTCCCAGGTAATTCATGAACGAGATAAACAATAGGAGAGCACCCGAAGTGAATAACGATGAACCCACGATGGGTACCGCCCAGTGAACCGTGGGCTTCGCGGTAAATCCGAACCAGACCAGACTTGCCGGTGGGAACAAACATCCCATCATAGCCGGAATCAGCAGCTTCTCTGGCTGGATGTTGCCGAGGTGGTCGAACTGAGGCTCGATCCGCTTCCTGTAGTAGAGGAAGAACGGCGGTATGATGAGCAGCACACCGACTATTAGTCCCAGCAAGGTTATGCTTCGGGTGCCGAGGTCGAAGTGGTAGACCTCCTCGTATGCCAACGGAAGAGCTTCGAACCAGATGTACATCAGTCCGTATATAAAGGAGCTGTACAGCAGCAGAAGAAACACGACAGGCTCGGTCATGACCATCGTGAATGGTCTGACTAAGTGAGTCAGCAACACCTCCTTCCCGGTCGTGTTCTCCGCCTTGATCTCGGCCTCGCAGATATACCGTCTGTCGCCCGTCGCCCTACGAAGTCGAAGCGACCGCCGGTACAGGATGTTGTCGGCACTCGTCTCAGGGAGGAAGAAGATCATCAACGCCAGCGTCGTGGTGCCCGCCCAGGCCGTGATCCAAGCCGTCCACTTCCAGCCCTCGGCCTCAACAGCGAAACCGCCGATGATCGGGCCCACCGTCGGGCCCCCGATGCCGATGAGCGCCCAGAGGCCCATGGCGTACGTGTGCTTCCTCGACGCGTACATATCAGTTAGGATGCCGCCTCCCGTACCCAGAACCGGGGCGCCGAAGAAGCCGGCCATGAAGCGGAAGGCTAAGAGCATGCCGATGTTGGTGGCCAGGGCTATGGGCACTTGTACCACGATGAAGACGATGAGTGACAGGATGTATAGGGGATTGCGGCCGATTTGGGGGACTTCGGCGAGTGGACTCCAGACCATCTGGTTCTTATTAGCCAGTAGATGTGTGAAAGTCCAGTCTTACTCACTGGTCCGACTCCGTATCCAATTACGTAGGTTGTCAATCCCAAAAGCGCTACATCTTCGGTGACACCGAACTGCTCTCTCACTCCGTGCAACCCGACTGTGTAAATCGAGGCTCCGGCATAGGTGCAGGCAATAAGCAGACATATTTGAATGCTGACAATGGTCTTTTTGAGGCTGCACCAGTTTTTCGGATCCTACGTTTTGTAAGTACGGTCAGAGTGCAAGTTTTACAGTGGTCATCAACATACCTCGGGATCATCTGGGAGGAAGTGAACCAGGTGCAAACCATGTAAGTTCGAGGTGGAATGAGAAGTATACTTCTCCAATTCCGACATGTCGACCGTCTCGTTAGACCAGTGACTATTCGGTAGCCTCGGCTCCACATCGTCGAACGAGTGTCCTCGCACGTACGGATCTCTCGTCGGCCTCGCCCTGTTCTCCGATTGATGTCGTTTGAGAGCCGGAAGCCTATTCACATACGCATCCTTGGACTCCGAAATCTCTTGCTCCCGTCCTGGCCTCCGCGACGCGCCGCCGTTGGCGTATCTCTGCTTGATAAGGGGATGTCGTTCATCAAAGTGTTGGAACTCTGGCAGTTTTCCTCCCGTCGCTAGGCGGACGAACTGCCACGCGAGCGTGTCTCGCACATAATCGAAAAAGGGCATGCTGGAATGGCGACACTGCTGTGTGGAAGCGTGCGAAGAATCAGCACGCATAGCCCGTTGTCCCGCATGTCGCGAACAGGCGGCATCTTGCTTTCTATATGCGCCATGCACGTCCGGCCCGTCCCTTCAGCAAGCTTTGAGCCGCATAGATGATCGTCATCGTCCCATACGGCGCAGTGTGCTCGACAAGGAGGGTCGAGGCCCAACTGACGGACGGTGCTGCCGCGGGGGCCCGACTTTGAACGCAATGGCCTAACGGAGGGGAGAGTCTGCAGGATCAGACGGAAGGTAGGTAGGCGACCGTCTCCGGGCGGGCTCCCCGGGGTTTCCCGAATACGTTGTAACTCGAGTAGATGCGTTGGTCTCTCGGACATTGCCCAGTCTAGAAGGTTGGTTCGAAGCTCCGATGTTGGTGCTGCTCCCGGCTCGAGTTTCCACACTGGCCGGTCGAGGTGGGCTATGACTCGGGGCGGGGCCGTGTCCCCGAGACTTTTGTCAGAACCTTGGTCTTGCATTGTTCCTCTGGGGAGTCAACCTTTCCATGTGGTTGTTTCTTGTGGAAATCGATTGTTTGAAAGAAGGCGTTAAAGATGCCCGATAGAGACACGTTTACCGACGGGGAGGTTAAGCACCAGGTGTCAGTCAAACATATATATATACGCACACACAGGAGGTGCCCGAGTCGCCACTCCATGTAAAGGCCGATAGATCTGATCCCGCTGCAAATAAGAGGCAGATGGTTTCTGGATCAGATACTGCAGTCGCGTGGACCCAGGCTCGAGCCCTGTACAGCTGACAAGACGAGGGAGTCCCTTCTCCGGACGATGCACGCGAGGGACATGGAGAAACAGGCCGCGGGGAAGTCAAGCTTAACATAACTCGCGTGGAACATTGAGATCGAAATTCTGGTCTGGTTCTCGCCAGTGTCTGTCGTTGATTGATGAGTTCGGTTCTGCTTCCGGCCGTGGTCTTCTGAAGCGAGCTCAGAACGCGGTATCCCACATCACGCCCGCCGGTGGGTGAAACTAGACATATTTGACATTCGCCGCACTCGACACAACTACGTCGTGAGTGGGCGGCTTTGTCGAAGTTCTCATCCTGAGGCCGTCGTCATTGGTAAACTCGTGCTAGCGAGCTGCTGTTGCTGATGCTGCAAAGAGGGAAGGCGCCCTTGTCTCGTTTTCCGATTCATCTCTTCGGCTCTTCGACGCTTGAAACGCCACTGATGAGAGTAAGGTAACAAATAGGGGATAGAGATGTATCCCGGCCGAAAGACGTCCGGAGCTGGGTGCCAGTTCGGCACAGCTGGACCCACCATCAGATCGGCACTCGGCGACCGCTGCCCCGATTTCCCCAGCAGGGACCCGCCCGAAGAACAGCGGCCCAATGGCATCAACCTCGCAAATGGAAGCTCCAAGCTTCCTTCGATGACCTTCGTTGATTTCCTTCTCTCCAAGTACTCTCCTTACACCACAACCACCACCCCAAACCCAAGAACCCTGACAACGCAACGCCCAAGATGTCGGTCACGCTACACACAAACCTAGGCGACCTGAAGATCGAAGTCTTCTGCGAAAGCGTCCCCAAAACAGCAGAGGCAAGTCCCCCTCCCCCTGCCCTTGACCAACGATAACTAACAACCCACCTCCCTCCAGAACTTCCTCGCCCTCTGCGCCTCAAACTACTACGACGCATCCCCCTTCCACCGCCTCATCCCGAAATTCATGGCCCAGACCGGCGGCCCCGCGAACCCGACCCCCGAGAACCCCAAGGGCGGCCGCTCCATCTGGGGCGGCCCCTTCGAGGACGAGATCCGCCCGGCCCTCAAGCACGCCTCCCGCGGCGTCGTCTCCATGGCCAACAAGGGCCCCGGCACCAACGGCTCCCAATTTTTTATCCTCTTCGACAAGGCGCCCCACCTCGACGGCCTCAACACCGTCTTCGGGCGCCTCATCGGCGACGACAGCACCGTCACGCTCGCCAGGATCGAGGCCGTCGAGGTCGACAGGAAGAACAGGCCCAAGGAGCCCGTCAGGATCGAGAGGATTACGGTGCATGCTAATCCGCTTGCCGGGTAAGCCGGTTCCCCGTTTTTGGTCTGATGCCCGCGCTGGGAAAGGGAGGAAGTCAGCTGCTGCCATCGCGGAGGTTTAACACGAGGGTTGTCATACCTCGACTATTTGGCTATTATGATACCCGTACGTCTGCCCGTTCGCCTTCCGACTACTCGTTGCTGACGATGCTCAGATTTGTTTTTGAACCTAGAAGGGATTTTTCGAAGAGTAAAGAGGAGGGCCGCCTTCTGCTTTGTTAAACCGGGCCGCCTCATCGTCTCACGCCCAACCGTTCAAGTTCGACGTCGAATTGCGGTCTCTCGACATGGCGATGGCCGGCTACCCATCTACCGGCTCAGCAACAGCAGACTGCACCGCTCTCGACATGCAAGACATCCAGACATGTCGCGTCACCAAGACCCTTCGTCTATCTCGGCCCTTACCGCGAAGAATTCGAGGTTAAAGTCGTTGCAGGACAGATGCGGGAGAGTGCCACCGAGGGCGAGGTCTGGATGAGAACGAACCTCGTCGTCATGCAGCTCAGCTCTGAGCAGCAAAGCCGGAGCGGGTTATGGCAAAAAGGAAAAATGAAGTGGTCAAAACACTTGGAGGTTGAAAACATCGATTTGGAGAATTGACGTCTTGGCGTTTCCTGCGCGCCGGGTATATTGGAATAGTTTCAGGTCGCCAGTCTATTTTGCGCATCGGCGATCAATCGGCCCAGCTCCAACATCAAACACGGCTTCGAGTTGGAGACCGACCCGGCCATCAGGGCTCCAGAGCTCGATCGCGGGACAGGCCGAGAGTCACCGAGTACGAACACGAAAAACACATCAGAATACGTTCATCAAGGTTGGCATTCAAGAGCTCCTGCTCGAAGGCAGCAAGTCTAATCTACGTTTTTTGGTGTTTGGAAGTTTTCGCCCATTTGCCCCGTCGTAGTAACAAGGAAAAAGCAGCATTCTTCACGACCCCGAGGCAAACGCGCTCTTGAGCGAATGCAACTGATCCATCGACAACCCTCCCTCTCTCCCAGATGCAGACGCGTCCCATCCCTTCTCTGCTTTGATCCAGAAGGGAATGAAGAATAAAAGAAAACAATTTTGGATATCACTGTCTCCAAAGCAATAGAAACCCGCCTCCCATAAAGTGCCTGCAAAGTAGAGACCTCCCGCCGTTTTGTCATTGAGCAAACCGCACACTCCCGCCGATATCCGTTGGAAAAGAAAAGTTCGTAAAAGGGCGATAAACCCAGACATCATCGCTCAGTCCACACGACGCCGCTTGATACCACGGTCTGGACTGCCGTTGTATGTCTCAAAGCCGTCTCGCGGAATCTCCTCGGTTCCACTTGAGCTCGACGGTGTGTTGATGGCGGTGCCGTTAACACCGGCAACGCCAGCGGTGGGGGTGGCGCCGTCCAGACTGAAGTTAAAGTCGTTCCCGTCGCCACCAAAGTTGACACCGTTGTAAGTATCTTCGCCGTGGTAGGCATCGGCGTTGAGGAATTGATCAATGTCAAGGTCATTGCCGAAGTAACCGCCATTCTGGTTCACGTTGCCATTCTCGTCAATACCAGGAATATGACCGGAGGGGCTCAAAGGTCCCAGCATGCTTGAGAGATGATCGAGCTTGGCGGCCTGTTCTTCCTGCATGCGCTGGAGTGCAGCCAGATCAGCCGAGTTGAAGTTGATCTGTTGCAGAGAAGGCGGAGGCTCGGCGGAACCAATGATGGGCGACAGCGAAAGACCTGATGTTGTGGGCATGGTAGGGGCGTCAGGGGCGGGAGACACGGATGGAGCCGGAGGATGCGGCGACGCTGAGACGGAAGGTTTTGTTGACGGGGTACGATTTGAACCGGGTGTTGCCGTTCGGCCAGCCATGATGTTCAGCATCTTATTCCGCTGGTCCTGGCTCATGGTTGCAGGCGTGTTGTTGACAACCTGGGGAAGGTCAATACCCGAAGAGCTATTGGCGTTGGTGTCGTGGATGATTCTCATCATGCTCTCGTGGGGGTTGGTCTCGAGCTCCTGGGCCAGATAGTTGCTTGGAGAAGAAGTGCGCTCTCCAGGGGTTGTGTCGAAGAGTTCCGTGACCGTGCCCATCTCACGCCCGTTGTAGGGCTGAGGCGTAGCTGCACTCGATGCCGGGGAAGGGGAAACAGTGTTGGCACGTCCGTTGGGGATCGGAGGCAGCGCCTGTCTGCGTTTAGCAAGGTTCATGTTTGCGACACCTGACTGCGACTGGACGTAATCGCCCAGGTCCACCACACTGCCTTGAGGCACGGAACTGTTGTTGCTGCCGCCGTTGGGGATGATGCTCGCCAGAAGGTCGTTGACGCTCTGAGCTCCGGCCTGGTCCTCGAGGGTCTTTCTGAACACGTTGGCGAGGAAGTTCAAGATGGCGTTGATGGAGTTTTGATGCCTGTCGTGTTGGCTCTGGAAAACAACAGCCTGGTTGTACAGAGCGGAGTTGTCTTGCTGGATGCGTTGGATGGCCGTCATTATCAACCTCTGTTGCTCGCGGAGTTTGGCCAGCTCCTCTCTGATCAGGGCCATCTCCTTCTTCTGAATGGGCATGTCTCCTGAAGGCGGGAGGGCTCTGCCGGCGGGAGCGCTGGTGGCACCAAGTCCTTGTGCAACACCATCCTCGACGAGTCCGTCCTCCTCGCTGTCGCCCTCAACCTCGGCGTTCTTGCCACCCTTCTTCCCCTTGTTGCCGCTCTTGGGCTTGTTGATGAGCCAGAGCAGGTTCGGGTGACCGCGACGGAAGAATGGGTTGGAGTATTCGCTGGGGCTCTTGTTCTTCCGCTCACTTGCGCGCATCGAATTGTCCGACAGGCCGACGCGCTTGTGGAAGCCGTACATGTTCAGCTGTCGCACAAATGAGGCGTAGTTGTTGTGCTTGAACAAATCGGGAATCAACTTCTTCGCAAACTCATCCTCGTCGAGGACGATGAACGAGTCGCCCTTCTCTGACCACCTAATCAGGTCGCGATTCTTGTCATCGTCCAGAAAGCTACACAGATGTCAGCGATTAAGTAAGGAGAAATTTTCCCTCCAGCATCGCGTCCGAATTACTGGAGAGAGGCACGAATCTTGCTGACCTGCTCAGTTTCTGGACGAAAGGGGGGATCTGTTTCCGCTTCTGCTGCGCCTGGGTCATGGCCTTGCGGGCCATCTCTTCCAACACCTCAATGTTATCGGTGTTGTTCATGTTGCCGTTCGTCTGTTGTTGCGGTTGTGACAGGAGTGCACCGTCGTCACCGACGAAGGACCAAGGATCGGTTGTAGAATCGTAATTCGGCCTGCCGGCGGTAGGCACGAGCGCCCTGTTGATTTGTCTCCGGGCGAGAGCATTGTTAGGGCTGGGCGTGGGCTGCACGAACTGCTGTTGTTGACCGGGGACAATGCCATACGAGTTCAACGCCGGGGGCGCGGCTGCATCGACAACACCGGTCCCATCGGCTCCTGCCCATCGCAAAAACTGGTCGCCCGGGCCCGGCGGGCTGGGAAAGGGCGGCTGCACTGCTGGCATCGGCATGGTCGGTACTGGTGATGTTCCTGGGGCTGGGCGCTTTCGGGGGTTCGAAGACATGGGCGTGTACATTCGCCTTTCGCAAGTGGAAGGGGCGATGGCCGTCCAGAGCCGGCCAAGTCGCCGAAAAATGCAGAGCCTCGGGGGGGGGTGAAGGCGTGATAGCTTGCGGGGTCCTTCTCAACGGGGCTCGTTTGATGCGTTGGCTGCAGGCGAGGCGAGGCGAGGGTTGTTGGGTATAAATTTTAGGCTGCAGGTTACCTGGCAGCCTTGTCGAGTGAAGAGCAAACCGTCTCCTGAGGGCTATCGAATGCAGGACCAAGGTCAGATGGATCGGTCGGGATGGTGCAGGAGTAGCAGCGGGAAGGCGCTTGTCGCATGCGTAGCACCGGGTCTGGCGGGAAACGAAGGATGGGGCGCTGCGTCGTTTTGTCGTCGTGGTCGTCGGGAGGGCGCGGTGGTTTTCAGGAAGCGGTGGGTGAGCACGGCGCTTTGCTCTCTAAATATGTTGTCGTCGATTGGGCGTACTTCACGGGCTTCAAAGGCGTGGTAAATCAGAGCCTGAGTCAATCGTGGGCAGGCTGTAAAGGCCTTTCGCAAAGGAGGTCTATTGTTGGGGAGAAACGGGCGACAATAATTCGAACTATGGGTGGGCAAAGGGGCCTTGTTGCGATATGGCGTGCGTCAGTTTCGGCGCAAGGATAAGATTGTCTCGATGGTCGGAGGACGGTGCGGTGCGAAAGCTCTGAATGAGCGGTCCGCTCTTTTTGGCGGAGAGGTGACGGAAGTATGGGTAAGACTTGATGGATACAGGTATGAGACCTTTTGCCTTAGGTAAGGTCTCGGTGACGGTGAGGAGAGGTAAGGCGTTGTGTCGGGCGTCAGTCAGCCAAGGTGCCTGGTGCTGGTGCTGGTGGTGGTGGTTCTGCAGATCTGCAGGCGTAGCGCGTCTTCTGTCTTTTTTTTTCTTGCTACCCTCTTTTTCGGTGGGGGAGAGACACAACACGGGCTGTTATGCAGGTGTCTTACAAAGTCAAAGAGTAGAGAAGGTAAAAAATAATTGTTTTGGTTCGTGCCAGTGCCTAACAATTAAGACACACGACAGCTTGGTGACCATGCAAGAGTAAGAGGGGCAGAAAAAAAAAGATGTTTTGCAGTCTGAAATACCACACACAAAAGAGGACTGGTTTGGAGTTCAACACATGCCGTCTGAACATCTGAAGGTGGACGAAGCTCTGGTTATCAACACCGACGATGCTCAAGGCTGAGTTAATCAGTTTCCCTTGGTGGGGACCCTTGAGAAGAGAGCCCCGTCACCCCCCCTTCCCAAAGTGCACCGTGGGCATTCAGGGCCCTCGAGTTGGTCAGGATGAGGTCCCTTGGACACGGGACAGATCGTCCGGACCAATCAATTGTGTTGTTTCAACTTTCTCACCGAGGAAATATCACGTGTTGATAATGATATAGACCGAATACCGGAGTATTGATCACCCCGCTATCATTTCTCAAGCTGTTTAAGGCACTGTCCCATCCACCATGCATGAGCGGTTGGCATGAGCCAAGATCCGATGCAAAAAGAGCCTCCAGCTGCCAGCATGGCTGTCCACAGAGTTGAGACCCATGCCACAGGCTGGCACCAGCTGTGTTTCCACCACAAATGCCCCAAATCGGGGGTCTGGACTCGGCCGAACTGCCGTTTTGTCGTGGTGACACCCCATCTCAGGATGTCCCAGGAAGTCCAGGGAAAGTCTCCTTCTGAGGCCATCGCGATGACATTTGTGGGGCCTGGCGGGGAGCTTGGTCTGGCAACGTCATTTTCCCCCGATTCCTAGCTTATTCTTCGATCTCAGCTCCCGCAGCACGGCCCCAATTCAATTATTGTCTGAATAGCATCACGGATCCCCCAATTGAATGACTAACGCGTCCCTGAACTCTCAAAACCGTCAACTTCGCTTTCCAGGGGTATCATTGGTTTGTTGCGGCTCGCAACTCGACAGAGTCGCATCACACCCATGTCGTTTGGCCCGGTCTCTACCTTGCTCCTCTGCCCGCCAGAGCCGAAGCTCTCGCCATCTTTGCATTCCGTGCCTGATCCCATTCCCGCCCGGAGTTTCCGCTCCGGGCCTCTCGCGATGCCTTCCTGTCCTCCTGGAGCGTCCGCGCCTTTTCCCGGGGATCTATCACAACCAGCTCTTCCTCGGCCTTCTTGCGGTAGCTGAGGTCCTTGCCCAGCTTATCTGCCTTGAAACTGAGTGCATGAGACATCCATCCCTCATCGTCGCTATCTTCCTTTCCAGCCTGGTCCCACGCCCGGCAGCTCTGGCAATCGGCGATGAAGTGCAAATCACAAAGTTCCGCCTCCTCTCCCGTGCCTTGTTTATTCTCGTCCCTTTCCTCTTGATCGGCAGATACGGGCCCACCCGACTTTTCCTCCGGAGCTCGCTCCAGCTTCGACTTGAACGCTTTCATGAAGTCGAGAGCTGTCTGCTCCTCGCGGGCGCTCGTGTTTCCACCGGCCCTCCTCTTCCGCCCTCGAATCGATGTTTCTGGGATCATGCTCTCGAGAGCCGATTTCTTGATTTCTTGCGTCGGCTCGGGCTGAATGCTCCGCTTCATCGACGCCTTGAGCGCCGCGATCTCCTCGTTCGTCTTCTCCAGAGCAGACTTCGGCTTCCGCTCCACGGGTTCGGGGGACGGAGAGTCTGGGATCCGAATTGGAATGTCGCTCTTCCTCGCCGGCGACAAGGATCCGTTCGGCGGCGTCGCCCGCCTTTCCTCAGTGGGCTTGGGCTCGTCTGCCGCAGGAGGGGTCACCGATTCCATCTTGTTCTCCTTGATCTTGGCCTTCTTCGTCTTCGGCTTCTTCTCCACGGGTTCCTCCTCGTCCACGTCCATTACGATCCGCGTATCGAACTTGGTCTTCTTCAGCACCGGAACCTCCTCCGCGTCGCCCTCCTCGTCGCCGAAGCTGAGCAGTTTCTTGCCTCCCTTCCTCTTCTTTTTCCTCTCGACGACCACCGTCTTTGGCGCCTGCGTCGCGACTCTTGATCTCTTCACCATATCCTCAAACGGGTTGACGAGAATCTCAATGCTCGTAATCTTGACGGCGTACATCGGTCGGTCCGTGCCTGGAGTGACTTCGGCCTCGCCCATTTTCGCCAGGTTGTAAATCGTGTCGCCCGCGACTCGCCCGAACAGCGTGTTCTTGTTGTTGAGCTCCTCGGCCTTGTCGAGAGTGAAGAAGAACTGGCTGCCATTGGTATCGGGTTTGCTCTCGTTCGCCATTCCCAGCTGCCCGCGCCGGTTCCACTTCAATCGCGAATGGAACTCGTCCTTGAATCCGACACCCGTGGGACCGGCGTTGTGTCCTCGTCGCTCGTCCATTGGCCAGGGATCCAGCTCGCCGCTGAAAGCGCCTCCATCATAAATCGACTCTCCTCCGTTGCCAGTACCGGTCGGATCGCCTCCCTGCAGGATGAACCCCGGGACGAGCCTGTGAAAAATCGTGTTGTCGTAGTAGCCATCGAGGGCGAGCTGCAGAAAGTTGCGGCAGGTGAGTGGCGTTTGCTTTGCGAAAAGTTCAACCGAGATGTCGCCCAATGTCGTATGCATAATGGCCGATGCCGTCGGCTGCGGCTCGAGATTGTAGATTGACGACATCTTGGCCGGTCGCGACGACGCTCCTCCTAGTTGCGCTTTTCGAATTTGAGCGTGATAAAAGTCGAGTGCGGCTGATATGAAGGAAGTTGTGTCAAGATTAACCCAGGTGGGTGCAGCTGCGAGCTCGAGACTTCTGGAATTCGACGAGTCGCGCTACTGAGCTTATCGATAATGGAAGGTCACGTGGCATTCGTCATAAGGTAACTTCTCCCGACTTCCACGAAGCATCAGGGTCAGCTACCTATGTCATTCAGCCATTCGGATCGACTCCGACTTAATATATCGGGAATGGTGCTTAAGCGGAAGGCGATAACCTTAGTTCTCGATGCAAGTTTGATGTGGAACCGTGGAATGCAACTACGATCTCCTGCACCTGGGTCGCAGCTCACACTATCCCACACCTTGAAGTCCGACTCGGCCGAGTGGGGACTAACACAAACCATCGCGAGCCTCAACTCGTCACCCTCATGGCTTAAAACACTGAAGCCTGGTGTTAATCGAAGACCTTGTGATCTTAAGCTTTCTAATTACTCTGGTTCATGTCTGCTTTATGGCCGTATATAAGAGTTCTAGGGCTTTCGCTAGCCCTGTATGAAAACTGACTGCGCGTACTTCAGCTCAAGAGTTCTTCTGTCGGTGTTCATTTTCCGGAATTTTCACGACACCACCGCAAGATGCTTCAGCAGGGAAGTCCGGCTTCACAAAACGAATCGCCCTCGATGAACAAGAAACACGCAGGCTCCAAAAAGGTGGCCGCATCAGAGAATCAAGATGTGATTAAGGGAGCTGATATATTGATGCAACTGGCAAACTCTCAACCAAAACGAAAAGCGTAAAGTTCCTTGCCGCATATCTACCATTATCAGAGACTACTAATTGGTTCATCGGTTCATCAGCAGCGAAGACTCGGTTGATATGTACAAGCGCCACAAGAAATCTACACAGGCTGAGACCGGCAAGTCCAAACTCCTGCGGCGAACGTCATCCTAAGGTACTGGAAGACTAACACCTCAGAAGTGAGTGAGTCTAGGCATCACAGCACACCCCATGAACCGTTATCAATAGACGACTTTTACGACTCACAAGCTACCATAACTGCGTCGGAGGCTTCGGAAGCGGAAGCGGAACGAGGCGAAAGCGATGAATCGCAACCCACGAAGTATAATCAAGAGTATTGTCCCCCCTCGTATCTTCTCGCGCGTGAGCTGACACCTGCGAAGAACAGGCCGCTCCAGCAATACTGCTCATTCCGATTCCGCCCCTTTGACTAGCTACGCTCCTGGCCCTCCTGGCCAGCCTGATACATGCTGTTGCGGCGGATGCAAGGTTTGCCACGGCGAATGCAAAGTTTGTTGCTGCAAATGCGGTACTCTGTGCATCTGCTATTGTGGTGATGGGATCCTTTGCGACGACGCGAAGTGTCACTCACCCAGTGAATCCGAGGCCGACGCTGCTGGAGCCGAAGATGAGGATGTGGAAGCTGAGGATGAAAATGACAAGATTTCGATGACGACGACGAAGAAGACAGTCGGTCGCGCGTAATGTGACTGGGAACTTGGGCATCATGTGCGAGGAACAAAGACACGATACATGTACCCCTCCGCGATTCTTTGACTTACTTAGTCTTGGACAGTCAGCCACTTGTACTAGGGGCAGTCATTTCAAACAAAGCCAGCAGAATGAAACGACAGAAAGTCTCAAAATGATGTATTGACTTGTTCTTTCTATGTACGGTCCTTGGCAAATGTGTTTGCGACGATGAATGGGAACACCAGAGTGGCATCCGCATAGACCTGGGAGTAAACGTCAGCATCGTCATCATCCAAGCTAATCTGGTACAATGAATTACCTTGACAGCATCGGCATTGACCTTGATCTTGCCCCAGGAAACGGCCTCGTCCGGACGGGCGCCAGCATCGCTTCCGTCGAATTCTTGGCCTGTGTTGATGTACACGGCCGACTCGGCGCCGTTGCGCATCAGGCATGCGTTTGCGATGTGGTGCTTGACTACACCACCGCCCAAGATGATCATGCCGGCGCGCTTCGCGCGGACGGAGATGGTGTTGATGCGACGAATGTCCTCGACAATGTCGCACTTGAGCTGCCTCGGCGAGGCCTTGAAGGTGTGGAAGTACAGCATGTCACCCAAACTACCGTCCGTAAGCGCCGGGCAGAAGACGGGGATATCGTTCTTCCACGCCCAGTAGTAAACAGATCGCTCATCGTTAATCTCCTTGCCCAGACGGTGGATCATCTTGGAAGGGGTCCAGTTGATCTCATCGTCAGTGCCCTTGCTGGCCTCCTGCTCCTCGAGCATGGCGTCGAAGATGGGAACGACCCAGTCTTCGAATTCGCGGTAATTTGAGTTGGGGACGACGAGGTTGCCGATTCTGTTCTGGCCCTTCTTGCGCAGGTCGGCGCCCGGTGCGCTGAAGGAGGACATGTATGTGTCACCCAGGCACTTGATGAAGTCCTCCTCGACACCTCCAGCTGTTGTCACGATGGCAGACACATGCTTGTGCTTGACGAGCCACCTGAAGATGCCTCTCATGCCAGAAGATATCATGTTTGATGTGTAGCCGAGAAAGATGGTGGTATTGTCCCCTGTTTCGGGATCGCGCCATGCCCTCTTTCGCCCACGTCAGCTGGGTCGCATCACAACGGGACGGCGTGATAGCCTACCATGTCGTTGATGATCCGGATGGACTCGCCAAGAGACGAGGCCTGGAAGCCCATGTACTTCATGCCATCGAAGAGGTTCTCGGCGGTGATGGGTCCCTTGATGTTGTCAAAGTCCAGCTCCTCCACCTTCTGAGTACCCTCGGGCATCTCCTCAGACACGACCAAAACCGCATCAGTTGCTGCGGCGGGAGGTGCGTTGGGGTTTTCTTGAGACGCCATATTGTCTGTTTTATCAGCCACTGCCTGAATACAATGATGTTGGTAGAAGTGCGTTTTGAGGATGAAATTGCTGTCTCACAAACTACACGAGGTAGACAGACGGGAACATACCAGTGAGTGGCGACCTGGAATTGCGGGTAAGGCAGGTAGGTAAGGTACGGATACAAGAATTAGCGGAGAATTGTACGATAGAATCAGACAAAACCCTGTCTCAGTCTCAGTTCAACCGAGACTCAATCAGGATGCACCAAATATGATTGAGAAAAGCCGCCTTGTGAAAATGTCCATCCTCACAAAACATACCACATGGGTCCATCAAATTCCGCAGGGCAGGCGGAGAGAGACTGTGACTCCACGCCGTGATGTCCAAAAATCGGCCGGGATCCACTCTGCAAAGAATTTTGACCGAGAGGTGGAGTCGCCCGCAGCGACAGGCCACGGCGTCAGGGTGCAGTGTGAGGGCCCATCCACCACACGCACCCGTCGGATCCCAGGCACCTTGGCATCCACCTCGAGTAGGTTGTTATGTAAGGTAAGGCGTCAAGGATACGTACCTGTTCGGACAGGGCCTCAAGAACTGCCGGGGGTCCCGCTAGCATCCTAATGCGGGCTAGCGTCTACGGCGTCAGAAAGCTGGCCTGCCGCCTCGCAGCCCCAACCAGTGCCCGGCGGATTTGAGATCCAATTCCAAGTACGAAGTACCTACCAATTAAGCGCCACTGCACGCGAACCGTATTTCGCAGGCTGAACGTGGCCGGGGTGCCGTCTTCAAACCTTCAACATCACACGATTGCTCCCCCGAAAGTTTGTCGCATCGTCGCCCGCCTTCCAGCTTGACAGGACAGTCGCGATTCCGCAGTGCTATCGACCAAGAACATTCTCCTTCGATGCTCGTCTATCCATAATCTATCTAGCCACCCACAAACTTCGACCCGCCGCCGGATGCACCCACTCCCCGCCGTGTCCGCTCCCGCTACTCTGTACCTTACCTCCTGAACAGCGAAGACTGACCGACAGACGCTTATCCGAGGTTGGAACCCGTCCACTCCAAAAGTCTTCCACGACCCACGACTACCAAGGTTCTGTGGTTCCACGTCCCAATCCTTACACATATGGTATTGGACCTTTTCCATAGCCAACTTTGAGGGCGACAGCCCAGCCTAGCGCCATGTGAGTCGAGACAAACAACCTCAACGCATCTGTCTGCCTTTTTGCCCACGCTCCATCCGCCCACACTGAATGTCCTCTTCCTCACGAGCCGGTGTTGTAGCGGGAGAGAATTACTAGGCGTCCACATGCGACCGCCCTTTGACCACCACGCGAGGCGTCATCCCGATGCGAGGCGTAATTTCAACCGGCCCTTTAATGCTGATCACGATCTCTACAGGACTTCGAGATACTCCTCGAGGTATGACGGGGACCGTCGGTCGAGATCGCCTCGCGACCGTTCGCCCGATCGCTACGAACGCGCCTCGCAGTACAGCGATGGCGACCGTCGTCGCTCTTCCGCCGAGGCCCGCTCCAACACTTCGGCATTCCAAAACAACAGAGATTCTTTCCGCGACAACCTACCCCGCGACCCACCACGTGGTCCTAAAGCCTTACTAGATCCCCCAAGCGGCCCTAGAGGTGGTGGCTACGCCGGTGAATTTAGCAGAGGTAGAGGTAGAGGACGCGGCCGTGGATGGTCCCGCGACGGCAGCAGAGATCGCGGACGAGACCGCGATATCGATTTTAGGGACCGACGCGATGGACCCTACAGGGACGAGAGAAGTCGCGAACGAGAACGCGACAGGGATTGGAGAGATAGGGAAGGCTACCGAGGAAGACCGCGCTCCCCAGGCCGAGGCCGTTCGCCGCCTCAAAGAGATTTCCGCGACAGAGACCCCCCGCTTGGTGTCGACGCCGAGAGATCCCGACGAGGCTCAAGAGATGGCGGTCCGCCTTCAGCAGGTTCATCTAATTCCGACCCTCCTTTCATGACCCGCGGCGGTTTCAGAGGTGGCAGAGATCGAGGCCGCGGAGGATGGGGTGATAGAGGCAGGGGACGAGGAGGATTCTACGACGACCGAGACCGCGACCGCTTCGGTCCCCGCAGCCGCTCTCAGGAAGGGCGATGGGGTCGCGACCGAGACGACCGTGACCGAGGCGACCGATGGATCGACCCCGACGCTCGCAGAGACCCCCGCGACGACCGCGATCCCCGTGATCGCGAGCTGCTAAGGCCCAAAGTCGACCGAGACCGAGATCGTGGCGCATCTTCACAGGCGCCCTCACCACACACCAAGGACATTTCTCCGCCACCATTAGCACCGTCAGCACCAGCATTTGGCACAGTTCCGAGCAGAAACACGGGCGCTGCTGACGGATCGCCAATTATCGGCGGCACCGGCAAATTACCACCTACAGCCCCAAGAGCATTCAACTCCGAACGGCCCGTCTCTGCAGGCCACGGCGGTGGCAGCGACTTTCCAGCACCGCCCACAGGTCCGGCGAAATTGGGTCTCCCTGAGGGTAGCCCCCCCATTCCCTCGGGTCCTCGAGCTCAGCAGCAGAAACAGCAAAGGCCGTCCAGTAAACAATGGATCAATCCTGCGTTGGCGGGCAAGAAAATTCCCGAGTCCCCCAAGATGATGCGATCACAAAGCTTCGCCCAGCAGAATCGACCGGCCCCATTCAGACACGAGAGCGTACCCGCAGACCAGACCGAATATGAGAGACGTCCTCGCAGTAGCGATGCAAAAGCTGATTCTCATGCGTCAACCACAGAAGGATCGGTCAAATCCTTGAACCTTCCTGAGCCTGGCGAAATCATCATCAAATCCGAGAGGGACAGTTACTCGGCCAGAGCGTCGATGGATCGGGATGCAGAGCATCTGGATGTTTCAAGGGACACTGTTATGACAGGGACCGACGCGCACGGACATGAGGACTACCGACCCTCCTCGCGAGGCGACGAGCATCCCAGCTTTTCTGACAGACATGCTACCGAAGATGGCTTGGTCGAGAAAAAGGAACAGCCACCCAAGCCCGTCAAGAAAAGTCGGATGTCTGTACCAAAAGTCCGCTTTGTTTTGCCGTCACAAGAACCGTCGGCACCTGTGTCGGAGCAGACATCTGAATCCGACGACGATGAGGACTATGGAGAGTACTTCGCCAATGAGATCGCCAAGGAAGAGGCAGAGTTGCAGAAGCTGCAGCAGGCCGCCGACAAGACGCCAGACCATATTGCAGCTCAACTCGCCGCTTTTACACACGAGACAATGGTGTTCCTCACGGAGTCACCAGGTTTAGTAGACATGATTGGGCCAATTCCGGAGGTGGTCGAGCCGCCCAGAGAGCCCACGCCAGTCAAGTCACCCATTCGCGAACAGCGTGACACGACCCCCAGAGTACCGAGCCCTGTCGTGCAGACCAAATCATCGCCCAAGGATAACGTGGCAGAACCTACGCCGAAGAAGACTCCAGAGCCAGTGCTTGCGGCTGCTCCCGAACCGCTGATGGCGCCCGAAGAGAAGCCTGAACTCGAGGAAACTCAACAGCCCGAAGAGAAACTGTTTCGCGAGAACTCTGTTGAGAAGCAGGCTCACGAAGACAAACCTGTCGAGCCTATTAAGCCTGTCGAGCCTGTTCAGCCTGTCGAGTCTGTTCAGCCTGTCGAGTCTGTTAAGCCTGTCGAGTCTGTTAAGCCTGTCGAAGCTCCTGTTCAGACGCAAGTTGAAAAGCCCATTGAAAAGCCAGCAGAGGAACCTGAAACAGAGCCGTCGGAAGAGGTTGTCGAGGAGCCTGTCGAAAAACATGTTGAAAGACCCGTGGAGAAGCCATCTGAAAAGCCAGTCGAGCAGGCTCCTGAAGCCGATGCCGAGATGGTTGATGAACCTGTGGCGGCACCTACTGTTATTGAACCACAACCGAAAACCGAAGAGATGGACATAGACGAACCGGCGCCTCTTCATTCTGCGCCCTTGCCTCCGCTGGCACAATCGCAGGACAAGGACCAAGATATTGCGATGGATGATAGCGCCCCTAAAAACGCCTCTGCCGAGTCGACTGTTGAACGCGAAGGCTCCAAGGAACCGATCACGAATGGTCAGCCCCTGCTTCTCCAGCCCCCGGGTGAACCGATCGAGACCATTGAGGGAGATAAGGCTCTGCCAAGCACACCGTCGCAGATGGAAGACGACGATGATAATTCAACCGAATCGGAAGACACCGACGCCATGCTCATTGACAAGATTCGTCAGTTCTCAGCAACACCCCCGATTGACAGTCTTCCGGACTATGGCTGTCGACCATGGCATCGCGACAGGGACTTTTTGCAATCTCTTGATTCGGACCCTGCGATTGACAACTTCATTCTGGAACAACTCGACAAGATTTCATTGGAAAGAATTACGGCCCAAGAAGTGTTGCGCAAGGACTACGCCGAAAACTACGTCAAGTACCTCGACTTTACTGTCTCTAACGATCCGATTGCGGTGAAGAGTCGAGAAACGTTCATCAGCTGTTTACCAATGCCCGAAAAACACATCCCCATTCCTCCCCCTCCAGAACTCAAGCCCGAAGGCAGGGGAGCCGGCAGAAGGTACGCTAGCGAGCGTGATCTTGAACGGGTCCTGCAGGCATCTATGCGCGAAGACGAGGAGCGTAAGGAGAGGGAACAAAGGGCCATGCAAGAGAAATATCGCAGCGAAAAGGAGGCTGTCATACCCGAGATGCATTGGACTCAGGAGGACAGAGACGCCGAGTACTTCAAAGACACGTCCGGATACACTCCCGTGGAAAAGCTTGTGGCGGCCTGGCAGATTCTGCCGCCCATCAACAACTTCACTCCAGAAGAAGCGGATCTCTTCGAGAAGAGATACCTCACCAATCCAAAGCAGTGGGGTGTGGTTGCTGAAAATGTACCGAAGCGCAGCTTCGGCACATGCATCCAGTACTACTACCTGATGAAGAAGGAACTGAATCTCAAGGACAAGCTTAAGAAGCAACCCAAGCGCCGTAAGAAGGGCAGGGGTAAGACCCGATCCAGTGCCCTCGTATCAGAGCTTGGGAATGCCGAGAACGAAGGCGAAGAGAACCAGGAGAATGGTGAAAACGGAGAGAGGCGACGGCCTCGCCGTGCTGCTGCTCCTACATGGGGATTCGAGCAACCGCCTACCGACTCCGAGAATGCCACTCCCGCCGGTACACCTGGTCGCCGTGGTAAAGCGGTGGACCCTGACAAGCCCGACGGCAGGAAAAGGGGCAGGAGAGCGGCTAAGGATAAGGACCTTAAAGCTGCCAAACCCCAGCAGAGTCTTGCAGCGGCACCGACTCCAGCCACAGGCAAGGGGCGATCACGGTCGAACTCCAGAGTTCAGAACTCCGAGTTCCAGCCGCCTCCGCCCGTTCCCGTGGAAAACCGACTGCCATCGCAATTTGAAGTGCCCTCTCCCGGCGTTCAATCCCCTTTCGCGGCAGCTCAACAGCTGCCCCTCATTGTCCAGGAACGTCCTGTCTCGGTTACGCCAGTGATTTCCGAGGTAATGGCACCTCCGTCGCTGCGACCTGAGCCGCCACCACCTCCTGCTCAACCGACGCTGGCAACCTTTGACATTGCTCAGCCGCAGCCCGAACGTCGCCCTCCCAGTACGGCGTCAAGCTACTGGAGTGTTTCCGAGGCCAACGACTTCCCTGGTCTGCTGAAGTCTTTCGGCACGGACTGGCCAGCCATCGCCGCTCACATGGGCTCCAAGACAGCTGTCATGGTTAAGAATTATTTCTTCCGCCAAAGAGACCAGGGCAAGAGCGACTGGGAGCAATTTGCCAGTGATGCAGATGCGAAGCGAGCAAAAGGAGAGAAGTTGCCCGAACCTCCCTTGCCGACAACTGGAGGCAGGAAAAAATACGACTCGACTCCAGGAAGTTCGCATCGTGCCATTGCTTCCGCGCCCGCGACCGCACCGCCCGCTACACCCGCGACAACATCTGCACCTGGCACACCTGCAGCTTCCGCAGTACCAGCCGCCGCCGAAACGCCGAGTGAAGCAATTACGCCCAAGGTTGAACCAGCTGCTCAGCCACCTTTTGGCCGCTTCACAATGCCAATCACTCCCGCACCTCCACCTCCAGCGCCACCTCAGCAGCAACAGCCAACACAAGCACCTGCAGCCCAAGCATCCCCCGCGGTGCCTGCTCCTCAGGCAGTGACGGCTATCCAGCCGCCACATCCCGCTGTTCAGCCAGTCGTCACACAGTCAGGGTCGCCCATCACTCGTCCTGTCAGAGCACCACAGCAGCCAGCCTTTGGGTTCCAAGAGAGAGAAAGGGAGTCCACTCAACCGCCCCACCCTCAGCCAGTCAGAATTTCCCAGAAGCCATCTGCAGCTCTTGCCGAGCCTGTTCAACAACGTCCTCTGGCTGCTGCCCAACCTATCCAACCTGTGCAGCCTGAATCCCAGCTCGATCGACAACATGCGGAGAGGCAGCAGCAGGCCGCACAGCAGGCGGCGCAACAGCAACAGCAGCAACAGCAGCAGCAGCAGCAACTAGAGAAGCAGCAGGCCATCGAGAGACAGCAACAGCTCGAGATCCAGAGAATGGAACAGATTGAGCGTGAGAGGCAACAGCAGATCGAGAGGCAGCAGCAAATTGAGAGGCAGCAGCAGCTTGAGAGGCAACAACAGCTCGAGAGGCAGCAGCAGCAGCAGCTTGAACTTCAGAGGATCGAGCAGCAACAACAGATGGAGCGACAGCAACAGCTTGAAAGACAACAGTTGGAGAGACTGGAGAGGCAGCACGCGCAACAGATTGAAAGAGAGAGGCAGCAGATGGAAAGACAACAACAAATGGAGAGGCAGCAGCAACAGCAGCAGCAGATGGAGGCGCAAGCAAAGGAACACCTGCGGCCAATGGAACGAACGCGGTTAAAGCAGGAGCCTGGCATGACACCGCCTCAGCATCACTACGAACCTCTATCCTTCCCTCAGCAGCAGCCTCGCGGCATGCCTCTGCCACGATCAGAGCCTCCTTCTGTTGCGCCAAGACAGGAGCCGCCTCGCGGTGCACCTACTCCAGTACCACAAGCCTATGGCCAGCCAATGCCTCAGCCGGGTGGTCGTGGCTTGCTAGGAGATCCGCAGCCGCCTGTTAGTGTTTCGACACCGCCTGCCCAGCGACCCATTGCTACTCCGCAGAGACCAATGCCTACCCATATGGATTCGTATGGCACTCCTCCTCAACAGTCGCAACCTCCCCCGTCTGCGGCCCCTCCTCCAGCTCGCGCACCGCCTTCAAAGAAATCCAACCTCATGGCATTGCTGAATGACGATGCTCCAGCCCCTCCTGCCGCACCTACGTCAACCCCTCAGCCCAAGCGTGTCAACGACGTAGCTCAAGGAAGGCCTTCTTCGGCTACACCTCCCCCCCAAGCCATGCCGCCAAGAGGACCGGCGCAGCCGCCAGCACCCACACCATTGCGGCCAGAGAGAGAACCTCCCCAGCCTTATCCTTACAGTCGAAGTGCAGCTCCGTCAGCATCTGCTATGCCTCCCTTGAAGCCATCATACACCGCATCACCACAAGCCCAACATATGAATGCCCCAAGATCCACCATGGCATCACCTCAAGACGCAGCAAACCCAATGGACCGTCAATATTATAACCGTCATCAATATGACGCGCATCAGGCACACGGGACGAACTCGCCTCAAATAGCACAGCCTTACCAATCGCAACCGCCGCCCCAAAGAGACCCTTACCAACCTCAGCCGGGCTATTCTGCGTATGGTGCTCCTCCTGCACATGCCGGCTCTCCGCCGCCGCAGTATGCTCATCAGTCGACCTCTAGGAGAGAACCACCGCCTTCAAACCGGGAACCTGTTTGGAACCAGGGTCACTCGATGGGACAGCCGCAGCCACAGCAACCACCGTCCTGGTCATCGCAGCATGCCCCGCCAAAACAAACTCAACCAGCGCCGCCTTCGTCGGCAACGTGGGCTTCGCCGCATACATCAGCCCAGAAGATACCCCCAGGAGGTGGCATGCCCCCGCAACCATGGGCGTCCGGTCCGCCTCAGCAACAGCAGCAGCCGCCGCCTCATCACCAGATGTCGATGAGAGATGACAGAGGCGCTCCCATGTACGGCCAAGCCCCTCAGCATCAACACATGCAAGGTCGTTATCCACCAGTCTCGCGGGCTCCCGAGCCTATGCCCCCTCAGGCGCAACAGCAGCCGTACCCACCCCGATACGGAACACCCGCGCCAGTGCCTCGAGAGCAGATGCCGCCGCAGATGCAACAGCGCCCATTCACACCTGTTGGTTACGATGCTCGTGTGCCTCCTGCGGGTCCCCCGGGGGCTTACCCAGATCCTAGAGACATGCAACAGCAGGCAATGCTTCGAGGACAAATGCGTCCGCACGAAGGCTATGAAAGGCAGAATGACCGGTACGGTCGTTAGGGACAACAGCAGCCGTACCCGTCCCCATACGCAACATCCGGACAAGTGCCTCAACAGCAGATGCCACCCCAGATGCAACAGCGCGGGTTCACACGTGGTAATGACGAAGTTCGTCTGCCTCCTGCGGGACCCCCCGGGGCCCACCCAGATTCCAGGGAGACGCAACCGCAACCGGTGCTTGGAGAACAGACGCGTCCACGTGAAAGCTATGAAAGACTGAATGACCAGTACAGTCGATAGGAACAGGCCACTGATGGAACTTGGATGCAACGTATCCTCTCTCAGGCCCCGAACACCAAAGGTCAATACATCCCGCGCCCGCCTGATCGATACATCTCAGGTAAAGAATGGAACGGCGGCAGGGTGCAGAGCATACGCCATATCATTGATCCACTCAGAGGCTCACCCAGCGGCTGGCAACCTTGCAGTCAGGAAGAGATAATAACGCCGCCTCCTTCGCGAGTTTCGAACTACCAGGATTGGTACAGAACAACGGTGGTGAAAGATGGAGCGTGGGTTTGGCAGGAATACCAGCGGTCATATAGCACCTGGAAGAAGAAGACGAGTAGGGGCGTATGGCACCCAATTGTCAAACCAACTACCGTGTTGTGAAGACGTTGCTTGGGTTCGATGTACAAAGGGACGCTCTCAGTCAAGATTTTCTTCAAGCGCTTTAGCGGATGGCACGTCGTGGTCTGACGGAGTTGCAGACGCATCAACGGAGTGTTTTGTATTACTATGTAGCGCTATTTCTTTTCTCGCAATGCATTAGCAAATCGGTTACTGCAGTGGAATTCAACAGTCATACAGCGTAGGCTCTAAATAAACGTGGTCACAAGCGGCATGATATTCACTTTCCGCTATGTGCCAATGATGATTCACGAGAACCTGGGCTACCGGATATCTGGCTCGGATCTGGCTCGTAAAACAATACATCTTAATATGTGATTTTCATTATAAATATTCAACAACTCATCCGATGAAGGGGTTGAGGGATTGATAAGGCGGGAACGGCGGATGTCTCCCGCTGATGTCGTCAGAGGCGAAGCGGATGTTTTCCGCCATTTGGTCCCAGCAATATGGATCTGTATGTGAAAGCGGGATGACGGAAGACGTCTTCCACCCGATCAAACCCTCTGCACCGATGAACATGACTTCACGTCGCCGGGGTCGAGGCATCTTGCAGTATATAAAGACTCATACACGTAAGCCCAGCTTTCCCATGAATCTCCGAGAGAACGATTGAGGTTCTCACTCTCTCATACCCGATACACCTCCACACTCAACAGCGAACTCGACGCATCATGGCAACCACAAACCCCAGTCCTCCAGGAAAGATGGCGGTGCAATCCCACGTTGCTCTGGTGAGCTACATCAACATGTTCAGCATCGGAACAGCCTACGCCCTCAGCATCCTACAGATCGAGCTGCCTAGATTACTAGACGTCCCTTACCACTGGTCCTTCGCCCCCTTCGGCTCAGCAAGTCTCGGCCTCGCAGCCGGAGTAGCCACAGCCGCCTCCTCGATATCGACCAGCGGCGCCCGCTCGACCACCGCCAAAGGCACCGGGCTCTGGGGCCTCGCCGTGCTCCTCGCAGGACACTCCCTATCCTCCCTCAACTTCCACGGCATCCTCGCGGCGCTCTTCGTCGGCGGCGTCGGCGTCGGATGGACCTACCTCGCCGTCATCGTCATGGTCAGCCAGGCGTTTCCGGACCGTCCGCTGATACGCAGCGCCATCGGTCCGCTGGGATTCTCCTCCGGTGCGGCCGCGAGTTTCGTCGTCTCCACGTTTCTTCGATTCGGCTCCCGGGACGCCGGTGAGCTGGGCGGATTCTTCAAGGTCGGGGGAGTAGCATTCGTTACTGTTGGTGCGGCCACGGTGATGCTGCTGCCCAGCGATGTAGCTTCGAGCAAGAAAGAGCCGTCCTCGGGGGCCTCGAAAAGGGGTTTCTTCTGGGTCCTGCTCTTCTTCAACGCCTTGCCGGGGATGACGGCCTTCTCTGCACTTCTCCCGGCAGCTTCATATTACAACTCGACGAGCTCCGACAGGTCCCCGAGTGGTCTTCCTTACGCCATGCTCGCGCTCGCTAGCGGAGGACTCTTCTCCAGCGCCGTTAGCAGTCGTCTTGGGCCCAATCGCACCTTCACCGTCCTGTTTTCCGTTCGCGGCGCTCTGCTGATTGCCCTCTGGCGTTCAACAAGCCAGACGCTGGCGTTCGTTACCCTCGCGACTATTCTGTTCGCTCATGGCGTCGGCTTCAGCTACATACCCGGCCTGATCAAGACGCAACTGGCCAGCGCGTCCGAATTTCCGCGTGAATATGGCCGCGTTCTCACGGCTTGGGGCGCCGCGGGAGTCGTTGCCAGTCTGCTTAATGCGGCATTACATGACGACTTTTCAAGTGTGAGCCTAGTGTTGGGTTTGACGGTGCTGTTTGTCGCCGTTGTGGGCGAATTGGCTTCTCCTCTCGACGGTTGAAGATGTTCGGCGTACGTGTAAGTGCGAAGCCAGACCATCTTCTCACCAAGTACAACCATCGTAAGACGGGACACAAAAGGGGGCAGGCCGGCCGGGGAAACTCGTCCCCGAGTGTTTGAAGCCCAGAAGCCCCGACTCCGTAAGCGGCTTATCTGGTCCCCGGGGTGAAGTTGGTGCGGCCCACGCCATGCAGTGAGATTTCTCCACGGCACTCTGCAAAAGCAGCCGGCTTACTCAACCACGTTCGCGCGGAAATAATCGGGGGGTTTCACCGGGCGGCAGACGGCGGGACATCCGCATTCGACGGCGGGGGTGGTGTGCAGACTAGTTCCTCGAAGCATCTCCGAGGCCCAATTTGTCAGGAATCACATCAACGTCTGTCCGAGGCAGCGGGTTCTTTACAAGCAACCCACGCGTGTCATATTCCTTGACGATGGCGACGAATCCAGAAGCATGTGGTATTATGAGTATAAGATGGACGGGAACCCTTCAGCGGGGTGAAATGAAGTTGTTTAGACTACATAGTAAACCACGCTTTGCAATACCACGAACATCCATTTTCATGATAACCTTGATACTCTCCTAAAGTCTTGAGAAACATTCTACCCTGTTACTTTTAGTAAACAAAATGTCTTCATTTGAAGAAAAGATCTCATCAACTGTTCGCGATGGCATCCTCCCAGGCGTGGTCCTCTACGCCAAGGACAAGTCAGGTATCACACCCTTCTCACCAACTTCTGCCATCCCCCCTACTAACACAATCAGGACGCCTTAACTACTCCAAAATAATCGACTCAGAAAACATCCCCCTAGCCCCCTCAACAACCCTCTGGCTCGCCTCCGCCACCAAGATAATCACCACAATCGCGGCCCTCCAGCTCGTCGAACGCGGCCTCCTAACCCTCGACGAGGACATCTCCCACTATCTCCCCGCCCTCGCCTCCCAAGATATCCTCACCGGCTTCGACGAGACCACCAAAAAGCCGATCACGACCCCCCGCAAGAACCCCATCACCCTCCGCCAGCTCCTCTCCCACGCCGCCGGCACGGCCTACGACTTCCTCTCCCTGGACCTCATCCAGCGCTGGCAGAAACTAAACGGCAAGACACCCGTCTCCGGGTCAAACGTCGAGGAACGCTTTTCCTACCCTTTGATCTACGAACCCGGCACGCACTGGGCCTACAGCAACGCCATCGACTGGGCCGGCCGTCTCGTCGAGGTCCTCACGGGTACGGACCTGGAATCCTACATGCGCCAGAACGTCTTCGAGCCCCTGGGCCTCGCCTCCTTCACCTTCAACACAGCCAAGGTCAAAGACACCCTCTGGCCCCTGAGCGCCCGCGACCCGGCGAGCGGGAGCCTCGTGCCCTTCGCCGGGCGGCACCTCAACGCCGGCGTCGATGCCCCGCTGGGCGGCCAGGGCCTGCACGGGCGGATGGACGAGTACCTCGAGATCCTGCACTCCCTCCTCGCCGACGACGGCAGGCTGCTGCGGCCCGCGACCGCGGCGGAGATGTTCAGGCCGCAGCTCGGCGCCGCGTCCAAGGAGGCCCTGCTGGAGAACCTGAACGTGCCGTCGGGTTTCGTGGGCGACTTCCCGGACACGAGGGAGTACGACTGGGGTCTCGGCGGGATTCTGGTCGACGGCGACGGTCATCCGTACCGCGGGAACGGGACCTTGATTTGGAGCGGGGCGGCTAACATATTCTGGGTACGTTGACGTGACTTCGATATGTGTGAAGGCGTCGCGGAGCTAACTTGGATGATAGTGGATTGACCGAAAGACTGGGGTGTGTGGTGTCTTTGGTACGCAGATCATGCCGGCCGGAGAGCTGGTGACGAAGGAGTACATCAAGGCCTTCGAGGATGAGATGTACGCGAAGATGAAGACACTGTGAATATTATGGCTTATTGGATGTAGAATGGTGGATGTAGAATGAACCAAGAGCAATTCATATATACTTACCCTTTCATTTGAAGAGATATCATAGGAAGCATCACACAATACCACGAATCGTAGTGAACAAAAAAAGCCCATCATTCGCCTTCGCTAAAGCTAACAGGTATGCGTCCAGCCAGGCAAAGAACTCAAGCCTGCAATGCAAAAATAAATAGGCCTCCAGAAAACTCGGCCGCGTGAGAGTCGGCGCGGGGGGGTTGAAGAAGAGAAAAACGAAATAAAAAGGTGTTTTGACATATCCTCCATACGGGCATAACACATGGACCTTTCCCCTTCCTTACGCTGGGGGTGCCGGCGGCTTGTCTCCGTCCGGCGCAGCATCCGCGGCGCCGGCGGCCCCTGGTTCCCCTTCCTCTTCCTCTTCTTCCACTTCCTCATATTCGTATTCGACGCCCTCCTCCTCCTCTTCCCCTTCGACAAGCATGCCATTCTGGCGTTCCCATACCTCCCTCCTGATCTTGTCGTCCTTGGCTTTCCGTGCCCTCTCGACCTCCTCGAAGCCGCCGGACTTCTTCAGCTTGCCCTCCTCGACGAAGTTGGTCAGTTCTCTCTGCAACTCGTTGCCCTTTCGACCCTCAAGCTCCTTTTGCCTGAGCTTCTCGGCTCTTTCGATGGCTTCCAGTCGGTTCTCGTGATTGGGCATCAGCGCCCTCACCTCACCGAGAACACCATCCTTTGCGGCGTTCTGGTCAAGACTGTTTCCCAAGTTGTTCAAACCCTTGGAAAAGTTTCGAGCAGTGCCAGCGCTGGCGCTAGTGCCGTTATCTTTCATCTGCTCCTTGGTGGCCTGCTCGACCAGCGCAAACGTTTCCGAGGCCTTCTCCAAGTCATCCCGGAGATCGACCATGAGGTCCTCCATAAGGCGCAGCTCATCACGGCCCTTGCACACCTCCTCAAGCTCCTTCTCCCACATCTTGGTCCAGATGGGCTTCTCTTCCTTCATGTAATCTTCCACCTTCTTGAGTTCCTTGGAAAGCTTCGTAATATCCTTCGCCACACCCTCCAGTTGCCTGGGCAGCGGCCGCACGCCACGCATAACCACGTCCTTACGAAGATCTTCCACCAGGTCTTGCAAGTCGTCGACCCTGGCGACAAGACGGTCGGAATCTGAGTTGAGCTGTTCGCGGCCCTTGGCGATGTACGCATTTCCACTCTCGCCTTCGACAGAGGGCACCGAAGCCTTGATTACCGCAGACTTGACATTGCCCGCCTTGTTGCGGATCATGGACATGGAGCCTTGGATCTCCGATTGGAACTTGGAGTAGGCTTGTCGCATGACCGCCAAGTCGCGGCGTAAGCTCTGAATCTCTGTCAAGTGGCCTGCACCAAGCTTGCGGCCACTGGCAGCGGCAGTCTTGGAACCCTCAGCTGGCGCAGCTGCCACAGGTGGCATCGCAGCTATCCTTGCCATCTCGGTTGCCGCCTCCTGTTGACGGTCCGAAACTCGTTGGATCGCTAAGCCTTGGTCGTCCACGTTCTGCTTCACATCCTGAACGATCTTCTTCAGTTGTCCTATGCCGTCATCAATGTGGCGCTTAACTTCATCCAGAGGCTCGACGTTCAAAACGAGAACCGTGCGGTCCTTGATATCCGAGAGGTCTTCCAACTCGTGCCTCACTCCCGAAACCGGGTCTTGAATGTAAATCTCGGGCAGGTCAGCACCGTTGGACTGTGTATTCCAAGAGAATTTCTCAATAAAAGCCAGCTGAAGTCGCCCGATGGAAAGCTCGCTGTACCCCTCAGGAAGCACAAATTTCTTGACCTTGGATTTGTATTGCAAGAACAGTGTGAGCTCCTTCGTCAAAGGAGGTGACTGCTCCTGTAGGAAGGTACCGTCTCGCTTCTTTTCCGGCGTCCTGACCCGCGGTGACTTTGGCTCGTCTCTGGGTGGCGGCAGAGGCTTTTGCTCTGGCTCATCGTCAGGAGACATAATAGGGAGGTCATCGCTGAGAGGTCCGTTGATGGTGGCGCTCGTTCTAGGGTATTTGTCTTCGGGAGTCTGGATCGTAGGGCTTTCCGGTCGGGCTATAGAAGCCTCCGAGGATTCTTCACTCACGCGGCTAGGTGCTCGCGGTGGTGAGGTATCCAGCGTAGGTTGCTTCGATGCGCGGTTTTGGCGTAGGGTCTCGCGTGTTTGGACAGCGCGAAGAGATTCTCGTACTTCGCCTCGGCCACGGTTGGGGATTGGAGAGTTCTGCGACGGCAGCATAGGCATACCGTTAACAGCGCCGCCAAGGTGCTTGGAGATCTGGTACTGAGAGTACCGTCGAGAAGCTCGTCTCTCCAGATCACCTCCCTTCTGCAGGGCAGCGAAGGCACTTGACTGTTGTTTCGGGGGCGGCGGCGGTGGCGGAAAGGAGTCGACATTGATCTCTGATGACGGTTGAGAGGGCATCGACGTCTCGTCGCCAGGGTATGGAGGCATGACGGGGATGTTCTGCATTGTGGTGCTAGACATGGAAGACTGCTCCGAGTTGACGGAACCGCGCGACTGGTCTCGCGGAGGCATGTAACGTCGATTAGGAGACGTGGCAGCGGGGGCGCCAGCCGACTGAGACGATTCCCTCTGAGCATCTGGCCGATAGCCATTTTGAATACCCTCCTCGAGCAGATTTGTAAGTCCGGTGTTCGTGCTACCAATGGTACTCGTACTCGTTGTCCGCTCAGGAGCACCCCCCGAGCCGCCGCTTTCCCTGTCTCTCGGGCCCTTCTGTCGCAGTTTTTGTTGCTTTCGCTTCAAGCCGTGCAATAGGTTGATAATGATATCTCGGATACGTGGAAGGTATTTCTCCAAGCTCTCGGTGCTCGCTTCTTGGCTCAGTGTGGCCTCGAGGATGCTTCGTAGCATTTCAGGAACGTTCCCTAGGTCGGAGGTATCCACGTTGATAGCTGTGAATGCCCGGCAGGCCATGTTGAATTCGTATCCCAGTCTCACGTAAACGTCGGAGACCTGGCCATCGGTGGCTTGCCCGCGGGACCATTGCGTGAGCGTCTCGAGGAGTTGCTTCGTCGCGACTAACAAATGTGTCACGCTCTTTTCTATTTGCGATAGCGGCATGGCGGAGCTTGTAGAGTTCTACAGATTCATCGTCGTCAGCTACTGGCATGAGAGTCGAGGGAGCTAGGGCTTGGTGGGGTCGATTGGGAGGCGGGTCATCGCGAGCGATAGCTCGAGCATTTCCTCGTAGTCCCGAGAAAACACGTAGTAGACTCACATTTGATCTCCGCATCCCGTTTGGAGGGGCGGAACGATTTGAAGCGTTAGAGGACCGCGGCTGGACGCCGTTGCCGGGCGATATTGAGCGTACGGGCACATTCGGCGGGGGGCCAGGTTCAGCGCCCGGAGAGCGACGTGCCATACGCTGCGAGGGACCTGGCGGTGCCTGCATAGTGAGTGAGGTCGGCGATGTTTACTTTTGCGATTAAAACGTCCTCCTCTTCCTTGCTTTTTCCCAAGCAAAAGTCGCCGGTGCTAGGTAACCAAAAAGTAGGCCTCGGTATCGAAGAGAGTCGGATTTAAGATATGGGTGGAAGCTATTGGAGCCAAGGGTCGACGAGCATGCCTCCCGAGAAGGACGCGGATGGCAAAATATCTTGAGCTCGGTCGGAGGATATGCGGGCGTCAGGAGGTTGAGCTATTCTCGTCCGATGCCGAGTCCGTGAGTAGCAGAGATATCGGCGGGCGGCGGTATTAGGGGATCGTCGGGTTCGGTGCAGCGAGAGACACTGGCGTGGCGCAGGATGGTAGAAAAGTAGCCGTGGCAGCGCAGGTTCTATGCGTCGACGGCGTCGTCTAGACGGATTCGGTGCGCGAGGGTTGCAGGTGTCGCAGAGAAGAATGTTGAGGTGGTGACTGCAATGTCAATGTTGCAGGGCAGAAGGCAAAGCGCAAAGCAATTACGAGGTGCAGGTATGTAAGTACGAGGTACAGGACGCAGTCTTACCGCAGTGCACTACGGATACCTTATGCGTATATGCAGTATCATTTAGAACCGTGTTCGGATTCCCGCTCCAGTGCCTGCGGCCCAAGACCCATTTGCAGTGAAGCCCAAGCCCGCTGGAGAAGCAGAGACACACGCGCACCCCGTCCAATTGGATAGGTGCATCGATGACTTCCATGCCCTGGAACCTATCTTTACCCCCCGGCCTGGTAAAGCCTGGCAGTCCGCCGTCCGCCGTCCGCTGCTCGTCACATCATCCTGACAGTGGACCGCTGACGCCTGAATGGCTCCCAAGGTGCCAAGGTGGCTTGACCCCCTGGTAGCCGAGGACGCACGTGCCCCTTACCAGCCACCCGAATGCCATTTGGTTGTGTCGGTTTTGGACAGCTATTGGCTCATTTGGAGCTCCCATCTTTTTATCCAAGTCACCTCTCACCATTTTCGTCCATCCACCATCCATCTCGTCACCATCTCTGCCCCCTAGCAGCTCCGAGAATACAAATCTCTCTGGGATGAAACAGCCTGGAATGTTTCAAAACAACGACAGTCTGTGATATGCGCTGAGCGGGGTGGTCGCAATCCCACCGAAAAGCTCCAAAGTCAATCCCCATATTCAATGAATATCTTGACTTCGACTCGACCAGACTCTAGATTGAGACTCGACGGACCACCACCTCCATACCTTCACACTTGCGCCGTCCGGGCGTTGCTTCGGCTAGCACGACGTGTCAACTCGCGTTAGATCCATTCCCTCAAGGGAAATGCGAACGAAGGCGTGGTCAGTGCATATGCAAGCTTCCACTGTCAATCTGCAAGCACAACGCGACCTCGACGTCTAAACCCTGCGAGCCACTGTCAGAGGAAGACGAGCCTGGCGTTTCAACCTTTTCCTCGTGGCCGGGCTCACCATGACTCGGCCACATCATTACATCACGAACCGCACCGCTAGTCCGTGAGCTGTTTGGCTCATTGCCGTCTTATTCTCCGTGATCTGCGCAACGAACCACTGAGGAAACTCGGTCGCATGGCACGGGGTTGACAACTGTCATCGCAGAGAGTCGAGCCTAGGACTGGGCTCTGCGCCACGCACAGAATTATTATGATCAGCCTGCATCCCGGCGACTTCCAACGACACGACACGGGCAACGATTGCAGAATAAAGCATTGATCTATTAACTAGAAGACATCAGGCGGCAGGGTCCTGATCCCGACTCCAGACCTTTCATGCTTCGTACAACTCTTCAGATAACTCAGCCACGCTCTAAACTATGGGAAGAAGCCGCGCATGAAGAAGTAAGAGTGCACCGAGACCGTCACCAGCGGATGGAAAATCCACGGCGTTTCGAATCTGGCATGCCTCGCTACGGATTTTGCGATCGTGGTCTGCGGCGATCCGGGGGTGAACATGTTGTCGTTCATGAGCTCCTCTGTAAGTCGTTGTACCTTTTCTAGGCGAGGGAACATCTCCGTCTCGAATGCTTCGACGTTTCGATCCAGGATATCCGGGTTTCCACCCTCGGCGGCGGCCTTGATGATTGCTTTCGCCAGCTTCATTGCGCCATCCATAGCGACGTTGACACCCTCGCCGGCGTACGGAGTCATCAAACCTGCTGCATCTCCGATGGCCGTTGCCCCGCGCCGGTGCGGCCACTTAAACCCGACCGGAAGCATGTACAGCGACCTCGGCGCACATTCGCCCTCCGCCTTGACGATGGCCTCCGTCAGCGCCGGGCTCCAGTCCTTGTACTCCTCAAGCAAGGCCTTTTTGACCGCCTCGAGGTCATGCGAATCATACCCGCACACCTCTGGCGACGACCATTTCTCGTTGTCAGACAGCACGGACGCGTAGACATTCAGACTGCCGTCGCCCATCTGCTGGATTGTGATTCGCTTTCCGTCGCTGTTGGCGAAAACGCTACCTCTGTTGACGAGCTTGTACAACTCGGGTGCCGTCTTTTCGGCGTCGGGGACGCTCAAAGAGTAAAGGCCAATTTTGGTCCATAATGGCTTGACGTCTGGTGCGAGCAGTTGGCGAACCTTGCTCCACGCCCCATCAGCGCCTATCACCAGGTCGAAGCCCGAGGCGGAGGTGTTCCCGAAGTCGAGCGTGCCGTCCTCGCCGACAGATTTCAGATGGTGTCCCCACTTGATCGTGTCCTTGGGCAGAGATTCTGCAAGAAGTTGACGGAGCTTCGGCCGGTCGATTTCTGGACGCTCCTGACCACCGCTGCCGAACCCGCCTTCGGCTGTTCTGACAAAGTGATGCTTGTTGTTCTTGTCGACGATGGCCATGTATTGACCGTCATATCTTGCGTGCCTCAGGAACTCGTCAAAGAGACCGGCCTCCTTCAGCGCAAGCAGTCCGGTGTCAGTGTGAAGGTCCAAAGTGCCGCCCTGCGATCTGAAGTCAAGTGAAGATTCGCCTTCGAAAATTGTTGCTTCGATGTTAGACAAGTGCAATAGACGCGCCAGGAGACATCCTAGCGTGATATTAGCAAGTGAGCAACACGGCAAATAGGCACACCAGCGTTGAGATGACCCTGGCCAAGCCCTTGCGGTGGACATAAGCTTACCTGCGGGTCCTGCGCCGATGATGGCTATCTTTAGACCGGACATTGAGATCAGAACTGGTGCCTTATTTTGAGTGAATGATGTAAGTGATGCTCTTCTTTCAAGGTGGTATCGGTTGATAAATCGAAGTTGGGTGTGATGATTCGAATTATTGATTCAAATGAAGCTCAAGGGATGTCTTATGCCAAGGAATGAACGCCTTCTTATATCTGGACCGCAAATACGCCTTCAGCCAACAGCCACGTTAAATTCGAGCCCAGTCGGACGATTCAACGACACCAAACGCGCGTCGGGTGCTATCGCAACCGCATTCGGCACCGTAGCGCTGCGGCGCTGCTGCTTACATCAAGGGGTCTCTAGATACAGATCGAACGCTCCCTAGCCCTACGAAGAAGTATTTAGACCAAGCCACGGATACTCCGCGGAGGTTGAGATTGGTGCTGATTCTACGTCATTCGTGCATAGAAAAGCACGGTCGGGTGTTCTGCAACCTGAGTTAAGCCCGAAGGATAATCCGATTTGACTCTCGGAATCACCACGACCTTCATTTGGCCGCTGTAAGAAAGATAGCGCGCTACGGAGCGGGTTACTAACCGCCGGCGCCGCGCTTTCACTTAAAAGCGTATCGCGAGGTTTTAATGCTGAGGTAAGAAAATGGTCAGTGAGTAAGTGGTAGGAGCCGGGTTTAACCGTCGCTGTCAATCGTTCTTGAGCACTCTCAAGCCAACGCATGGCATCATCAGAGTAGTTCTGTCATCCCATATGTGTTATAGGAGCATGAGGTAGGTATATTCGTAGAGTTGAGAGGACTGGTCCGGGCCGAGTTGTAGCGATTTTCGGGTGTGGAACCCAGCGCCGCACGCCGGGACTCGGCTGCAGTGGTGCTGAGTACGGCCAATTGGTGCCTCAGGCCGCAACAGGCATCGAACTCGGAGCTTGCGCTTCGGTCAATCTAGAAACCTTCAATTGGCATCACAACCGCCGAGCTACCATCCCACCCCCGTACTCATCAACCACATCAAACCCGATCCGAAAACACCGCCAAAATGGTCTTCGCCTGGAAAGCCGCCGGTCTCACGTGAGTTCCATTGGGATTTTGTCTCGAGGACGCGGGCAATTGGGACGACGCAGAGCGCGGAAAAGCTAACCCGGCAACCCCCGATCAACAGCTACAACCGCTACCTCGCCGTCGCCTCGCGCGTCGTGCGCCGCAGCCTGAAGGAGGACAAGAGAATCGCCGCCGAGCGCCGCGGCGACATGGACCTGCGTTTCGCCAAGTGGGAGGTGAGATGACGACGATTTCCCAACCACGGGGAGAAAGCAACACGCGCTGACGAAATAACGCACACAGAACGGCAAGCAGGGCGACCCCAAGCCCCTCGCCCAGGCCGCCCGTCCCGCCGCCTCTTCGTAAACCGACTGCACTCGCCGCCGAAGAAGACAGAACACCAGATCGGGTCGTGAGATGGAAGTGATATCGAAAGGGAGGGTCAGATTGGGAGGGGGAGAGATGGAGAAAGTCGACCTCCGGGTACCCGCCGGCTCCTAGACTGTGAGCTGCTGTATCATAACAAAAAAAATATGGCATGAAAACCTATCAATCCAATGCCCGTCCTACGATATTTTTACGAATGTCATATTTCTATTGCTGGTGGAATCGGTGACTGAATGTTGCGATGTCGGGCACAGTGACGACGCCGGAGACGCCTGCCAGAATGTTGGGCGTGCTCCCTCCACAGACCCAAATTTGCCCGCCACCGGACAAACTCGGTTGTGATCGCTCCATGTTCCCGTCGCAGCTGCCTCACAACAACCTCAAACCCGTAAATTTGCACCGGCGAGAAAGTGCACCGTGACAATTGCGTCTCATACTGACTTTCCGAAAGAGAACTTCGAGGCCACCTTCTGTAGTCCTCCGATTTTGTCGCGTGCCGGGTCGGCTGCCAACAAATTAATCGGCATATCCATGCGCGGCCGCAAAGTCCCTGTGACCTCACTAAAACCGCACTCGACGCAGCCTCATTCACCAGAGCCTTTCATGAGGCGCGAGTGCTGAGATGGCCATACCTTCCGGCTTTGGAGTGTCTGATGGTGAGTCGCCTTTCCCTGTTTGGAAGTGAGGTGCAGGTTCGCTAAAGTGGTGTAGACATTTCAAGGCTCTCTCTCGAGCAAGGGCGTGAACCCCCGCCGCCCCCGCCGCCAAATATCTCAAGTGACGGCATCGTCGCCTTCGATATCACGTCCAAGTTTACTGCTGCCGCTGGAAGTAAGCTGAAAGCTCGAGAAAGTCTCGGATGTGACGAGGTCGAGTGCTGATTGTTTTAAAGAGCTTGCTCCGGGTGAGCTGGTCAAGGATGGGTTCTTCACTTTGTTTGAGTCTGTTGGCGCGCTTGAGGCATGTTGTGACTCCCATCCAGGTGGACGAGGACGTCTTTTTGCTGACTGCATCATAGATAATGGACCCGAAGATGGACAGCGGCTGTCTCGACACAGAGGAGTCGCCTGATGTTGACTATGATGTGTCGCGCCCTCTTCTGCCTGAGGAAGTCCTGGGCATTATCGACCAACTGCTCTGCCATGAGGTTGGGCTCCTGATTCTTATGGACCGGGCTGTCAACTGACAACTTCTCAGATGGCCTGGCACATTGGATACCCCTTGTCACAGACCTTATTCACAAGCGTATACGTCGAGTCGATTCTGATGCCCAAACCTGCCACCCTCGAGGATGCCCACTTCATCCGAAACGCCAACGGAACCCCGCCATCACCGATGCATGCCGTTCTGCGAGCCTACTGCGTGGGACTTTTGAAGACATGCGGCAATGTAAATGAGAGGATAAAGAACGAGCACTTCTATGAGGTAGACATCATCCTCGCTCATGGCGTTCTTGGCTAAGCGGTACCACAGGAAGAAGACTTTGTAACAAACACCTACAATCGAGTCTTACTCGACGACTTCGACGTAGAATCCGTAAGAGATGTCATCAAGGATGCCAGCTTCATTCTTCGGCATTCGTCAGATTCGGTACCCAAGGAGATCGTCGATGCCCTGAACACCAGACTACTCCTCCGATACGCGTTTCTTGCGGCCATTGATCACACGCAGTACCGGACCGAGCCGGACAGAATCAGAAGCCCATGGAACGAAGCCCTCCAAATGCTTCCGAGCATCAAGAGTACCCACGCTCTGGGCAAGCCCGTCCCGGAAGCCTTCAGCGCCAAGTTGCAGAGGAAACTGGCGAGCACGATGCCCCCGCGTCCCATCGTCCAGACCAGCTTCGAAGACGCCATTGCAAACCTGACGAGAATGATTAGCGACGGAATAGAGGTTGTCGGTGTTCTCAACTACACCGACTCCATCTGTCTCCAGGTAACGTTTACTGAACCCCCGAACACACGGGACTATTGCAGCTGACAATTGCCAGACTTATGTCACAACCTTCCAAGCAAAGAAGCCGCAGCCACTCATCTTCGTCCGCACTCTCCTGCAATCGTTCCTCTTCAAAGACATGGAAGTACTCGGCCACAAGTCAATCCGCCAGCTCCTCGACGACGACTTTTCCATAGTCTCCCTCCCCAACAGTCCCCTCCTCGACCGCGCCAACGACGAGATCGAAGCCATCCAAGACCCCCGCTTCACCGTCGCCGCCCAGATGGAGTCCTTCCGCCAGCGAGCCGCCCAGCCCTACCTCGACATCCTCCGCACCTTCTGCCAGAACCGCTGCCGCGTCCGCCGCACCCTGTGCCACATCGTCCGCGACTGGGAGAACCTCCAGTTCGACGCAGAGGACATCGACCAGGTCATCCAGCACCAGATCGACGAGCAGCCGGCCGTGTACCAGACGCCCGCGGGCCCCGTCGAGAACTACTCGCTCCCGCTGTCCTCGTGGGCGTACCTGTACAAGGTCAAGCAGATGGAGTGGATCGTCCAGCTCGGCTTCGAGCTCGAGGTGTACCAGCCCGACGAGCTGGCCGGCATGTACTGGTACCTCAACTTCCTCGCGAAAAACCGCCTGCAGCACGTCGAGCGCATCAAGACGTTCATCATGAGGAGCCTGAACCAGGCGCGGTCCGGCAGGCAGCGGCTCGCGCCGGCGGCCGAGGCGCAGTACACCAAGTCGCTGGCGTTCATCCGGCTCACGCTGCTCGACGCCGCCGTCACGGACGGACTCGCCGACGCCCTCTGCTGCCTGTACACCGTGCTGCACCGTCTGGGCCTGATCAAGCCGCCCCCGCGCCCTTACAGCACCGACGAGCTGCGCTACGAATTGCGGATGAAGCCGTTCGCCGTCATCGGGCTGCCGTCTCTGCCGACGTTTGACGAGTTCACCGAGGGCACGCTGCAGTCTGATGTCTCGACGGGCGACCTACTCGCGCTGGCCGACCGGGCCATCGCGGGCGCGAAGAAGGGCTTCGAAGTGATGAGCAAGTTCCCCGACACCGAGTCCTTCTCTGTGGGATCAAATGATCGCTGGGTGGCTACCGTGAAGAACGGGCTCAAGTCGTGCATCGCGACGGGGCTGGCGGTGTCTGTCATCAGGAAGGCGCTAGACAAGTCCGGGGACGGCGGGGACCTAAAGCTCAAGGCCGAGGTGCCGACTCCTGACAAGTCGTATCACGAGTGGTGGATCGTCCCGAGAATCATACCCGTTCGGTGAGGATCTTTTTGACAAAGCGGACCGAGGCATAGCGTAGATGTTTGTTTAGTGAATAGACAATCGAAATGCTACTTTCTACGTGGGGCCGTCTTTTCCAAGTGATATTCCGATCTCCCAGGGATCATGTGATGCTACTTTCCGGCATCCATGTCCAAGCCGTATCCCAACCGTTACCCGAGTTTGGGTATTTCCGAGTGATTCCAGTACAAAATTTGATACAAATCGCGCGAGAAAAGCAAAACATATATGCTGAGCTACCATGCGGTGCAATGGCGCGTCTAGCTGGCTTGGTCTATATATGCGTGTGAAGATCACCTCTAATGCCAAGTGCTGTCATGTTCAGGGGCTCGCCGATGGGCGCAATGCCGGATTTGCCCAGTGACAGGTTCGACCTTGTCAGTACAGATCTCACAATAAGCCCATCGGCAAGCCTACTGAAACCTGCGCAGATCTAAACTCTCGAGGTTTAAAGGTGAGGCGCGATTACGCGCGCTTCTTGGCAGCGATGGACCTGAGCTTGACGGTCTGCTCGTACAGAACGTCCTTGAAGGCGAAGAGGAAAGCTGCGGTCAACACGCTCTGGGTGACCTTGGGGCCGATACCTTGATAGAGTCCGTTAGCATCAGAAAACAATTTCCGTAACCGCCGCGTGAGACCTACCCTTGTAGAGGCCGGCGTAGCCCTCCTCCTTGATAACACGGCTAATGGCCTGGGACATGCCCTCCTTCTTCTCTCCGTTGCTGGCCACGTGCATCTGGCTCTTGACCGTGATGTACGGGTAGGTGATGGAGGTGGCGAACAGCTTGCCCAGAGCGCCGAGGACGAAGGCGATGGACGGCGTCACCCTCCTCTTCTTCTCCACCGAGTTCTTCATCTGCTCGAAGAGAGTGTACTGCAGGATGGGGTTGGCGACGAGCACCAGGGCGGGGATGACGCCCGAGAAGAGGGCTTGGGGGCCCTCGTTCTTCAGCAACGCCAGCAGGGTGCCGATGGTGGAGGGGGCCTTCTTGGGCTTCGCGGCCTGGGCCTCCTCGTCGCCGCCGCCCTCCTTGCTGCTGGCCTGGCTGCGGGTGGTCATGCGGGTGTTGACGACCCAGATGGGGTTCGTGAGGATGACGGTCGCGGAGCCGGCGATGGCGCCGGCGATCATGGACTCGACGGTGGTGAGCTTCTTGTTGGCGCGGCCGGCCTTCTCGGCGGCGGCCTCGAAGAAGGCGCGGGTCCATTCGTACCAGTAGTAGTAGACGAAGTTGGTGACGCTGATGCCGAAGAGGGCGGACTCGAGGCCCGAGTAGAGGCCCGACACGCCCTCCCTGGCGACGATCTTCTGGACGGCCGTCAGGAAGGCCGAGTCGGCGCGCTTCGATTCGACCTGGGCGCGGGTGGAGAGGGTGATGAGAGGGTAGCTGTGCGACGACGACGAGGATTAGACATGCGACATCTAGGGGGGTTTGACGATCTGGAGAAGGATGGACGGGAGATGGGGAAGGGGGTTCCAGAAAAAAAAAGTTCCCCGGATTTCTGTTCTTACGTCAAGGCCATGGAGAGAAGACCACCACCGGCACCGGCGAGGGCGTGGGCGACATTGTCGTTCTGGGGAAGCGCTGGCTTGGACATGGTTACGATAATTATGTTTCTGATGGTGGTGTCGTCGTCGAGGGGGAAGCTTGGCTATAGTTGGGACGAGGGGGATCCAAAAGCGGGATGCGAAGTCTGGTGGACGCGACGTATTTGAATGGGATTTTGATGAAAGCAAGTCTGGCCTTCTGCCATCTCAAACGGTACAGCAGATGAATACCAGTCCCTTGGTTGGAGCCGAGGTCAACCACGTTTGCAATGCCGAAGGGGTGGGAGGGGGGTGGTTAGGAGGCTGCCTCTAAGAACCTTAACCCCAGTTATGTCATTCATGCGATCACAGGACAGACAGACTCCAGGGGCTGGCAGGGCAGATGCGGTTGGGTCTGGTCGCATGTGATGGGCCTTAAGTAATAAAGTGCCCGACGCCGCTCTGCCTCTGGCAAACTGGGCGAAATTCGGCGATTACGGAAGAGATCGGGATCCAGCGTTCACGGTTCACCAATCCAATCTCGTGGGGTTAAGTCGGGGAAATGGGGAAATATTAATCCCCTGTCTTTAATCCAGGTCCCAGGCCAGGTCGGGTCCTCGTCCTCGTCCTCGTCGGGTCGGGTCCCCTCCCGTCTTTTTCGATAAGGCAGGATCTGGTCTGAGCGACCGAGGGGTCGACGCTACACCCAATTTGGATGAAAGTAAACAAAATAGCAGCTTTTTTGGCTGACAACTGTCCAGGGCCCTGTCCAACCCGCCCGCCAGCGCCAGCACAAGACCGCATGTACACACGGCCACCACACCACTTCGCGCGACACACCTTTCCCATGCATTGAATTTTGACGTTGGCGTAAATTAACCTGACAGGAAGGCCAGAGAGCCCTGCGCGCGTGTCTTTTTCGACTTGTTTCTTTTTTTATTCTTTGCATATCGCATACGCGGCATTCACCGCCACAGCGCGCGCGCGTTTTTATCGCGCCCAGCCGACAATGGCAACCCCGATAACCAGAGACCTCGGCGACGAGGAGAACCTCTCGTCGCCAGACCCCCTCAACGACACCGTCTCCTCGGCGCTCTACCCCTCCTCCCGTCGCGCGACACGCAGCCAGCGGTCGCAGCGGCTATTCTCCGTCGGCGGGCCCGGAACGTCGCCTAGAAAGCAGATGTTCGAGCTCGAGGTCGGAGACAACCGCGCGCCGCAACGGCTGCTCGTCACGGTCGAAGCCGAGGACGAGTACGAGAACGTGGGGCGCAGACTCTTCAACGCGCAAACACCCAGCCTGCGACGAGGCGCGACGACGACCACGATCCCCCTCGGTGGCGACAAGAGAGTCACGGCAGTCAAGACCCCGGCGCGGAGGGGCCGTCCGCCCAAGAATGCCACCCCGGGACCCAGCGGCGCGACGACGACGTCGAGGAAGAGGGCCGCGACCCCGAAGAAGACACCCAGACCGGCGCGCAGGCCCAAGATCGGAGATTCGGACGAGTTGAACTCCGAGTTGACCGGTGTTCAAGGGACGCCGAAATCGATCATGCGCCGCACAACACGCGGTTCGAGTCGACAACCACGCGACAGCTCCGCGGACCCTGCGCCTTCGACGACGACGACGACGCGGCGCCGTGGTAGGCCGAGGAAGGTCGACTTCAACCCCGACGAGACGATTCACACGATCGAGGACGACTATCAGGGCGTCGCGCCGTCTGACGATATTTTGGCGGCGGTGATGGAAGATATGGCCGTGGACGATGCTACCCCGGCGCGGGAGCAAACAACACAAAAGCTGCCGGACTCCGACCAGGATATTTGGATGGCTACGATTGACGACGAAGCGACGCCGAGGCCAGCAACACAGGTGAATACGACACTACAGCATAGCCCATCGCCGGCCTACCCTCAGAAGAGCCCGACCCCGTCTGATCGGTTCCCCTCCGAGGACGGCAACGAGCCTGCTTACGATAACTACGACTTTGGCCCGGGGCCCGCCAGCGATATTTCATCCCTTATTGACGGTAGCCATGGCAATGCCAGCGGTGGTTCTCGTGATCCCGAACTGGATACTGTAGCGCAGGGCGAGGATTTCAGTATGATTTTTGCCAACTCAATTCCCTCATTGCGGGGCAATATGAGCGTGCAGGCTTCTGGGCCTGAAGATTTCGGCGAGGAGACAAGCTTGATCATCAACAAAACGCTAGAGTCGCTGAGACAGAGCGGTGCTCTGCGGATGGATGACGACGAAGACGAAGTTGTTGAAGTGCCCTCTGAACCAACCGTCCAAGTTGAGGAGGGAATGGATCACAACAGTACTCGACACGAAGAGGCTTCACCGTCAAACAGGATTGAGGCCCTTATGGACTCTCTGGTTGATACCACCACCGAATTCAACCACGAGACCGTTCCTGACGTCACGGGCGAAGTCAACGTCGAGTCTATCGTCGATATCAGCGCTGTTCAACACTCACCGGTCGACCTGCCCTCACTGCCTACTCCAAGGCTACAAGCACCGTCTATTGGAGCGAACGACAACACACCGAGCAAGGCCTGGACCCGAAGCAGCCCTCGTCGCAAATCCATCCCACTGGGCCGGAAGCTCCTGGAGAGCAAGGCACGTCAAATGGACGATTCGTTCTCCAGCGTTCCCTCCAGGATCCTGGCGGCGGCGACCCCTAAAAAGTGGGGATCATCTAGACGAAGCTCGGCTTCAAGGAGGAGTTCGATGGCGAAAGAGGACACTTCGGCCGCGTACGAAGACGAGTTCTCCGAGGTTCCCGAGGACATCTTGGAGGCGGCTACGCCTGGCAGGACGCTACAACGAGTTGATGAGACTGAAATCGATGAAGAAGCTGAGGCCGCGCCAGACGATGACGACATGATGGAGGCACAAGACGACGACAGGGTGGAGGACCAAGATGACACCATCGAGGCAGCGCGGTTCAGACCGTCACCGACAAAAAGTGCTGCCTCCAACGCGAGTGTCTCTTTCACTCGCTCAGACTCCGGTAGAATGCCGACGCCCGACGATACGCCTTCGCCCAACGACGTTCCCGCCCCTGAGTCGGACAACAAGACTATCGACGCACCGCAGACTTCTCCGCTTGCGGAGCAGCCTCAAGTGCCTGGCGAGACAAGCCGTACCCGGAGTCGTACCAGAAGTTCTTCGTCCGTCGCTGAGCAATCCCGTTTGTCCCAGCAAATGCGTTCTTTCGTCGACGAGCAATCTCAGCTCCCTGAACAGCAAAGCTCCTCTCCGGTGGCTGAGCATTCGTACATGCCCGAGCGGAGGAGCTCGTCTCCCGTTGGCGAGACAACTTACATGCCTGATCAGAGAAGCTCTTCCCCTGTCGGCGAAGAAACCTACCTCCCTGATCAGAGAAGCTCCTCCCCCATGGCCGAGCAATCTCATCTACCCGAGGGAAACCCTTTGTCTGTTCATGAGCGATCTCATTTACCGGAGAGGATTTCTTCACCTATCCATGAGCAATCACGCCTACCTGATAGAAGAAGCTCTTCACCTGTTCGCGAACAATCCCACCTGCGCGAACGGAGCTCTTCTCATATTGCTGAGCGATCGCATATGTCTGAGGCGAGAAACGAGGTCAGAAACGAAGTCAGGAGCTCCTCTCTTCCCGTCGGAGACCTCACAGTCAACCTGCCCAACGCAACCAGCGAGTACATTACACCTGTAGCTCCAGCTTCATCTCCCATTCCATCGCCGGATGTCAATCTTCTGGCACCTCGTGCGCCATCGCCAGACAATGGCATGCGTCCCACGCTCTCCCCCATCGTTCGTGCTGGACGGGCTCTGCAGAGCGTCACTTCGGATGCCTCATCGCCTCCTCGGCAAAACTCTCTCGGCAGCCCGTTCAGGCCTACCACGAGCAGCAGCCAGCTTCAGCCTCAGTCCGCCAGCAAATCGAGGAACAGCTGGACTCAGCCGTTATCCAACCTCATTCAAGCCGGAGCTCAGTTCTTCCAGTCACCCACTCGACATGTTGCTCAGCCTTCAGCTCCGCAATCAGCAAGCCAACCGCCTTACGAGGACCCTTTCGGTGCTGAGAACAATCACGTCGGTCAGCCAAGCTTCATGGAGGCCTTGACCAAGAGCATACGGTTTTCATCTCCTAGCCGGCAGCCTGAAGCCCCTGCTTCGCCGTCCGGATCTCTCCGAGTCGCGCCAGCTGATGAGGCTGACGAGATGAGCTGGATGCAAGAGGAGCCTGCCCCTCGGGAGCAGCCTTTCGCTCCTTCTCGATCCGCGAACTCAAGCATGGATGTAATCGGCAATTCCTTCGGCAGCCAACAGCCCAGCTTCGAGCAGCCTAGCCTTGAAAGGGCCGGTTTCCGGCGATCCGTCCAGAAGCCCGCATTTGACAATGGAGTTCTGGAGGATGCCGACGAGACTGAGGTCGAGGAGGAGCAGGAGGAGGACCCCGAGGAGGAGGAGGAAGACGAAGAAGACATCTGGGCCGTTGAAGCATCAAGACCAGCATCCCAGTCAAGCCGTCAGGAAGTCTCAGACAAACAGTCCGTCAGATCGATTCCCGCACAACGCGCCGCTATCCCGAGCCCATGGCAGAGACGTGGCGAGATACCTCAAAAACAGCCAGTCTTAACCCCTGGCGCATCTCATCGCCACCAGTCCATCGCCGATGACGCGGAGGCTGAAGACTTTTCCATGCTCTCCCAGCAGCGCAGCCGCCAGAAGCAGATCCCCCAAAAGGCTTTCCAAATCGCCCAACAATCATCCGCAAAGAAGGATCTGTCTGCCTTCTTCTCATCCCCTGCGCTTTTGCCTGGCACAGAAGGTGTCCAGAGCATCCTCGACGCGAAGAAGCGGGAGAACATGTTCGCCTCAAGAGACCTGGCGCAGCCTGCCGAGAAGCCCTCTGCCGGTCTCGAAACGAACTCCATGTTCCCCTCCGTTCCGCAGAAGGCGTTCAACCCATCCGCCAGCGGCCGTTCGGATCTCTTCTCCCCCCCCAAGTCCAGCGCCATCAAACCCAGCGCTGCTAAGCCGGTCCAAAACAACACGCGCCGGGAACTTTTCTCTTTCTCGAGGTCCAGAAGCGATGCCCGTCAACCCTCCGAGATCCCTGACTCCCAGCCCCCCAGGTCGGACGAAATCGTCTTCCCCTCCGTCGCGCAGAAGAAGAACTTCACACCGAGATCGGGCCAGAAGACAAACAACCTCTTCAGCAAGTCCTCGGCCCCGGTCCCCTCCCTCACCCCGGTGCGCATGCAGCTCACCCGCGCGGACATCAAGAGGTGGCAGGAGGATAGTGCCTCCGCCATCGCCGAAGACAGTCCCGAGGTCCCCCGCCGGAATCTCCGCCCCCTGCCCGACAGGAACCTGTCTCCCACCAAGTCCTGCCTGCGGTCCCCCCTCAAGCCGCGCACGCCGGGCCGAGTCGTCGAGTTTACGAGCAGCGTCCTCTCCCCGCTCGCGCAGGCTCAGGCTCGCGCCGAACGCCGCATATCCTTCAGTTCCAACGGCAGCAGCGCGGCCGTCAGTGGCCAGCAGCAGCAGCAACAACAACAACAACAGCAACAGCAGCGCACCGCCCCCATTCCCGAGGAAGATAAGGAGAACGATGTCTCGGAAGACACCGAGGAAATGGACATATCCATGACCGAAGCCCCAGAGACAAGCCCGCCCAAGGCGGCCCCAGCCCCCGCGCAAGCCACCCAAACCACCCGCCTCTCGCAGACGATGTGGTCCCGCGATCACTGGCTCCTCCTCGCCGAGCTGATCCAACTGCGCAAGCAGGGGCCCTTCAACTTCCAATGGCCCGCCGGCTTCCAGCGCAAGTCGGGCTGGCTGCTCGGGAGGCCCGTCATCTCGCACGGTACCAGCCTGGTTATGGACCAGTGGCATCTCGACGTGGTTGACGCATTCAAGGCCGAGGTCGGCGGGTGGGACGAGGAGACGCTCGCCAAGAGGGTGTTTTCGCTGATCGTCGGCGAGAAGCTCCGGAACGAGGGGCGCTCGCTGCGAGGCCCGTCAGTGAAGTTTGTTTAGGAAGGTTGCAGACGGAATTACGTGTGTATATCGGCGTTTGGATTAGTTTTGTTTTTGTTTTTGTTTGGAGTGCAAAGGACCAGAATGGGGTTTTTACGAAAGTCTCATGTTGAAATTGTACGGGATGGCGTACAAACGGGGGTTTGTTTGGTTTCACGGCGTTTGGAGGGAAATATCACTTGTTCTCGTTGGAAACCCGGGAGATTCCCCGCAGTTTGTAAAGATACCACTTCATCAGAATGAATTTCTGTCTCTCATGCACCGCCGGCATTGTGTGTCTATGGTAATAGTACATTCCCGAATCCATTCGCTTCCTTTACCCCGTTGCCATCCGCTAGACGCCTGCCATCCCTTACTCGAGCATTGAGGCCTGGTTGGTGTAGAGGACGTCCACCACGCTGCTCAGCTTCTCGATCGTGGCGAGGGCGTGGTCGTACGCGCTGTCCCGCTCCGTCTCGTCGTAAATGATGAGGCATCCCGCACCCTGGTCCAGGACGCCGATGATGACCTTGTCGAGGATCATCTGGGAGAGCTTGCGCTCGACTTGTTGTGTGTCGAGGCCGACCATCTTGGCGATGTGGACGATCTCGACGCGGGAGAAGGGCTCAATGACCTTGATGAGGTTCTGCTCCAACATCGCATCGTAGAGGCGGCGCAGGTGGTTGCGGATGAAGGCGTCGCTGCCCAGTTGCTCGCGGTAGGCCTGGAGAGCCTGCTCGTACTCCTCGAGGGATCGGTTCGAGTGGGCGCGGGCAATGGCCTTCATGGCCTCGAGGTTCTTGCTGGCGTACTTCTGGGCCTGCTTAGAGGTCATGAGGTTGTTGACGTCGTCGGCGAGGTTGAGCATGATCTTGCAGAGCAGCATGTACTGCAGAGCAGCGGTGGCCTTGACCGACTCGTCCTGGGTGTGGTAGCCATCGAGGGCCTCGATGAAGTAGGAGAAGGCCGTGTTGAAGTCCTTGTCCTCGGCGTGGAGCATACCGCTCTGCATGTCGAGGTGTGCCTGGAGGAGAGGCGGGGTGTAGACGGAGGCGGCACTCGTGCGGGCACTGGTCAGGGCGGCGCGAGCCTTGGGGATGTTTCCGAGAGCGTGGTAGACGCGCGACTCGAGGAGCTGAACCTCGACGAGGACGAGCTTGTCGTCTAGGCGCTTGAGCTCCCGGAGGAGGCCGTTGATGAGGGTGAGGGCGTCGTAGTAGGCTTGCTTCTGCATGAGGAGGGTGACCAGGCGGGTCTCGAGGTTCTGGCGCAGGAAGCTACGGCGCTCTGAGGTGGCCCATTCTATACATGACTTCGTAACGGCGATCTGGATATCGGTGCTGCCCTCAATGTTCTCGAAGAGGTCGAGCAGCGAGCGGACTGGAGGGGGTCATGCGTTAGCCATTGTTCTTCCTCGCGGTATCATCTGTCGGAGGTGCGTACCAAGCTTTGCTGTCTTCGCCTTGGCGAATGACGAAAGGACTGTCCGACTTTTTGTGACGAGATCGACAAGGTCCTGCGTCTTCCTGCATCGGTAGTTAGCAAACGAGTGCCCCCACGATGTCATCACCGGGCGGGGAGGGGCTCACTTCTCATCCCGGTACAGCTCTCCCAAGCTAATCAACGCCGTCTCGTACTCCTTCACCGCGGCATCGGAGGTTGCGGAGGGAGGCTGAGAGATGATGTCCTTGTAGAGCTGCTCTGCCTTCCTGGGATCTGACTTGGCCGCCTTCTGTGCCTCTTGCACCCTCGCCGATTCGCCCTGAGCCATTCTGATGGTTTGACCTCCGGTCGATTCAATATCTCGGTTCGGTTCGTTTTAGAAGGTAATCGCCCGCGGGATTGTCGTCGTAGAGAGTGGTGGAGGTGGTGATTTATTCGCCGGATTCGTGATGTAGCTTGCTTCGTGCTTTGTCAAGAGCTCCAGCAGCCTGCGGCAGGTCCAGGTTGCCATGACCGCGACGCAAGCCAGCGGGCAGAGCAGTGGGCAGGGGCCATCGGACCGCTAATCATCCGAAGGAAACTACAATTGGCTAAAATTCTCCGAGAGATCCCCATCCCCACTTAAATTTTGGGAGAAGTTCTGGATGGCTTCACAGCCATTGCCATTTTTTTGGTTGAAGCACGACACTACACTTCTGCCAAAATGAAGATCAAGGCTATTTCACGGAGCGTGGAGGCCTACCAGCCTCCTGGCGCAAATGCGCAGAAGCTGCCTAGGTATTTTATCTCTCAAATACAACACGCGAGGCACCGCTAATAGAACGAAAGAAACCTCGATCCCGCCCAGCATCCCATGGAACGCGCCCGAGAATACACCAAAGCTCTCAATGCAGTCAAGCTGGAGCGCATGCACGCCGCGCCCTTCATTGGCCAAATGGGCAGCGGCCATGTTGATGGTGTATGTTTGAACAACTTGTCGTTCCTAGTAATTATGTTCTAACAGTTTTAGGTCTACTCGATGGCGAAGGACCCGAATTCCCTGAAGAACTTCGCATCCGCAAGCGGCGACGGCGCGATCAAGACATTCGACCTCACGAGCCGAGAGGAGATTTGGCAGGTGAAGAGTGCTCACACGAACATCGTGCGCAGCCTCTGCTGGACGAAGGACCAGAAGCTGCTCAGTGCCGCCGCCGACAAGACGATCAAGCTTTGGGACCCGTACAACACGCCGAGCGAATCCGCACCGATTTCTTCCTGGCTGGGTAGCAGTGGTTTCCAGAGTCTGTCCCACCACAGGACGCGGAACGCCTTCGCGGCGTCGTCTTCTTCGAGCGAGATCGCCATCTACGACTTGGAGCGACACAGCGCCGCGCCCGAGGTGCTGCGTTGGCCCAACGCCACCGATACTATTACGTCTGTCGCATTCAACCAGGTCGAGCAGTCCATTCTTGGAAGCACGGGTGCCGACAGAAGCATTATCCTTTGGGACGTCCGGACGGCCATGCCCCTAACCAAGACGACTATGACCTTCGCCTGCAATGCTCTGTCGTGGAACCCGATGGAGGCCTTCAACTTTGTGGTTGGCAGTGAAGACCACAACTGCTACGTATGTGCTGTTTTTCGGGCATTGATAGCATGTGGCTAACAATTTGCAGATGTTTGATATGCGCAAGTTCGATAGAGCACTGAACGTCTACAAGGGCCACGTTGCTGCCGTCATGAGTGTTGAATTCAGCCCGACGGGTGAGGAGTTGGTGTCCGGCTCTTACGACAGGACGGTTCGCATCTGGGAGCGTGACCAAGGCCACTCGCGCGACATGTACCACACGAAGCGCATGCAGAGGGTAAGTGGCTACACCGGAGAGACGTATAATGAGCAACAACTGACACTGCGCAGGTTTTCAGCACCATGTTCACGCCCGATTCCAAGTACATCCTCACCGGCTCCGACGACGGAAACGTGCGAATCTGGAGATCCAACGCCAACGACAGATCGGGAATCAGATCCGCGAAGCAGAGACAGGCCCTCGAGTACAACGACGCCCTCGTCGCGCGCTACAGCCATATGCCCGAGGTCAGGCGTATCAAGAGACACCGCCACTTGCCGAAGGTCATCAAGAAGGCTGGCGAGATCAAGGCCAGCGAGATCAGCTCGATCAAGAGACGCGAAGAGAACGAGCGGAGGCACACCAAGAAGCAGTTCGAGAGGCGCAAGAGCGAAAGAGAAAAGGCCGTTCTGGCGCGGGAGAAGTAATAAAAGGTCTGGTATACGTGCCGTTGATGGCACTGCTTGTTGCATTGTTTGGCGTTGGGGCTTCATGTCATCTGTATATAGGTACGGTACCGGGAGGGTTACTGTGAAGGTGAAAAGTGCAACTTCAGGAACAATATACCACAGGTCAAGTTGTCCTTGGTCAAGAATAAATCAATGATACACATGAGGCAACTCAAAGACGTTCTCAAAGACTGGGTGAGTACAGATGAGTATGGAGCGTAGCAGAGCCACGATGAACCTCCGTCGACTCCCCGGCGCAAGGTGCCACTCGGCGGCCGACATGTCCGCCGGCTCGGAGAGAAGCTTAAAAGGCAGCGGCGCAAGGGGGTGGATTCCCCGGCTGTCGAAGCCGTCAAAGATGGGCGGCTGCAAGGGGCAAACGGGGCGTTTTAGCGGCAGCCAGCCCCGGCACCCCAGGGGCTTCAAGGGGCGACGCAGACAAGGAGCTGACCCGTCAGGGGGTCCCCTAGCGCTTGGCCTTCGTTTCAACGCTGAGAGGTCCATCCACATGTGACGAGTTCCTCCTCTGGCGGCTGGCCTGGCTGGCCTGGCCTTCCGGCTCCCACCAAAGCTTCCCTGTGGCCCGATTGACTCGACGGATTGAGAGAAGTGCTGGCCTGCGCCGACATTTCGTCTCATCTTTTCCGATCTTCTCTTCTCTCCACGCTGGACGACACCTGTACGCTTCATCCTCTTACTCCTTCACCTCCAACCTTAATAAATCTTTATTCTGTGCAGGACGCAAACCGGAGGACTCTCCTAATCACCCACGACACAGTTGCCGTCACTGCTACGCATAGCTAGCTTCTACGTCAAGACACACCATTCACAATGGACTACCCACGCCCACCCCAAAGCGAGTCCTGGTTCGCGCCTCTATCAATCGACCTCATCGTGAAGGTCTTCAAGATCACCTTCTTCCACCCGTTCGTCTCCTGGATCATCCCCCTCTGCTTCCGCGCTCAGGCGCTGCGCTGGGATGCCCCGCCAATGCTCGTCTCGATCGCTTGGGCGACGTTCATCACCCTCTGCTGGATGGCTAGCATCATCAACCAGCGCATCGCCTACGGCCTGCCTAGGGAAGTCGACCTGTCCGAGGAGGTTATCGTCATCACCGGCGGAGCCAGCGGTCTGGGTCTGCTCATCGCTGAGGTCTACGGCATGCGCGGCGCCACTGTCGCCGTCCTCGACGTCAACGAGATGGAGAACGGCGAGGCGAGGGGCGTGACCTTTTACAAGTGCGATGTCACCAACAAGGCCGAAGTCGCTCGCGTCGCAGCAGAAATCGACAGAGAAGTACGTCTTCCATTCAACTTACCCCTACAAACGCACATTTCACTAACCATGGTCTCGCACAGCTCGGAACCCCCACCGTCCTGATCAACAACGCCGCCGTCGTCAAGGGCAAGCCCCTCCTCGAGCTCGATATCGAAGACATCGAGCGCTCCCTCGCCACGAACCTCACCGCCCACTTCATCACCCTGAAGACGTTCCTCCCCTCCATCATCCGTGGCGGCAACGGCGGCACCATTGTCACAATGTCCTCCGTTCTCGGCCACCTCGGCGCCGCCTCCCTGACCGACTACGCTGCCGCCAAGGCCGGCGTCACCGCCCTGCACAAGTCCCTGACCGCCGAGCTCAGGACCTCCCACCCCGAGATCCGCACCATCCTCGTCGAGCCCGGCCAGCTCTCCACCCCCCTCTTCTACGGCGTCCAGACGCCCCACGCCTTCATCGCGCCTGTGGTCGAGCCCGTGGACGTGTGCAAGGAGGTCGTCGCCGCTATTGACAATGGTCGCAGCGCGCACGTTGCGATGCCGTTGTACGCGAGGTGGATTCACTGGTACAACGTGCTTCCCGCGGCCGTGCAGCAGATTGCGAGGAGAGTGGCCAAGGTCGACACCTCAATGAAGACGTTCATCGGAAGACAGGAGAGGGGGATGAGTGAGAAGAACGGTAGCCTGATTTAGGCGTCTGAAATACCAGAGGATCTGCAGGCGCCGGCGTCGTAGCTTCCGTAATACTGAGCGGCCATGTAAAAGATAAAAAGTGTCTCGGGACACGTATGAGATATATACTCTAATTTCAACTTTTTAAAACGAAGATCCGCTGGCCTAATACGTCTACGTGCTCGTCTTCTTCGATTCTTGTCCGGACAAATCCTGCGCAGGAGACACTTTGTTCACGCCGTCCAGCTTCTGATACGTCAACTTGTCAAGGTCGATGCCGTCGATAGCTCGTGCCTGTAGAACCGTCAGCGAAACCGAGAACCATCAAACAACCACTAGGGACGAGTAAAGCGTACGCTGATGCCGTAGTAATCCTCCTTCAAAAAGTCGATCCCCAGACTCGAGCCGCACTGCCCACAGAACATCTGGTCCTTGGTCTTGGTGTTGAAGCGGTAGTTGGTGCACTTCTCCCTCGAGTCGCCGTTCCAGGTGACGTCCGTCTTATTGGGGTCTGCGTTCGTCAGCGATTCGGATCTCACCACCTCCTACAATCCATTTCGAATCCCGTGCTTGTCTTTTGAAAAGAAAGAGAGCACCATTGACTGGTTACGCAGTGAAGAAAACGAGACCGCGACTCACAGACGAGCAGATACCCGCTGCGCCGGCAGATGGAGCAGTTGCACTCGAGCACCTTATACCCCTCCTCCAGGGGCGGCGAGAGCTTCAGCGAGAACTTGATGCTGCCGCAGTGGCAGCTCGCGTCGTACGTCTTGGACGGTTTGGGGGTTTCTTCTGACGACATGGTGATTGCTTATCCGGACTTTTGGTGGAAATACTGTGTAGGTGTCGTGAGTTGTCGAGAGGTGGGTGGTGCCTGTGAGTTATGCTTGCTCAAATTTCACGGCGTCTGGCAAAAGTGGTCAGCTGTAGTCCGAAGTGACTACTCAGAAGACGCAGCGACATTGTTTATACATCACCGAGATCTGAATCAGGAAACACTCCCGCAACAGGCCAGATTACGAAAGTCATATGGATACACGGAATCGTATTAATAGACAACCCCTCACTTCGACTTCCTGAATTCTCCTCCCAGACCCTGGATCTCCAAGCCGCAGGACATCTTCCCGGTCAGATTCCCCACCGAAACACCCCAAGAGGCCTCTCATTTCCCTTCCTGATTCGGTAATCAGTCGATCCAGGCCGCAGCGGCAGAAAGCTTGAATGCATGCGACGTGAATCACCCCGTGAGGAAAAAAAAGACGGTGACAATCCGACCTGCCGTCTTCGGCATAAGGTGAACAAGGAGAGGGCCGAAGGATTGCTGACAACTGCGGGGTCTGGCGATAGTCCAAGCGGATGCCTCCGGATTTCGGTGCGGGAGAGCTCGTAAAGTTGTTGTCAGTGCGGTGTTCACGGACGTTCATCCAAAACTCAATCTCATGTCAAAAAAGCAATTTGTTTTTTTCAATGATTTTGTCTTTTTTAGTTCTCATTCTGGGTATAAACTAGGATTACTATATGGGTGGGGGGGGTATGGTAGTAAAAAAGGCAAATGCAAGATGGTATCATCAGACGAACGATGCTATGCATAAAACCTTTTTCTCGTTCCCAAATTCAATCAGACGCTTTTTCTATCGCACGCCGTGGCCTTCATTTCCTTTCCTTTCCTGAACCGGTGTGGTATCTTTCAAAACAGTGTAATAAGACAACATATGCCAGGAAACCATTCAAAAAAAGCCTCTCTCTCTCATAGACCGAGGTCGTACGTATATCAGAGGCGCGTATGTACCACAACATGTGTGTATGTAGATGTCAGGGAACAGAAAGATTTAGACGGCGTTCTCGGCCTTGTTGCCGCTCGTCCTCGGGATGCTCGCGTCGAGCGCGGCGACGGAGGGCGGCTTCTCGTTCGAGTGTCCGTTGGCGAACTCCTCGGAGGACCCCTCCTCCTCCTCCTCCGGCTCGTCGGCGGGCGCGGCAAAGGTCGGGGCGTAGGCGCTCTTGGCGCGGATCTTGTGGCCCCAGACGTAGAAGATGACGGGGATGGGCGCGAGCACGGCGGCGACGGCGCCGAGGAGCGTCGAGGCGTACTGGATGCCCATGCCGTTGAACATGTAGCTGGCGAAGAGGGGGAAGCCGGCGCCGCAGAGGGAGCGGAGGAAGGTGTTGCCGGCGATGGCGGAGGCGGCGAACATGAGGTAGGCGTCGACGAGGTAGTTGAGGGCCTGGAGGAAGATGGACATGAGGCCGAAGCCGGTGAAGAGGCCGCTGAGGGCGGGGACGATCCAGTGGATGTCCCGGCGGTAGCCGGACCAGCCGAACCAGAAGATGCCCGCGGCGAAGAAGATGCCGCCGGCGATGACGCTGGGCAGGCGCCACTCGGGGATGGGGACACCGTTGTTGGCCTTGAGCTTGCGGAGGTACCAGGGCTGCTGGAGGAGGACGGTGACGCCGGCGATGAGCTGGCCGGTGATCATGCCGAAGAAGGCGAGGCCGGACTGGCCGGCGTTGAAGCCGTGGACGCCGCGGAAGACGAAGGGGTAGGCGGTGAGGAAGAGGTAGAGGAGGCCGTAGATGAAGGCCATGTAGACGGATAGCGCGGTGACGATGGGCTCGCCGAAGAGGAGGCGCATGGGGCGCGAGAAGTTCTTGTTCACCAGCTCCTTGAAGTCGATCTCGACCTCCTCCAGCTTGGCGTGGATGGCGAAGTTGCCCGTTCGGCGGCGCAGCTCGGATGCCTTGGAGATCAAGATGACGGGAGGGTACGTCTCTTCGAGGAAGGTGAGGTCGAGGAAGAAGGCGAGAAAGCCCATGAAAGACGGGATGTACATGGTCCAGCGCCAGCCGAGGTGCGACTCAACGATGTAGCCGCCGATGAAGGGGGCGAGCAGTGGACCGGTGAAGACGGCCATGGAGAAGACGGTGATGGCGGTTCCACGGGTGCGGTTGTCGAACATGTCGGAGAAAACGGCCGCGACTACAGCCAGCGGACACGCTCCGAAGAAGCCGCCGAAAAAGCGGCAGATCAAAATTGTCTGAAGGTCTTTTGCGACGGCGGTGCTGATTGTGAAGATTGAGAAACCGAACATTGACAGAATCAAAGGAATTCGCCTTCCTTTTAGCTCGGACATCGGGGCCCATAGGGATGGTCCGAAAGCCTGTCATTTTGCAGTCAGTACTTGAGAATTTGATTGTGGAATGTGAAGCAATTCAGATGTTGGTGATTAAGTGAGTGGTGAGATGAGATGATGATCGGGGCGGGGCCGGCCGGGTGGGGCCGTATTGCAGAACCGTGGGTACCCACGGACAACTGACAGCGCACGGGCTCCGCCATGGACTCAGATCAGGTAGAACACAAAGATTCTGAGGAATACCTCGACGACGAAGATGAGGACGATGATGGTGACGAGGATGTGTAGGCTGAGGACGAGGGCGAGACTTACAAATCCAAGAACGTAGAAAGAAACACCAAGTGTGCCAACCGTGGTAGAGACGTTATATTCCGTTGCAATGACTTGCGTCGCTGCTGAGAAGATACTCGACGTGCTGTTACACTGTTAGACAAGTTTCACACGATGGCCGGGGATAGAGACATACAAAGCTGAGGTAAGAGTCGTAAAGCCAAGCATAGCGGCAGTGAGCAACCTGCATGCCAAGATTCGTCAGTAACCACACTTACACAAGACCCGACTGCACAAGTCGCACGATGGGCGCCGAACTCACTTCTTCTTTATCGGCCAATTTTGAGCGTGGAGGGGATCGAGAGGTCCGTCAAACTCGACGACGTAATCCTCCCGGTCCGACATGGGCGGCGGGTACGGCTTCCCGGCGCCCATGGGCGGGAGCGGCTTGGTGTCCTGCCTGCTCTTGATGCTGCGGCCGACGGTGTTGGAGTGCTGGCTGCGGGCGGTCGCGATGCGGCTCAGGGCGGTGGGGTGTCTTTCGAGGTCGTTCTGGGTCGAGACGCGGCTGATGCCGGTGCCGGTGCGGGCGATCGGACGGGGCGCGCGGGAGACGGAGGACGACGAGGACGAGGTCGAGGAGCCGGAGAGCACGCGCTCGATCTCGTGGCTCTCGCGGCCGTGGTAGCGCTCGGGGGACGCGGCGCGCTCGGCGGCCGCGAGTTCGCGGTCGACTTCGTCCATTGCCATTGTTGGTGGTTTGGACGATGCCGGTGGTTGGTGGTGGTTCTTTGGGTGTTTGCTGAGTGAGAGGTGCAGATCGGGTTGATATGCTAGAGCTCCCGAGGTGAAATACTGGCGATCTGCCGAGGTTTGAGGTTTCGAAAGGGCGCGGAGGATTCGCTTGTCGTAAGACTGGACCAATGCAATGTTGCGCTGTTGCAGACTTGTAGGTCGGAGCTATTATGCGGCGTGACGGCCAGCTACGTCAGAGTATAGCAATGTTGCTGGAGAATTGGAGCTCGATCTGAAAGCTGTCGGAGTAGTGTGGACGCCGGTCAGATTTTGAGGAGTCTAGATCGGTGGCGACGGAGAGAGGAGCTGCGCGCGGACTCTGGAGAGGAGGGGGAATAAACTGGGGATATAATGAGATGCGCGATCAGGACAGTCGCAGGATGTCCCTTTCGTCTTAAGAGAGGGGATTGTACACGATCGATCAAAGGAGGGAGAAGAAAACTTCAGACGAAAAAGGAGGTCATTAATTAGTGAGCGGGTGGGTTTTCTGGTTTGGCAAACACATCAGGTATGTAAGCGGATGGAACCCTCCTTTCACTAATACCGTTTATGATTAAAGATCAGGCAACGGGTACGGGGTACGGAAAACCTCCAAGGAGAACGCGAAAAGGCCGAGCACATGGAGATAAACGGGCAAGCCATAGGAGAAAAAAAAAAATCGAATTTGTCAATGAGCCACGAATGACTCTCCTCTCAGCTGATTGGGAACTGGCAGCGCAAATCTCCCCGGTTACCAAGCAGAGAGGCAAGGGGAGGGATGGGTCTTCCGTCGTGTTAGTCCCACTTGGGTCGCAAGTCATGGTGGTTCCCTCTTTTTTTTCTTCCTGAATCTCTCTTTTCGTCGCGGCGGCGCCGTCCTCTCAACACTCGGCAAACAGCTCGGCAAGGGGTGGGCATGGATGGATGGACACTCGGCATCTTGCCGCGGAACGAAAAAACGCGACGTTGGTAGGGAATGGAAAAAAAAAAAAGACTAGGTGCAGAGAGGAAAAAGGGTGGGCCCGGACGGGGCCGGAGGCGGCACCCGGCAATAGAACCTGGATGGAGTTCTATTTCTGCGGCTAGAGTCACGGGCTTCAGTTTTTATGCCAGTTGTTGGGTGAGACCACGAGATTCGTATGCCATTGAGGCGGTGTTGTTACAGATGACGGGTTCGTCAATCATTTCCCCGCCCAATGTTTTAAACTTCCATCATCTCATCGGAAAGAAACCCTCACAGTTCCGGTGTGTGGCCCGGGAATAAGCAGAGTTTCCAACAGAGTTTGTAGAGTTTGTACAGAACATTCCACAGGTCTCGGAAAGGCTCGAGCTAGCAGAACGAAAGAAAAAAGAGATTGAACAAGGGCGCGCAGATCTCTGTCAGTTCCCGGCGGGACCCAATCAACAAGCCGGGATACTAGCGGCAACGTACCGGTCGGATCCGACGCAAGGCGCGGGTTGCACGGAGGCTAAAGCCGGGTGATGTCATGCTACGGCTGGACTTTGGAAGGAGTTAAGAAAGAAAAGAAAATGCCAAGCCAAGTCAGACACTGGCGGGGAGAACTTGGAAAAAAAGCTGACGAGAAAAAAAGACCGAGTAAAAAAGTTCTGGACCTTCTCGGCCTCGGCCTCAGACTTGGCCCCCATCGAATGACATTGCACGCCCTTTAGTCATCAGCCTTAAACGTCACCCTGCTTGACAATTTGACACATCAAACCTGCACTGACTAAAAACGTGGTTCCTTCGGCCTCGGCTCGCGTCCTGGACGCCGAATGGATCCTGCATAAGAATCCGCTCACGGCAGTGGTGCGTTCGGTGTTGTGCAGCGTGCAGTTCCATCCCGTCCGTCAGGTCAATCGCTGGCCAAACGCGTTCAGATGGATTGAAGAGAAGAGACGGTGTGAGGAAATGATCGGGCGGATTGGGCGACGATACCTGATACAGACCGTTCTTCTCTACTGCGTGGTGAAATGAAAACTTCCGCTGACAGGCCGACGATCGTGGATCCCTCACAATCCCATCAACAATCGAAACATCCACCCGACACCTTGTCAACGGCCTCGGTGGTTCTTTTCTGGCCCTCCCGCCGAGGCCCAACACAGCCCAATGCCGCTTCTTGCCGCGATCCGCGCCCGAGCCCCCGGGATTGGAACATGAACGCTCGTCTAAATCCGCTCCCGGTCCAGCGTGCGTCCCTGGCAAAAATTCCGAGTGGATGGGTGGGTCCTGTTTTCGACGTCCAGATTTTCGAGAAGCATCTCGAATGGCGGCGGCGCCCTCCGTCGCTTTGCCGCGGAAAGCTCGAAGATTTTGCAGTCTGATTCACGGGAAGGGTCCAGTCAATTCGATCCGTCTTGAGAACAGTCCTCTACGGTTATGTTTCCATTGTAACCATTCCCCACTGCCTCTGATATTGCCCTACTTATCCGTCGTCACTCTTCAAGTATTCGACCAGGAACAGACGTGGAGTCGTGTACAATAATGTTGTAGATTGCATGTTGTATCGCTAAACTAGTCTAAAAATGTGAAGAAGAACAAGGGGAACCCTTAAAAACGCCAAGGATCTGCCCCCCGATGCAGATTCCCGTCAGATCGAGCAGGGCCGGCTATCGCCGGACACCCCATCCGTCCTCGAGCAGATTCGTCGCCTCCTCCAAGCTCAGTCCCGACGTCTCGGGATAGATCCGCCAGATCAGGCCGTAGCCCACCATGCAAACCAGCGCGTAGAGCACAAACGTCCACGACGGGCTCAGGGCGTCCATGAGCGGCAGGAACGTCAGTCCGACGATGAAGTTGGCGCCCCAGTTGGTCGCCGTCGACACGCCGCTGCCGATGGACCGCACCGCCAGCGGGAACAGCTCGCTCTGCATCCAGGGCACGTTACCGAGGCCGAGCGCGTACGACGCCACGTACACCATGATGCTGATGAGAATCAGCACCGCCGCCCCGCGTTCCCCGCCCGCGCCCGGCCCCGTGCTGCCGGGGTCCGTCGCCGCCACCGTCTCGGTGCGGACGTCGGTGAAGGAGAAGCCGTAAGCCGACAGCATCAGACCCGCCATCATGAACGGGAGGGAGTAGAGCAGGATCCTGCGCCTGCCGATGCGGTCGATCAGGCACAACGCCGCGACCGTGAACAGGAAGTTCGTGACGGCGACGCTGAGGGACGTGAGTGTCGGCGTTCCGAAGCCCACCATGGTGAAAATGGTCGCCGAGAAGTACATGAGCGAGTTGAAACCGCACAGCTGCTGGAGGCCCTGAAGGAGGCACGTGATAACCAGCGCGCGCTTGTTTCGCGGGACTGAGAACAGCTCTTGCCAGCCACCCCACCATTCCAGGCGAGGTGTCCCCTCCCGTCTCATGACTTCTCGTTCCTGTCTGATCTCAATCTCGATCTCCTTGACCACGGCCTCGGCACCTCGCATGGCACCAACGGTTGAGCCAAGGACTTTCTCAACAACCTTCTTCGCCATCAAAGACCTGCCCACCATCACCAGCCAGCGCGGCGACTCGGGCATGAACACCAGAATGGCGCATTGCAGACCCGCAGGAAGGGCACCCAGGCCGACCATCCATCGCCACCCGGTCGATCTATCGCCGTAGACCGCAAAAGCCCAGCCGACGATGTACGCGACAACTTGACCCAGCGTGATGAACAAGACGTTCATCGTCACAAGCCGACCACGGTGGCTGGCAGGGGCCAGTTCCGCAATGTACAGAGGCACCACGAAACTCGCGGCGCCGACCGCCGCGCCCACGATCGCTCGGCCCAACACCATGGACGTGACCGTGCCGCTCCATGCCTGCAGCAAGGCGCCGACGATGAACAGGATGTCGGCCACGAGAATCACGCGCTTGCGGCCCAGCGCATCGGCGACGATGGAGGAAAAGGGGGAGACGAGCAGGGCGAACAGCGCGGTGCTGGATGTGATGATGGATTTGTCGAAAGAAGTGAGGACTCGGTTCGAGAGGGAGTCATCGATGGAAACAAGCGTGGCCGATATTACGCCGGTATCGTCTGCGGTTCGACTTGGTCAGTATTGATGTTGTCTCGTCTTTCGGAGCGCCTCGCACGGGCCAAACATACATCCAAACAACAAGCCGCTGATGCCGGCAGCAAACGTAAGGAGCCAAACAAAGAGACTCGGCCTCGATTGAGTGTGCTTGAAAGAATCGGGAAGCACATCGGCTTCTTCATCCTCGACATAATCCAGCTCGTCGTCCCGGTCCGGGCGACCGTCCATGAGCGGAGCTTCCATCGAGTCGGGCATTTTGACGTAGGAGCAGCCACGAGACTAATCTGGCTGTGCGGTGAAGAAGACGAGAAACACAAAAAAGTCGACCTGTCGCGCGTTCGAGAGAATGGAAGGAATTTCGGGCCCTTCAAAAGGCCATGCTGCGGGGAGTTTCTCGGCACCGTCGGTCGTTCGGTCGTTCAGTCGTTTAGTCGTCGTCGAAGGAAAGCAGCTGCAGTTTGATACCAAGCAACGGGATGCTGGCCACGTTACGTATTTAGAGTTGAAATGTCGTAGCCTCAACTCCCCTAACAATTGGAAGCCGGGAAGCTTGGGGCCCTGCACTGCGGGGCACTGGTCACCGGGCCCATGCATTCAGCCTGTTTGCGGGGTACCTTGACCGACCGCGAGCTTCCCCGCGAGGTCCAGGTATCCCCGTATCTGATTTGCAGCACGGAAGGCCCGCGAGGTTCGCCCGAACCAGTCAGCTTCAACTCCCCGTGAATCCGAAACTCGGCAGCTGTTCACCGCCATCCACCGCAGGGCACTGGGCTCATTTCAGCACTAGAATTAGGAGCCGCCGAGACGTAATTGACGTCCTCAGCTTGATTACTCAGGAAGCCGAGATTCGTCATCCTTTTAACATCTTCGAGCTTAGCTAATGAGGCTCAACAACGCATCCTTTGTCGGTTTCAATGTGTTCGTTCAAAGAAGTTGGGTTCCTGGAGCTGAACACTCATGACTCAGGCCTAAAGTACAGTAACCGTTAGCACGGGGCGCGCCATTCTTACTCATAATGCATACATCTTGTCTCGAACCGTACGAATAGCCGCGCTCTTTGGCATGGGAACATGCAAAGAGCCGCCAAGCTGGACCATTTTGGTTCCTTACCTGCAGGTAGATGTTGAGCTGTGTGTAAGTGTATCAGCTAAGGTCAAGAATAAGCCACTCGCTTAAGTATGATATCATCTGAGACATACAGTCAGCTGTAATACCAATGGATACCAGCAGGCGCGTCTTGAATACATATATCTCAACAGTGGGCAATGTCAAAAGCAACTCGGCAATACTGAAGATCGTCAACAGCAACTCCAGTAATACAGCCAACCTAGCTGCGAAGATCATATTACAACCTCGAGCAGTAACAGCATGACAGCAAGCTCTACCAGCGCCACCAGCTCTTCGAGCATGGTTCTCTACGACGTCGCTTTCGCGCAGCCCTACGAGAAGAACACATGTGCTCCGAACCCATGGAAGGCTCGATATGCCCTCAACTTCAAGGGAGTTGCCTACTCAACGCAATGGGTCCAAACACCCGAGATCGAGAAAGTGCGCAGCGGCCTGGGTGTGCCGCCTTGTCGCAAATTCGCAGACGGCTCGGACTTCTATACCCTTCCTATCTTGACGGACTCCAACACCAACTCAGCGATCGGCGACTCATTCGACATCGCCAACTACCTGGAGAAAAACTTCCCCAACGCCGGGGCTGGAGACCTCTTCCCTTCGCTGCAGCTCGACTACGTGCCTCCCGGAGGTGAATCCCTCGTGCCGCTGTCAGAGCGCAATGACGACGTCCACGCCGATTACGCCCGGTTCAACAACAATGTCGACATGGCATTCTCCTTGCACGCCCAGTTGATGGCACACGGGATGAGCTGGGATCCGGCGTGGGAAGACGCGATCAAGGCGGAGTTCTTGCGGCGAGCTGGGCTGAAGTCCTGGGACGATCTGGGACTCTACGGTGAGGCGCGCGAGAAGACGAAGGCCTCGCTTCGGGACGCTCTTCGCGACCTGGCTGCCATGTTCCACCGAGATACGGCGGGACCGTTTTTGCTAGGAAGCCAGCCTTCGTACGGGGACATCATTGTCGGTGGGTGGTTGCGCATGCTGAGCAAGACGTTGCCGGATAGCGAGTGGGAGGAGTTCCAGGCATGGCATGACGGGGCTTTTGGAAGACTGCATGCCGCGTTGCAACAGCGCTTTGGTGATGTGAAGTAGGCTATCAATCTCCGAAGTCAATGTTTTCCGTCAGAGGCGTTTCGTCGACAAAAGCAGATGCCAATCGGTCATGGCTCCTGAGGTACGTCTGATGAGAGTATTCATCAAGACGATGTAGATGTAGTATGCAACTCTGATGTTGAACAAGCATTCTTTATCAGAAGTATGAGCTAAGAGGAGAATTGAAAGTTTTGGCGGAAATAGCAGCCGCTTGAGCAGCAATATGAGGGTGCAACAAAGCCGCCGGCGACATCCAGCGGGCGCTTATCCTGGTGACATCTGCCCGTCAAAGGCATCGTCGAGCGCTTGCCTCTTTTCGTAGACCGAAGCCCCCCATGGCTGATCAGCCCCAAGGGCCAATTAGCGGTGAGATTGGTGACACGACGAGATTGAAACTTCAGAAACGTCTGTGTAACTCGTGTCGACGTGACGTTAGCGTGACTGTGCTGATCAGCTGTGGGCTGTGGCTCCTCAACGTCGTGCTGAGGACTCACAGCATGATTAACGGCTTGGACGGCATCTGGTGACACTGGTTGAGTCGAGCGCCCGTTTTGCGAATTCCAAGACCCAGACCCGGCCAATGAGACGAACATGCTGGTCAACACTCTTCTGCGGTCTTCGATGCATTCCGCCAAGGCGAATGGACAAGCCTTGGCTCAGAAATATTGTTGCACTTGGCTTTTTGGCAATCAAGGTAGGTTGAATTTCTTTTCATCCCGACGTTTGCCAACGGCCAGAGCTTGCTCTGCCAAGACATCAGTTTGACTTGCCGAAGCTGGTAACTGCTGTGTTCGAAGAAGGTTGAGGTTCCGATACAGTCAGCAGATCGCCCTATACATAATAGGTTTGTAATGCAGAAAAAAGTAGGATGCAGGATGTATTAGACTCCTGGGCTACATGCTCTCGTTGCGAGTTGTAACTCTGTCAGATGTCAGAGAGGGACAAGACAGGGAAGGGAGATGTTTGCGGGCCAGGAAGTGCGGGCGAGACATTTTCCCGCCCTGAACGTGCGGAAATGGACTTCGCGACGCCAGGATGACTGTCTTCTGTGTAGTCCACCGTCTAAGCCTCCATCTAGACTTGTCGGGCGAGGACTAACCATAGATTATTGTAGACTTAGACACCGCAGGTATGGACTGATATGGGGGATCGTCACCAGGGTAAGGACTGTAATTCTCAGAAAATACCAGAAGAAATGCGTCTCAGATCGATCCCGATACCATCAGATGAGTCCTCGATTGATGTCATTCTAGACTGATCAGGAAGTTGAGATAAGTTAGCAATGACAGGGTACTGTACGGTGAGAGACGGAGAAAGTAGACGGGTCTGAACGGAAGAGAGACAATTATTATGATGCTGCATATTCAGTCGTTGTGATTGAGGAAGCAATCGGTGGAAGGTACCTGTACTTAAGGCAGCCGGAGCGGGTTGGTACTTGCGGAGCAGGTTCGACCCCGGGCACCCATGACAGTCCAGACTCCAGACCTCCTTCCTTCCCTTTCGCTCTGCTAAGCCTGGCCTTGCCTATGCCTTTACAACTGCATTCCTTACGTGATGAATCCTGCATCATGATCCTTCAAACTCCATCTCCGATCTGGGTCAACCTCTCTGTGCCTTTCAAGACGAATCAAGACAACCATAATCTGGTTGTCTATCGAGCGGGCGAGTTGCAGAGAAATCAGCCCATCGCCCACTCCGACCGCAGCATTTTGCCCGCCAGGCCGCAGTATCAGCCGGTCACTTTGCATGTCATCCAACGGCATATTGCTACGCGACGGGCCGTTCAACAGCTAATATTGTGACGATAGTCCAGCCTTGGTCGTTGTGGCTCGATTCAGGGTTCAGCCAAGCGTCAAGAGGAGAGCTCCGACAGCATGAGCATTCCGAAAATGGCAAACCCGAATACATGATTGGAGCCATCATTAAGTCGCCGGTTGTTCGGTCTCTTCTGCGGAGGTCACCAGAGAGCAGGTCATTCTACGACGCCAGCGAGCCTAAATTTACCGGGGCACGAGCTTGCGACGTTGGGTGTCATTTGGGAATTTAGGAATCCTGGCGACGACCAGCCTGCCGGTTCCCACCGCCGCCCTCCCGGCGGCCAGACTTCTCGAACGCCCGCTCGTCTGCGCCGTGCGCCCCTCCGATTTGCCTGTTGGCTGATGGAAGCATGTTCGCGGAGCCAACAATCGCTTTCCCCCGCCGAGACACATCATTTTTGGGATGCTGCTCATCTCGCACAGCTCCTTCCTGTCGCTCCTCATTCCACGGCGCCTCCGGAGCTCGACAAAAGGACTTTTGTTCAAGATTTTGCAACAGTGAGGAGTCCGAGGATACCACCAGAGAGAGATACCGAGTGGGGGTATCTTCGACATGCCGTCCCCTTGCCAGCCGCACCACGCTTACGCTTTGGGGATACCCCACCAACACCTACCTACCTACACTACGCCGTAGTTGGATATGACGTTGGTCTGCCCCTGATGGAGGGGTCCTTTGGGGTCTTCGGCTCAGCGTACCAGAGCCAGAGAAGGGATGGCTGCGCGGGAAGAAGGGGAGAAGGAGAGAAGGGCGTCATCGGTGTCGCGTGCGATGGACCTCCCTCACAACACCTTCGTTTGCCAAGCCTGCCTCTTTACTGCGTTCCCCCATGCGCCGAACGAGGAATTTGCTCGAATGAGGGGTTGCTCGCCTGGCAGCCCTGGCCTGCACTAGGTACTCTCAGGTGGTGTTGGACAGTGCATGCGGTGTGCCATCCAGCGAAGATATGGCGGGCTGCTACTGCCAAAGTTGAGTGGCATCCTTAGCAGTGACACCAAGGAGTTACTGACAGCCACTCATCAGGCTTCAAGGGCTCTTATCTCGAGCTTTATCGAGCCAATGAAGACTACAATTCATGCAAGCTACTGAGTAGAGTTCTCTACCTACCAAAGCCTTGAAGAGCGATAAGCAACGCCATCAACTGTCGGACTTTGGAGCCATCTTACAAGACGATCAAGCGGCCCTACCTCAACTTCAGAGAACATTGCAGCCTTGTCATCTCGCACGAGGTCTACTATGAACTACTCTACTCACTCGACAACAACGTGTCGGTTGGCCTGGATTGCTCAATGACCGACGAGGAGACTGCGAGGCATGGGGAAGCCTGAGAGGGCCAAGGGGAAGGGAGACTCCTCCAGAATCGAAGACTTTTTGGCGATCATGTACACGGTACAGAGTACTGGTACAACCTTCCCCGAAGAGGCACGCGAGAGTGAGACTGAAGGCTCCTGCACCCGAGCTTGCGCCCGCAGGCCAGGGCCTTCTCGCTACGTTGGTCCATGTCGGGGTAGCGCTCTTTGCCTCTGCTACCATTGCTGACCTTGTCCCCGCTGTGCCGCCCGCTGCGTGCTCAAAGGCAAAAGCCAAAAAAGCGCCCCATGCTGCCGTGGACTGCTGATGTGGGCAACTGCAGACGGGTGCCGTGTTGGTGCTGGTGCTGGTGTTGGTGGTGCTAGGTATTGTTGGCGAGGTACCTCGACTACCTTACGCAGAAGCAAGTACACATGAAGCGCATTAGGTAAGGCAAGAGGTAAGGGTAAGCTGCTTTCCCAAGCCTTTAACTGAGGGGCCCGAACGAGGAAGGGGACGAACGGACTCGACATGGAACCTGTCCTGACAAACCGACCCGGCGCACCTCAGACCCCATGAAAATAATTCCGTTCCCCGTACCGAACTGATCTGCTTCATCTCAAACGTAGACCTCACACATCTCCAAAATTTCGTTGATTTTCCCCTGCGAAGCTCATCCCAGAGCCTAACCTCCACGTCCCGCCAACAGCTTCTCCGTGTGAAGCTGAACCGGGTTCGAGAGAGCCTCGCGGTTATGCAGTCCGTGTCGTCAGCGTCCTAGGCGGCCGGCACGTCACAGCAACTCCAGGGTCCACGAAAGGCGAAGCAACGCAAACCGAAAGCGACGGTACATCGACACAACCAGGCACGGCCAGCCCGCCGTCCGACAAGGCTGAACTGAACGCCCATTTACGACATCACCAACCGTTTGTTCTCCACCATGGGTCAATGGTGGGATACCGCGAGAATCGACGCTACTGTCACCCGACAGTTCGTCTGCCAGCATCTCATTCGCGAGGAAATCGAGCGTCTGGACCGCCCACTGGCCTTTGGTGGTGGGTTGACTGACGGCACCTACTGGGACTGGATCAACACCAAAGCCAAGCGCGTCTTCCTAATTCTTGTCGACCTCAAGATTCCGGACCAAATCTTCGGCATCATCGACGACTCGTGGGATGATCGCGACCTGCCCGTCTCCCCCGAACATATCGGCCGCCTTAAATTGACCGCCACCAGGGACGACAAAGTAGAGCGCAAGTTCTTCGTCCGCCAGTTCAACTACCTGCTGAAGCCTTTTCAACGCGGAGATCACACCGTGTTTAATGAGTACGAGATCGTGCCCCTGGAGGTCATCGAGCGTCGTACGGCAGGCAACAATGCCGTCGATAAAGTCGTCTTGCCAAACTGCCCCGGCTTGATCTTCTACCGCCGGCGCATTCCCATCGGCAATGGGCCAAGTCAGCTCTCCAAGAACGAATTCGCCGAGATAATTAGCAACATCAGAGGGGTTCAAAATGACCACTTGGTCTCCTACTACGCATCCTACACTCAGCTCGGAGCAGCATATGCTCTTTTCACACCCGCTACCGACTCCAACTTGAAGTCTTTTCTCGCCAACACCCCATCAGCCTTCAAGAATCTCCCCAAGAGAGATCGCAGGCGAATGGTCATGAACTGGATCCTTTGCCTCGCGGACACGATTGCTTACCTGCACAGTCGAAGGCTTTCCCATGGAAATATCAAGCCTTCAACGATTCTCTTCACCAGCCAACTCCACATCTTCTACTCTGATTTTACTAGGCTAAACCCCGAGGTCTTAGCCGGGTACTCGGACAAGAACTCCTTCGATCGGGAGTCGTATGACTATGCGGCGCCAGAGCAGTGGTTTCGTCCAACAGGCGGTCCGACCAGTCCCATGGGGCGCATGGCAACATTGGCCATGTCGACGTCTCCAGAGACGCATACCAATTTCTCGATTCCCAGAAGCGATAACCCAAGCAGCCCAAACGCGATGTTGAGTACACCAAACCCTCAGCTAAGCCCGCAGGCTGCCGATATTTTCTCGCTCGGTTGCGTTATACTGGATTTGATGAGCTTCCTCGTGAAGAAGACGACAAAGAGCTTCGCAGCTCACCGCGCGGCAAAGCACAAGACTCCAGGTCGCGGAGGCGCGGTACTGGACTCCTCATTCCACAAAAACCTCGGCCAAGTTGAATCTTGGATGTCTACTTTGGCCAAGGAGGCAACGAAGAAGACGTCCGAGTCCGATGGTGGGGCCGTATTCAAAGGCATCGTGCCATTGATGCATGTCGTAGCTCGCATGTTGTCCGCAAACCCGAACGACCGTCCTCCCGCCTTCGAGGTTCAGACGCAGATTTACCAAACCCTCACGAAATACTGCGGCATCACCGAGCCGCACTGCGTACACCAGTATGGCGGCTGGGATTTTGGCATGTCGCACTTGCGAATCCAGGCCGTCAGCCCTAACGCCGAACTGATGCCGCAACCGATCCGACAAAACTCGATGTCGCAGACCACCCGGCGGGACAGTGGAAGCTTCAGCGGAAGTGTGAGCCCGAGAGTTCTTGCTCATTCGAGAACAAACAGTAGCGGTGCGATGTCGAACAACAGCGGGGCCAGTAGTATGGCCAGCAGCGACCAGGACCGGGAGGACCGGGAACTCGGGGCTGGATTCACGGCTCTTCGCAACATTCGGGTGGCCCCGGTCAGGTCTCCAGGGCCGTGGGACTCCGGCCCCGCTGTTCAGGGAGGACGCGGCGATCAAGCTCCGGTGTACTGACGACGTACCGCGTTGGAGTGTGAAGGAGAGAACATGTTGGAGACTAGCGAAGGCAGAGGCTCACGCCGGGTCGTCGACGAAGTGGGATATTTTTCTTTGTCTCTTTTTCCATTGGATTGGCGCAGTTTTCGACATCGATACCATACCAGGTCATCTGGGTCTTGCATCAGAATCTCATGTAGATAAAAACAAAAACGGAGGAAGGCGTCCGTTTACGGGAAACTCGGATATCATTAGGGACGTTTTGCTCAGCGATACCACTGCCGCGATTTATTGACGCAGGCATGTCTGTACCGATTTAGCGGAGCGAAAGGGAGGCCGTTTCCCGGGAGACTCTGTGTCGTTCGATTTGTAGCGAATTTAAAGGTCAAACATGTTTTGCTTTTCTTCCCTCTTGCGGGAAAATGGCCGTGAGAATAAGCAACGAAAAGCTGTGAGACGCCGGTACTGAAATTTTCGGACGCTATGGCTGAAGCTGCGTGTGGGAAAATATGCCTCAGCAAGAAAAAAGCGTCATATCACAACGGAGGAGGAGGAGAGCGTCAGTCCTTTTTGTACAAGGAGCACTCCCGTCTCTACGGCGCGATTACAAGGAGGGCGAATCCGATGGCCTCTGGCCGGGTGGCCTCCGGGGGAATCGCTGGGCGCGGGTATGGCATTATCTGTACTACCTGTTACGCGATGCTATTTCCTGTCGAATGGGTAGTTTATATGACAAACGGAAATCCAAAGAGGCTCAACGGGGGGCGATGGGATGGGGGAGGAGGAGGGGGGCGGCGGCCGGAGGCTTTTGCCGGAGGGGGGTGGACCGCCGCTGCGGTGCTTGTTTGTCTTGTTTAGTGCTTTTGCATTTGCATGCTGGAGCGGGATATCGAGGAGCATGAGCTATTGTTCACATGTGAGCAGCATCAGAAAATCTCTCACGTCGTCGTATAAGTGAACATGGTGATCTGCGAGTGAACAGTGTAATCTGGACGAATCCTCGAGCAGCAGTTAGAGGTCAACTTGTCAGCGCTGGAACAGGGGCCTCTGGAATCCCGCATCCAAAGTTTGGGAGGCCTGTTCAGTCTTTTTTGGCACGCTTGTCTGTGTGTTCTGTCGCAAAGGGCTTGCACAGAACAGGCTGCTCGTCTCGCCCTGCCGTCAGGTTTAGCTGCAGGGGCGAAAGATTCTTGGAGCTCTTCGACTAAACTTGCAGATTTGCGTCTTCTTCTTGGTCGCCCGTCGCTTTCGCGTGATACCTTGCGGGGAGCTGGAGTGTGGAGAGATCTCCCGCTGGAGAGTGCCGAAAAGAGCATTTGCGCGAGCGTCTCGGCGAGAGGAGGAGAGCACTCACACACACTCATCTGGCTCACCTTGAACGTTGACAAAGCCGGCAGCTTCGGGTCGAGGACGGTGCCGTCGATGCCTCCGCACGTCGTTACCGGACTCGTCGGTGTAGAGCTTCCCCGATGCTGGAAGCTCTTTTGAGGGGAGCCAAGGCCATGCGTTGCGAATGCCGGGGCGATTGTCGAGCACTTGGGAGGTTCTCTAGTCTCTTTCTGGATGGATGTGAGGAAGTGGTGTTGGTGCCGCGTGTCGTCAAGAAATCGTAACCATCGTCCAACGCACGCCGAGAACGATCGGCTTGTCTGCTTGGCAACCCTTATCCGTAGACCCTTTCTATTCCCCGTTGGTTCCTTCGTGTCGGTGCATCCTGTCGACTTCAACCCCGCCTGCATGTCTGAGTCGTTGAGTGTCGCTCTGGGCGACGCGGGGTCGTCAATTCAGACGAGTTGAGTCGGGATGGTGTCGTCGAGGGGCCTCCCTTCATGTTTCAGTCTATGCAAGACGCCGTCCAACGAGGACGCGTTTGCGTTTTGCATTTCCGCTTTCGTCTGTGATGGGACGATGTTGTGATATCGGGATTGAAGACTCGGGTTCCGGCCGGAAGTCACACAAAGGGTTCTGGGTGTTGGGTCAAAGATGCAAATCTGTGTAACCATTGCGGGTTCATTTTCCGCCCGAATTGATAGTTAGAAGCAACATTTGACTTTGCTTCATTTCATGTCGTTTGATGGTTGCCTGGGCGGACTCGAGACATCGTATGGCTGTATGCGGCGCAGATGCTGCGCGGCGTGTCACTGATGCAGAGGACGGTCCATTGCATGGAGTCAAGAGGCCTCTTCGTCCGGGTCGCCACCTTTTTCCAACCAACTTTGAATGTAACCGGCGATAGCAGCCAGTGTGGAGATAAGGAGGCTCCCAGAACTCAGAAGCAAGCCAGCAATGGGGATGCTGCAACAACGGAGCCCCCCGGTGCGTTCAAGTGCCTCACAAAGTCGCAGCAGCAGGGAACCTCAGCAATTGCCTGGGTCCACTGATGACGTTGAGCTCTGAAGGGCCCTCCGCCTGTCATTGCGCTCTCCCCGCCTGAACCCTTCTGACCCTTATTATTAATGGAGCTGATGTGCTTCTCAAACGAAACAGATGCCTGGGCTTCTTGGAGCTTTTTTTGCAGAGGCCGTTGCAACAGCGGCGGGCAAGGATCGAGAAGAGGATGGGCCAGGGATCAAAGCCTACCCTGGTCCGCGTCAAGAAATGCCTGACTGCAGAGCCAAGAGGGATTTCGAATGGAACGCTGCGCTGAGTGCGTTGCGTCATATTCATTGCGAAATAGGCACTATCAGAAGGCCGCCGCTATTTTTGCCGTATTGCCGCCGATGACATTGGGGGCCGCGACCTGTGCCTTGAATCAGAGATGACTGCAGGGAAAATAGCGAAGACAATCTCAAGCCGTGTCCTGGACGTCGTGTAAGCGTCGCCAATCTAAGCAATTAAGCCTGTAGACCGGGCTAGGCGAGCACGCGAGACGGAACAGAGCGAGGCTAGAGCAAATAGCCTGGAGGTTGGGTTGGTCGCGTTGCCGACAGTTTCAATCTAAGCGTAGACGGCATTTTCGCCGTTGAGTTCGTTGCTGTGGACAAGGGCAAGTCGTGAAACAGGCGTGTTGTCGAAGGCCGCTAACCCGACATGACTCTTGATAACGGGCGAGAGCAGCGGCATGAAAGAAGAAAGATATGGAATTTCCGAGTGGCAATCGAGAAATCGCGCTGTTGGCGTCTGTCGTCCGTCCTTGGATGCTTTTTGCCAGAACGCTAGAAGCCCTAGCTGACAACCCAAGACACATCAGCCAAAAAGCTCGGTCGTTTCCCGGGCCACCGACTCGTGGCGTAAAGCAGCTAGACGAGGCTGCTTGTAGCGGAAAAGGACGATGCGGGCCAATCTTTGGGTTAAGACCGCAATAGAGCAGTGCGGTTGGACACCTATCAATGGCGGCGTGGCTGCGGGTGGATGGCGCGCTGTCTCCGTCCGTGGCCGTGGGGGGGGACAGGAAGACAACAGCAAAATTTGACGACGATCGGGTCGATCCCTTTTCCTTCTGATCAGCGTATCCTCCCAGGTGAGGTTATCATTGAGGTTATTCGGTCAATTACCTTCCCCCGCTCTTAGGGCCCTCATGCGTGAATACTGGAGAACGGTACTCGATGGACGGAGGCCGGGATGAGTCGAAGGATTCTGGAGAGCCATCAGCCCTGGAGGAAAGATGTCATATCCGTCAAGCAGACCGAGAGACGCGTCGACGTCTTGCAGAGTCGCATGGCAGCAGAGGCTGGTTGCCTGCTTACTGGCGGCGGCCGTCTTGCATCAACCCACCCACGCAGCACGCTTGATGGCTGTCCAGTCAGATTCTGTGACTTCCATAGTTATCGGCCGGGCGAGGGCGACAATCAAGACACCCTTAGCTCGCCCCCCTGGCCCGCCGCCAATGGCACAACATGGCGCACCTCCATTGATCCAGACCCATGCAGCCGCCCTTGTTCTGTTCCGTTGCTTCAAGCTTGTTGAACTCCTGAGTCCTTGTTCGTTTTTGCCCTCCTGTAGCAACCCTGCTCGCCGGTCGTTTTCCACCCTGTCCGAGGCTTCGCTAGCACCAGAGCGAGCTCCAAGCTCCGTCTCCTGCCTTAGTGTGAGGCAGGCTGCTTTTTTTCTCTATCGTTCGTTTGGCACTCCACGTGTGTGGAGAGGTGGGATGCAAGTCCAAAAAGAGAAAGAGAAGGGCGATTGTGAGAATGGTTGACAGGGGAGCGGGAAAAACCAGGGCCATGTTGTTCGTTCGGAGTGTGTCCCGCGTCGAGCTGCACCGGCGAGCTTGAGGCAATAAAACAGCTTCTATCCCCCCCAGCAAGTGTCAGTCACGTCACTCGAACTGAAGCTGCTCACCCACGATACCCAACTTCTTCTTGCTTTGCTTCCGCCTCGCCGGTCGAACCTCGAGCGTGCTTGCTACGATTGCGTCGTTCTGCCTCACTGTCGTTTCCGTCGAGAAAGACCGTTGAACCTGTCCGTCATTGCGCAGTTGTGGCAGTGTTGGAAAAGCTGAGAGGTGCTGTGCAGCCTGCAACGGGAAGGAATACGTATTTTTGGATTTTGGGGTTCAGCTGAGAGCTTTGGAGAAACCGCGCCGCAACGAAGGAAGAAACTCGGAGGCGACTTTTGACTCGACGAGGAAGGAGTCACCCACACTGGACTCACACTCGACTCGACGGCAACAATTGTCTCAACATTCCTTCTAGTCTGCCTCGCTTCGAAGATCGCTGCCGCCTGCCCTTGCGGCGAGGTGTTGCCTCGGCCTAAATCACCTTTTTGACGACATCTGTTGGAAACGAACACAACTACATCCATCTTCACCACACATCATCATCGTCAACCCTGGGCCTGGAAGATTTTTTGGACCACAGCTTCTGAACATCACCAACCGCCGCATTCCCAGCCATCGCCCAATTGCTATCACTAATCAAAGCTTGTTACGAGCTTGGATCTGGCTTATTCCTTCGCACCATGCGAGTCATCAGCTTTTTCTCGGCATTGCTGCTTGGCACTGCCACTGCTTTGGCACCCATCGAAATCGTTGGTAACAAGTTCTTCGACGAGAAGGGCAGACAATGGTTTATGAAAGGTACGCGCCAATCGTTCGTCCCCATCGTTTCTAGAATGTTGCAAGCTGACGCAATTTGCAGGCATTGCCTACCAACTGAGGCCAGGTTAGCCCAGCTCACCTCTACACACACTTACGAAGCACGTCGTCTAACATGAAGCTTCTTCAGATGATCCGCTCGTTGACACCGACCAATGCACCCGCGACGCTGACCTCATGAAGACTTTGGGCACCAATGCAATTCGCATATACCATGTTGACCCCGAGGCCAACCACGATGGGTGCATGTCTGTCTTCGACAAGGCTGGCATTTACACCCTCATCGATCTCGACACTTTTGACTCGTACATCCTACCTGTCAGTCATCCCGCACCGTCTTGCTGCATTTCGCACTAACCGTCATGTCAGAATACTCCTTACTGGAACGAGAAGCAGTTCAATGCGTACGCCAAGGTCATGGACGTCTTCCACAAATACGACAACGTGCTTGGCTTTTTTGTTGGCAATGAGATTATCGCGCTTAACAACCAGTCTCAGGTCGCCCCTTACATCAAGGCCGCTACACGCGACATGAAGGCCTATCGCGACAAGAAGGGCTACCGCAAGATTCCCGTTGGCTACTCCGCCGCCGATATTGCCGAGCTGCGGCCTATGCTGCAGGACTACCTCACGTGCGGCGGCAAGCCCGAGAACAACATCGATTTTTTCGGTCTGAACTCGTACGAGTGGTGCGACCCCAACACTTACAACACGTCCGGTTACGCGAACCTGCAGGCAATGGCTGAGCAGTTCCCTGTCCCAATCTTCTTCACTGAGACGGGCTGCATCACCGGTGAAGGTCCACGCACGTGGGACGACCAGGACGCCATCTTCAGTCAGCCCATGGTTGACGACTGGAGCGGAGCCATGGTCTATGAATGGATCTACGAAGAGAACCGTTATGGCATTGTGTCGTACGGACCCGAGGTTTCCAAGACCATCACCACCGGCGACGTGTACGACGGCTTCACTCGCAAGGGCACTCCAATTCCCCGCTCTCCAGAGTTCCAAAACCTCCAGTCCAAATGGGCCGCCATCACACCCACCGGTGTCATGAAGTCCGACTACAATCCCAGCAGTGTTTCTACCCGCGAATGCCCCAAAGCCACAGGTGGCTGGCTTGTCGACGGAGATGTCGCCTTGCCAACTCTCGGGGAGACATTTAAGGGCTCCTACTCTTCGAGCCCAACGGCACAGCCTGGCGCCAGCACAGGTGCATCCGGCTCTGCGGCACCTACCCAGTCAGCCGAATCATCTGCCCCCGAAAGACCCTCGGGCTCCGGGACCAAGCAGATCGCTGGCATGGCCATCGGCCTCGTTGGCGTGATGATCTTCTTCACTGTGTGGATGTAAACCCACACTTGTTTATTTACTTCATTGTACATTTTGTGCATTCACTTTGACGACGGATGGAAATACGGCTTATACCCTTTGGCGAAGAACGGAGTCTTCGGGTTGAGGAATGGCATGGCATACGGCGTTGTTCTCCTAGCAGGCATACGGAAATATCCCTCGTCGAATTTGACGTTGTACGTCTATGAGCTTGAAAGTTGCTTCGGATGCTTTGCTGTTCAGCATCAATTGCAAGCAAAGGTCTAATGATGGATTAATCGATAATACCCCGGTAGAAACGGATATACCAAGGCGTTGGGTGAGGGAATTCTCCTTCGACAGCAATAGAGTCGGCTTCAAGCCCCTACTTATATTGCTTCTGCTCTTCTTGCCTCGGGACACTTTCGTGCACTCTGATGTTATTCGTTTGCGTGTTATTCCTTCTACCCAATGCAGTGCTTCTTGCCTGTTCCTCATCTTTACCATTGGCGAGGCCTTCCCTCCAAATATGTCTCGACGATGGGATGAAGAAGTGAGGACATCGCGAGCTACGAAAAAACAAAAACGAAAAAAAAACCTCGTATCATGCAACACCTTGAGGAATGACTTTCCACATGGACGCGATATAAGTGCAATACCCAGCACTCGACACGATGAGAGTTTATAGGCCCATAGATATGTGCAAGCCCTCCTAGCTAAGTTTTCAGCCCGCATGGTTGGACGATGGGATGTCCATCTCAGCTTCTGAAGTAAGGTAGATCTAACACATGCTCGTGTTAGGAACCAAGGGAGGCAGCAACTTCTCAAAGCAACAGCTTCATCAAGCAACCGCATCCGATAGCTCTTACTCTACTACAGTCGATCCCTTGATACAGGGCTCGCTCTTTCTCTAGTGAGCTCTTCTACCGCGGAGTGGCAACGTACCTTAGTCCAGTCGGTCGCCTCAGTTGGCTGACGTCTTCTCATCAAGCCATTTGTTCTACACCTCTCTCTTCTTCGAAACACCCACACTACCCAAACACAGATCCTCATTCTCATCAAAGCATCGCTCAACTTCATACCGTACTCTATCGAATAGCCTAATGACGGACTCGTCTCCTCGAACGATGGAAGAGCGCGAACGAGACCTCAAACGCCAGGCGTTCTGCTTGAGGATAAGCATAGCCCTCTATGTCATATCTGCTGCGCTTCACTTGATAAGTACTTGCCTCGTCATCACTCGGCAGCAACAGCAAACTCCAACTCCCCTGCCCTCGGCTCCCCAAGACACCTACCTACCAACGAGTCTCGCCAATGCTACCGAGGGGGAACTCTACGGCACACATCCCTCAAACACAGTCAACGGAATATCCGCCAACACAAGGGACGGACGCGGAGGCGAGAAAGATGCATTGGAGTATATCGAGGGTCTAGGCGAGACCGACGGACACATACCGGTCGAAACCGCTATCCGCGAGGCCGGGATGGATATCTCTGCGGTGGCATCGCGGAGGGAGGTGAATGGCTGGTTGGCGCTCTGGGGTGTGGTTCTCGTGCCGTGGCACATGTTTGCAAACTGATGAGAGGTTGTGTGCACGAAGAGGCGAGCGAGTATTGTAGGCCGGCAGAGACAAGTCGCCACGAGCGAATGCTATTCAAGCGGGCGGCCGAGAAAGCCAGAAGATTCGTAAGAAATTCATGCAAAAAGAACGAAAAAAGAATACATGCAACACCAGGCATTCGCCGGTCGTCACCGACCCGACTACTACTCTGGCCCTCACTGGTTTATCGATGGGAGAGCGGACGGGATCCCGAGTTCTCCAGTGGGTGTGGTCGCATGTGGTGGTTTGTTAGCGAGAAGCGGTTAAGTTGTCGAGGGTTGAGGCTTGGGGGTAGCAAGCAGCCAGTTTGACACCAGTTCCGCAACGAGTGTCGTCAATAGTTGACACTAGAAGGCAGCTGACTGGACATCTTGAACGAGAAGAGGTTGCCTAAGGTGAGCTGTAACCATTCAAGGGAGCTGATTGCCCAAGTGGGATAGCGTTACCACTCGTTTCCGATCATGTTTTGCCGTCGAGTGTCGTAAACGCTCGAGGAAACGCAGGAAAGGGGACTTGGTAGGGGCTGAGAGAGATGCATAATCTCCCAAGCCAGTCGCAACCCGAGAAAAAGGTTTAACGGGTTGTTTTTGTGGCATGAGGTGATCGTCGCGGGTGACATTCACGTCAGGCCGGCTGTCATCATGCTAAGCACGGACATATAGCGCGGGGGAGAGGGAGGGCGTGTGTGGTCGGTTTGTGTCAAGATGTTGTGGTTGTGCGAGGTGATGGGTATAAGTGATTATGCGACTTGATAGTCGATTTCGATGGCATATGGAAGAAGATGGGTACATAGCGGTTGCGTTGTCGGCTCGGCATGTCGTCGGCGGGTTACTCGTGACGGTGTTTATGATGATCATACTGAAGCATCGGCAACGGCATCTACTCTTTCTGCGGCTGACTGGCAAGTGTGCATGTCTTGGCTTGTGAGAGTGGAGAAGAGTCCTTTCTGTCGACATATCTGAGGTTCAAATCTTCGAACTATGATATCCGGCCAGGTCTATGGATTGCAAACAAGGCCGGCCGTACGTTTCGTTGTCTTCTGTGGGAACTTGTTGATCATAACTGAAAGCGACAGTCCAAATACATCATATCAAAATCTATTCTTTCATTGATTTCGGCGGGCTTTTTTATTTGTCCCTCTGAAGGTATTCGACCAGAACATGATAATCGTGGAGCGGCTTCGGTGCGGTAAGGTATGTTCGTGACAGTTGACAGTTCTAAGAACAGAACGGAGCAGTTTGCGCAGAGACGGGCCTCGCTGTCAAGAATCCGGCACCCGCGCTATTGATACTCGGACGTGGCGCTATTGGCGATATATCTGAGGTTCGGTATTGACGCCGGGTGGGCGGGTTTCATGTTTTCCTCGGCCGGGGAACGTGGTCGGCGTTCGGTGACTGCCATGCGGGACAGGACCAGGGGGCGGCGCAGGATTTGGCACACGATCGAACTCAAAAAGACGGCTCATGTACTATATCTCGCGGAGAGAGAGTTTTGGAGATGAGGCGGCCCGGTTTTTAGTTCATGTTGCTGTCGTTCTTCTCGAGCGCCGAGAAGATAGGGAAACCAGATTTGACTTTTGACTGACTTGACGTGACAGAATTCAGTCTCATTTTCGGTAACGTTATCATGGCGGACTATAGGTCGAGAAGATGAGACTGAATGATGACATATTCCATAGGAGGGAAAAGTGTTTTGGGACGATTCGTCGTGGAAATCTGGAATCAACTCGGAGTCTGAGCGCAGCGCACTTCAGAAGAAAAATCTCCAGATTTTCCCTCTTTGACGAGACGCACCGGCGATCTGATCACCGGACTGGGACTTGCTCTTACCCACAACCCAAAACCCCAGGTGAACCCGGTCTCGTTTCCTTCGTCCTTTCTTTTTTTTCTCATCTTCATTCCCACTTCTTGGCCCTTCGCTTCGGGTGCTAAGCCCAACGAACGAGCCGCAAACCTGCTTCGTGCCTCCCAGCCCTAAAAATACACGGCAAACGCTTGGAGAACCCCGAGTCTGAGCTTGGTGCTGCTGGGTGTCGATGAGTCGTGGGATCTTGGCATGGAGACTATGCGCGACGAGCGGGATGAAGCGAGGAGCACGAGATAGAGCGAGAACGAGGATGACGGTCCGAAGAAAAGAGGTCCAGAGTTGGAGGAACGAGTTTGGAAATTTCTGGGGCTCGTCGGAGGTGTCCTCCTGGCAACAACACCAACTTCGATATCCATCCACATCAACTGACACTCTGATCTTATACCTTGGACAAATGCTGTTATACGGCGTATAATGCCAAAGTGCATGTACGGAGTCAGAGTACGCATGTCGTCCGTCGATCAGTCTCTGGAGGCATACACACACGCAGGTGCGGCTGACCGCAGAAACCTGCATCGATATGCAAAGTGGCAGCAGCATGAATATGCAGAAACCAGGCGACCCGTCGATGACCATGTTGTAATTGATGGATGCTTGCGTCGATTGGGTGACAGCAGGAGAAGCAGCAGCAACAGCGGTCGATCTGACCACCATATGGCCCCTGTCTTCAGAGTTGTTGATTCCAAAAAGCCACTCTCCGTGCACAACCACAACTCGCTCTCTCAGAATCACAAATCACTTCGGCAAGTGCCCGGTCAAGGTTACGGTCAAGGTGAAAACGGCCGAATCCCTCAAGAACCCGACTGACCCCGGCAAGTGCGGCGCAACGAGGACAACAGGATGAACCTTCTGAAACGCGACTCGATCCCACGCCGTGGAGCCAATCGGTGTGTGCCGTTGCTGCCCCCCAACTCCACGAATGTCCAACTCCAGACCCCAATTCGAATGCATCTCTTCTCAACTCTTCCAACTTCACCGCACCATCTGCACGTTCCCTTGAAACAAGGCCAGCAGCCCGCTCACGTCATGTGGGCTGCGCTCTCCTCTCCCCAATGAACGTCTTCTCGTCACCCAGAGGTGCCCCGTCGGAATGTCCATTCTCGTCTCACCAATCCGTTGCCTGTCACACCTTGTACACACCCTCCTACGCCCTCTGGCAGATTCAAACACAGCACACACGAGAGATATCACGCAGGTACAATACCACGCACAACCGCACGACAATCCGTGGAACCGCTGTCAAGGGTCTTCGACCAGGTCCATCCAAGCTGACGCAGCAAACGCACGACATGCCACGCCGATTTGACAGTGCGGGTATGAAGGTTGCAGCATCGTCTTCCTTCGCCTTTCCTATTCAAGTTCGCTCGTTTTGGTTCTCTACTAGGCTAGAGCTCAAATCATAGCTTGGGGCGGCAAGTGCTTGCTTCGCGATGAGTCGAGGAAGAGCAAAATGGCAGATCATTGATCGCCATTCATCCTCAAGTCCACACTCTTGAATCTCGTCATCGGAATGCCTGGCCGAGACTATAATACTCTATATCACGGCTTACTCGCTCCTTGCCCCGGCAAACGAGCATCCCGGGCTGAGCCTGCGCCGTGACCAGTTGCCCATTCTCTCATCGTCCAAAGTCCATCCTGCACATACCCCCCCGCCCCAGCCGCCGATACGCGAGAGGATCATGAGGGAGAAGCGAAAGAGAGAGGGACACCGAGCCCCGCCCTTGCCGGCCTCTTTCTCCTTGATGCCTGTCCGTCCCTCTTTTGGGACTGACGTTATAGCTGGCGAGCCTCATAAGACGGCATCGCGAAAGGTGGGCGCGCGCGGGATAAGGTCACAGGCAACACCGCTTGCAGCATCTCATACCGGGGAGGGGCGGCTACACGCAAGAAACCCGGGTACCGCCACCGCGTGCTGTTGTTGCATCGGTGGTCCGGCCTGCTTTTGTCTGGCCTTCCCATGTCGGTATTTGGGGCAGAACCAGCCCTTCTGCATCCACGGCTGATACGTCGGACGAAGTTGCCCCAGGCAAGGCACACGCGGGCTGGAGTCTTGTGGGTGCGGACTGCGGATGCGCATGTAGCGGTCTGCGGCTGGTTCGATGCGGTATATGTACTGTTGCAGCCGCGCACGCGCATCTGATGCGCACATCTCGAAGCTAGTGTTTTGTTCTGCTGGAACCCTGAATCTGTTTCCCCGTGTCTTATACAAAGACCGGGCCACCGCCCACCCACACCACCTATCGGATCCGGAGGTCTAGGTGTCGGTTTGGAGGAAACCGTACTTTGGTGTCGAAGCTGTGGTTCAAATGGTTTTCGATCGCATACGAATTCGCACACGCATGCCCACAGCTTGAAGCTGGAGCAACGACAAGGTGAAGCTGCAGAAGGACGGCCGAGATGTCGCTCAGGTTCTACAAGACGCCCGGTGCCGAGCGGCCATGGCGTCCGCCGGTCATGGATGAGGACTGCCGAAGGTATCGTCGCCGGACAAAAAGGAGCAACAAATGGATCCCGCCCAGGTTGGCTTTTGAGGAAATAATCAGGAACAACACGGCATCGGTAAGCGCGACGGACGACCCAGCTTACATATCAAATGCGGAACCCACTAACAACGACACAAGCCCTGCTCGTTGAACGACTTCATGGACTACCTCGTCTACGTCGAGCAAGATGCCGAACCGCTACAGTTCTTTCTCTGGTATTGCGGTTATGTTCAGACTTGGACTTCACTTTCGCCAGAGGAACGTGCTCTTGCGCCAAGCTGGGACCCGGACCGTGGCAAGAAGCTCACTTCGAAACAACGAAGGGCGAAGAACTCGAGCAAAGTGAGCAACATCCTGGAGATACTCGACGAGGAGAGCAACCATACAAACACGGCTGCGTCGGGGAAACACAGCCGAGCTGAGTCTGCGGCGACCAACTTTTCTCGCCCGGGAGCAACTTACGCAAGGGGGAGTGAGAAGGAGGTGGAGGTGACAGTATCTGAGCCTTGTGAGATTCCCCGTCCCTGTTCTTGTATCCTCCTAATACTGACATATTTCAGCAATGGCATCTTCTCAACCTTTTCGCTCCGATATCACCACTATCGTGAACCATTACATCAACCCTAACGCTCCGCGCCGGCTCAACCTCACCAAAGACGATCGCAACGCCGTACTCACAGCGGCAGCCTCCACGACACATCCCTCTGCCCTTCTCCCAGCTTTCGAGAAAGCCGAGGCCCTCCTCCGCGGAAAGCTGCACCCAAACTTCATCCGCCACAACATTTCCAACACGAACCCTATCGCCACACAACTTCTCCGGTTCCTCGGCCTCATCCTGTTCGTTCTCGGGATCGGCCTTGATATCGCGCTGATTCTCTCTTCCGTCTCGCGGTACTACCGTCTCCTCTCCGCGCCGTTGATATTCTCAGGTCTGGCGATCTTGGTAGCTGCCCTAGATGGTGTTTCTTTATCCCTCCACCTCACGCACAGACGACACGTCCGGCCGTGGGAAGTACCCGATCTGGAATCTGGGACAGGGGCCGACAAGCGGCACCGTCGAGCCGCGACCTCCGAGAGCGTCTCCGGGGCGGTCGACCCGCTCCGCAAGCCGACGTTGCAGACCTTAGGCCCCGAGAACGTTTTTTTGAACGAGGAATGGGTCGCCACGTACGAGAGCCGGTCGCTTTGGCGACGCGTGTTTGAGCGCAGCATCGTCAGCCGAAACAAGTATCTCCGCATCCTTCAAGATGGTGTTGTTGCAGGAGCGGCATTATGGGCTGCGGTAGCGACTGTCGCGATTGGAGTCGGCTCGGTTTTCATACCATCTGAGAATTTGTTTTGATAAGCGCTGAACACGCCCTTGACGGGCACATTATGAGATCATGACAGTCTTTTCTGGGACAGGTTCTGGGATATGGATAGAGAACTATACAAAAGCATACAAGCGGGAACACTGGGTGTTTGGTCATATACCGGGAACAATACGTAGGTAGTCTGTAATTGATAAGACATACTTCTTCACCACTCTCACAGTCTACGAGAGCTGGGAGAAAACGCGGGTAAAGAACAACAAACCCGCATTCAAGGTCTCTAGGTCGCCTGCAGATTCCCGCTTGCCCACGACATGTCGTATAGACATGCCTTTTTCTCACCAATTAAATTGTCCCAGGAGAAACGTCTTCTGCATATTCCAAAGCGCTTCACGCGTTCTTGCTAAGGCTGTAATTTCCACAGCTCTGAAGATATGTATGTGGACTGCCGCCGTATCTCATGCTCTGGAGGGGCTTCAATAGTGCTTTTCAGTCAGCCCAAGCTTCCAACGGATAATTGTACTTCTGCCCACTCATATTGTCCTTCCACTCTGTCCCTCACGTATTCGACTCTGTTTATACACGGAGAGTCGGCGGCCTTGTACTCTCGCATCTGACGGTACGGTGACTATTGATGAAGTCGGGCGACTGGGAACTGCCGGCCGCCTGCCTCTATTTCGAGATTGAGCAGGCAATGAGTATCAGCAAGAAATCTCGTCGACGCCAATCTGTATCTGGACAAAAAAGCAACAACGGAGAAGTAAAAAGAGCAATTTTTATAATAGCAGCAGTCTCGAGGGCAGAGACAGCATGTTGATCAGGCCGACCTACTTGATGAGCACCGTGGATTTGAGTGGAAGAACATCCAAGGGCTCCTGAGGCACTTCTGGACTTCATGAGGTCTACCCCAGAGAAGGGCAGATCAAACTTCTGGGAAACGAAGGCGTCTTGAAAATCCTGTATTTCAAAAAAGTTACAGGCATTCGAGTACAACGACGCACTTAACCCATTACTATAAGAGATCTAAGTCTCCTATGGAAACTTAAACCACGTAGAACTAGGAGAAAGTCATCTTTCTCACCCAGTTGGCATATTTATCGCGTCCTTAGTAGCCCTTGTGGTGGTGATGATGGCTTTGGGGTTTTTCTGCGAGGGTAAAGCGATTCAGTTGCATAGCATACGCAAGGAATACGTCCAAAGAAGCCCCGAACGACGGTGTGAGAGGGTGTCTTCAAGAACTCGAAGTTTCACAGAAGACTAGTCGGCTATTTGTATCATACTCCCCGATTTCTCCTCCTCCTTTTTTTCTTCGAGTACCTAGCCGTAAACGGCTTAGAGGGATAGTGTTGGAAAGTGACCAGTATCGACGGTATACTGACCCAGCAAGGAGTTGTGTTATCGCACAGGACATATAAAGTTTCCAAAAAAGCTTGTGTCTGAGTTGCTCTGCATGGGGCGCTGGTCGTTGTCTGAGATGTAGTTGTCTTCTTCATCTAAATCTATGGTTCCATGGGGACTAGGTCAGGATCGTACCCAACACAGTAGTTTTGGAAAAGTTGAATGGGACCAGGAACACTTCCCTCTCCGTGAATACTAAGTAATATTCTCGGAAAGACGGATACTGACGACGAAGTCTAATCCCCATCACTTTCGTGAAGTCGTCTTATCTTTCGTCATCTTGACCGGTGGATAGCATCTGTCAACACGAACAAGTTCAGACTGCCTCACTTCTGACTGGGGCGATCAATTGTGCTGGAAATGACTCGGTAGGAGTGTTGGATCAAACCCGGTGGTACTTTTTATACTCTTCAAGTCCTTATATTTAGGGCTCTTGAGATTCCAGATGCTGTACATGGCGAACAGATCCATACATCACAAAGCTTGTCGAACGTTATGCCAAAGGATATGATGGTAGAGGATTCGGATGTGGTGTTGAAGGAACAAGAGCGGCAGACACCAAGCCCAGGCCAGTCGGCTTTTGGTGCGCAGCGGCGATACCCTTCTAGCCAGAGGACTATCCGCAAGAACCTTGTGCTACATATCAGCAAGGGGTCGCTCGGGTCGATTCAATGGTTTCTACAACTTTGATCAGTTTCTTATTCGGTCATAATGCTCAAGTAAAAGCGGCAGCCCTCAAAGACAGCGGAAACTTTAAGCTATCTCAGACTTCGACCCGCGGTTGGTAAGCTTTTTGCCTCTCTGTTAATCATGGTTTTCGTCACGCATCTGATAAAGGTAAGACAATATCTCCGGAACCGAATATAAAAGCACTAGATATCTCAACATGGGAAGCAACAGGCTGTCTCCTTCCGTAGTAGCGATGGATTCTGTATATAACCGACCCAACGTTGAAACGTTCCTTGACGAGAGTCCATTAACTGAAAGATGGCATTCTCGCATTCGGTTGATCGAAGGTATGTATGTCTAGTATCTATCTCTGTCCTTACTTCCCTCCTCTGTCCCCTATCTTGTCCTTCACCTCCTACTTATACACCCGAATACACGTAGCGCAGTCCATGCTGACTCTTTTGATGTAGTGACTACGTCAACCACTTGGGGACCCCCTGATATTGCGGCCACCCGAGCACTTCTCGAGACTGAGGTCACAGAGGAAAATGTCAACCTCATTCGCACCTATCACCCGGCTTTTACCCACCCCGGCACCTTCCTCGCGACTCTAGTTACTGAGCGAGATGGCCGCCGTATCTGGGTCATCCGTGATCCCAGACGATCCTCCACTCACCTCTACGCCGGCGGTCTGGATGTTTAAATACCGTCATACGGGTTGCCGGTAGAATTGTGGACCTCCTTTGCTGGGCCAAGGACGTGCTCTTGAAGTCCAAGACGCCAGCTCATCCGGCTGTAGAACGCGGCTACGTATCTGCGGAAGAGCTCCCAACGTCAAACCATCCCCTCGGCAAGGAGGTCTGCGTGAACGCGGGGCAGTCCATCGGCACCATTACGGAAACGTTCAACACCCCTTGCCACCTTCGACCTTTCCCTTTCGAATACGCCCATGATCTATCTTTGATCAAACTCAAAAGACCCGGTAACCAGGTGGACCTGCTCAATAAGCAACAGCCCTTCGGGGTTCCGGTTATCGATGGGTGGGCCAGCGTTTCCGATGTGCTCGAAGGCAAGCCGCTCTTCGTGACTTCACAAGATACATATCCCCAACACGACGTAAGGAAAGCTCTTGCTGAGGGAACGCAGTATCTTTGGGATAGCGAGAATCTCGAACAGTCGGTCAGTCTTATGTGGAAAGTCGAAGATATCGCCGGTGTCTCTCAGGCAGCTTCAAGACTCCGCACTGGTGCTCGTCACTTCTCTGGGATTATTCTCTGCGTGGGCTGCCCCGCTGACAAGACTGCGAAGGCCATCGCTTTTCAGAACTTCGAAATACCCTGGCCAACACCCCCTGGAACCGCTGATCCAGCTCAAAAGGAGAGGAATAAGCCCAAAATCGCCTGCGGTTTTCTGTTGCCCGCCTTCCTCACTCGTGATTGCACCATCGAATACGAGAGAAACGACGAAGGCAGCGGCACCGAGTTAGCATAATCCACAGATAGAGAAGGAAAAAGGAAGGAGAAGAGGATAGAGAAGTCAGGTATGCTGGGGAGCCTCGTAAACTTCGACCTCGATGTCTAGTCGGTAGTCTTCGCCTGCGCTGGTCACTTGCGACGCTGCTAAGTCCAAATACAAGTTTGCCCCCTCCTCTCACGTTGGTATGAGGCCTTCGCTGGAAGCTTCATGTTTAGGTACAAGAGAGGCCTCGTAAGCGCTGGGTTTACTTCGAGTCCTCGTCGTTCACGTTGAGGCTAGGTAAGGGTGTCACCGGAGTACCCTAGGTAGGGTCTTTGTCAACCTATTGTGAATGTCAGCATGTGAGGGAAGTGTCCGGATACACGCATGTCTGACATGAATGAGTAGTTTTGTTTTGGCCAGGTCAGTTGTGTTGAATTTGTACAAACCTAGCTCGATGCGTATATGAGGTAGCAATCACGACTTTGAAGTGATGATATCATATATGAAATGTCCGTGAGTGCAAAACAATGAATAAGTTGAAAATATCATTGCAAAATAGGACAGTTGGTCCAGACCCTTGACGATGGAGGTTGGTAAGAGGCTCAGAGTTGCCTATTTCAGGCAGGCGAACATCGCATGTGCTTCACACGCTGCAGGATGCTGCATGGCAGCGGCTCGGACAGCTGCCCCGTCTATTCGTAGACTCAACACTCTGTCATCTAAAGAGCCCCAACAAACCAGGAGTCCCACACATCGACTGACGGATGGACGGAGGCCTGCCTCCATCCGCCGTACGATGTTCGGAAACGACGGTGATTGTGCCCAACTGGCCCCCTTCAGTCTCCAGTACAAGACACTGCCTAGGCAGCGTCGTCCGAGCTTTCCTGTCCCACGAGGAATCAAGACGAGGGACTTCAGATGCGGCGGCAGATGACAGAAGACACAGTTCAGTCACGCCGCGGATGTCGGTTGTGCCAAGTCCAAAACTTCCATTCGTCCATCCTATGAGACGGCGGCAGGTGGACTGACCCGGATGGACAGGGAAGAAGGACGTGGAAATGGTGCAAGGGACCCGGCCTTCTGGAATGGCGGCCAGCCAGCTGGCGCGCATTTTCTCAAACACCCCAGGTTCACGAGGGGGCGGGAGTCTGGGCAGCGGGCACCCATGGGGAAAAATGCGGGAAGTCTGTCTGGGGCTCCAGGGATGAAGGAGCCTGGAGGAGGAGGAGGGTTAACCGCGGGCTTCCTGTCGAATCGGCTACGAAGGCCCGGAGGTACGTATCGATTCCTGAACACCTCACTTACTCATCAGGAATTCAGGTCCTAGGTCCTCAGTTTTGGAAGGATCCATTCAATGGAGTGGCTTTCTCCCACTGCAAGCCCTAGGGCACATTGCAGCAAGAGCAACAACATGGATCAGGCACTCTGCGGAATATGTTTCACGCCCGAGGTGAGAGGTAGCCGCTCCCAAGACATCTACTTATTTTCTTCCTCCTGCGCGCGAAGCACCAGGCGGAACTTCCGTTCGACCCCTCCAACCACACACAATGCTCCCCACGAGCTTTCTCCGCACCGCCATGGCCATGGTAAGGATACCCTCCCTGGCTGCAGGTGATCTAACATCCAGCCCAGCACTGCAATTCAACGCCATCTGCTCCTGGCGATAACCAAAGTACGCCATCTCCAGAGACGTGCCGTCTTGACAAGCCGCGGCCACGATAGCGGCCTTGCCTAATACGGTATTTCTTCACACTCGGGCTCGAGTGGTTTTGGATTCATCGCCTTGTAGGTTATTCGGTGGACCGCGGCCGACGTCGGAGAGGCCGCAACATTGGATCCTGCTGCGCACTGCATCTCGCATATCAGCACTCAGTCATCACTGTGGGTTCGGTGACACTTTTTCTCCCGTTTTGCCCTCGCCAGCGAGACGCAAGAACCCACAATCTGCAGGGAGAAGAGCGTTTGCAAATTGCGATTGCAGGAGTGGATGTCGACCCCGGAATCTGCGAGACTTGTTGAATCCCGACCCAACGCCAGACCCCGAAACAGCCATGATTTAATGATTTACAGCGGGGATTCTGCCCGGCCTTCTGCATCGGACCCTGGGTCATCTTTTCTTCTGCTCGACAAATTGCTCTGTCGTCAAGTATTCGAGCTGACGGAGCTTGAAGCCTGTCGTTGCGGCAACCAATATCAACGCCTATATCAAACTTCACGGGAGGCCAAGACATGTTCAAAATCATCTCGATGTCATTGTTGGGGTCCAGGCCAATCACGGAGGCTGGCACGCCGCGGCAGTCGTGCGTAGCGCGTCGCGATCAGCAAGCATCGGCCTGGGCAGATGTAGGATTCACTGACCAGCAGCCGCATGTCGTCTTCAAATGCACCCTACAAGACTTGGAGGCGCACAACCTCGACGCTGCTAGGGGAGAGTGCGGGGAAGTTTGTGGTCGGATGAGGGGCAAAACGAGCTTGACGACACACACCAAAGCCCTCTAACTGACGTCTCGACGGATGATATTGAACTATCTTAGGCGGTGACAAATATTCGACCATTTAGTCGTCCTCGGTCTGGTCCGGAGCCAGAACTTCGTGTCGGGACACATCTGGTGACGGGCACCACACCTGGCATTGACATGATGTGTCACTGGCGTCTTTTCGGCGATTTCAATTCAAACACCAAGGGCAGGACATGCCACACCGAGGCAAGAGCGCAAATGAGCATGGTATCAACCACAAAGTCGGGATACTGACACGAACCATTGAGCTCCACCTCTAGTGCTGCTCTCTATTTGGCTATTCTCGGCCATTTTCTGGCAAAATAACAGTGCAGCGACAGGGAGGTAGATATATTTAACAGGTAGGTTTTGAGCGGTCACGGCAAGCCTAGCTGACGCGCAGCAGTCTGGCATCAAGCGGCTCGCAGCAAAGGGATTGACATGCGATGCCCCCGTTTCTGGACAGGTCCCCGGTGCTGATGGTGTGAGAGAGCATGCACTCTCGTCTTGACACCTCCACACGAACCGATAAATGTGCTCTTGGACGTCGTCACCGTCACCCCAAGAACAGGCAACGATCGATCACGAGAAGCGGCGCTGTTCTTTATTCTAAGAGTGCTCTGTCGTTTGACACTAGTTCTTGGAGGTCCAGTTATTTGGATCCATGGAAGTCGGTGTCTGAAGCACCCCGCCCCCAGATCAAGACCAGCCGGCCGGCCCAGGAGCATCCAGGCGCGGACGACAGGCGTAAAGTAGATTCGTCTAACGCTGAGAGGCTGATGAGAGGGTCCGCTACTGCAAAGCGGCGTTGTTGGGTACCTATCTGCGCGAGGGGTTAATTGCAGGGAAATGGAGGGTTCGCAGTCGTTCGGGGCAAAGGAAAAACATCAGACTGCATCAACCCCGGCCAAGCGGTAACGGCACAGGCGAGGCGCGGCGCCGTAATAGGTATCAGCGAGATGCGGGTGGGAGTGCGGAGCCGTGGTCAGCCATTCTCCAATGGGCGTCGGCGGAAGGGTTGATGGAGATGGAGGTCCCCTTTCCGCGTGGCTTGTCCCTTTTCTCCATTCTAGGTAAAATCATCGGGCTGAACTGTACCGTGATCCCGTACCTTGGATGGGGCTCCCTGCGCGGGTCGTCAGACGGTCTGGTGAATGGAGCTTTGGGGATTGTCAGTCAGGCTGAGTGATGGTGATGAGTGACAGCGGATAAGGTGCCTTTTGTGCAAAGTCACCTTCTCAATCACCAGTGTTCTGTCATGGGACGGCACCTGGGTGATGGGGAAACGAGGATGGAGAATTCAATGGAGATGGGTATCCGTAGCTCAGGTTCGCAGCGATCTCGGTCTCAGCTCCCAGGTGCTAATTCCCAGGCTGGGTAAGGTGTACTAATGAGTGTTACCTGAGAGGCGGGCAGTCAATCGGTGCGCCGTACCGAGTGCAGTCCAGGTCGGGTGTCTCTGGATTGAGTCCACCAAGCACCTCCCAGTCGCAGTCGGCGTCCAAGTCCAAGTCTTAGTCGAGTCCCCATTTGTCCATTAAAAGCAATCCCGTCCCCCGTCCAATTCGCGGCTCGGCCACCTGGAGAGTCGATCTTCTTAATTACTGCCTCTTTCTCCTTCGACCATCCGCGCCTCCTCCTCCTCTTCTTCTTCCTTTCTCTCAACTTCACTCTACAAACCACAAAACCTTCTCCATCCCTCTCCTCCAGTTTCCCGTACATCTCAAGCACCCACTCCGCTCGAGGTCAACCCGCCTGCTGCCGCTACCCGCCTTTGCAGTGAAGCTAGACCAGCCGTCAGGCCAGGAACCACGCGACTTTTGAAACCTCGTCATCGAGAAAAACCCCAGACCGCAGCGCAGCGCAGCGTTGTGGAGAGTTGCGCCAGTTTCCCATACCCTCGAGGGCCCGGAGCGCGCAAGAAAGCAAGAAAGCGCCCGCTCGTCTGGCGACCTCGTCGAGAAAGACGCACCACCGTCGAACGATTTCGTGCTCTCGACCTTCGCTCCTCGCCTTCACCACCACCGAACCACCAAGAGTGCTGCACAAAGTACCCCGCATCCTTCATAACGCACACATAACCCCGCCACCATGGCCGCATCGACAGAGCAACAAAAGGCCCCTGTGGTCGCTGAGGCCCACCTCGTTGACACCTTCCGTAAGCCCGAACACTCCCCAATTTCGTTTTCTGCGGTCGTCCGGCAGCGGCAGTAGCTCTGTGTGCGACACCCAGCGACAGCAACACCTCTTCCGGCTCTCGTTCCTCTTGCTTTCCGTTGGGAACTGCCATGGCTAACCTTTTCCCAACAGATCCCCCCCAAAAGATGCTTGACAGTAAGTCGCCCGTAATCCCGCTTCGCTTGCACGCTTCCATGACCTGTTGGCGGCCAAAAGTCGCGTGAGGGGCACTGGAGACTGTGCGCAAGGGGAAGGAAGAAATAGAGGGGCACTCAATTACTTGGGAGCTATTGCGCTCGTCTGATTGGACACATCGCTGACTTGGCCGTGCCTTCCCGCAGAGCACCCCAGCAAGCCCCACCTGAGCAGTAAGCCATTCCCCTCTTTTACCCCAATTCCACGTCTTGCCATTGGCTGTGTGCATCGTTGCTGACCGGAGCTCTCTCTTGCCCCTCCTTCGCGCAGGTCTCGAAGAATACCAAAAGTTGTACAAGGAATCCATCACCGACCCCAAGGCCTTCTGGGGCACCAAAGCCCGCGAGCTTCTTACCTGGTTCAGCGACTTCCAGACCGTCTACTCCGGTTCTCTCGAGAACGGCGACAGCGCCTGGTTCGCCGAGGGCCAGCTGAACGCCAGTTACAACTGTGTCGACCGTCACGCCTTCAAGGACCCTAACCGCGTTGCCATCATCTACGAGGCCGATGAGCCCGGCGATGGCCGCAATGTCACCTACGGAGAGCTTCTGCGCGAGGTCTCCCGTACCGCCTGGGTCCTGAAGCAGATGGGTGTGCGCAAGGGTGACACCGTTGCCATCTACCTGCCCATGATTCCCGAGGCCATCATCGCCCTCCTCGCTTGCGTCCGTATCGGTGCCGTCCACTCCGTCGTCTTCGCCGGTTTCTCCGCCGACTCCCTGCGCGACCGTGTTATTGACGGAAACTCAAAGGTCGTCATTACCACCGACGAGGGCAAGCGTGGCGGCAAGTTGATCGGCACCAAGAAGATTGTCGACGATGCCCTTAAGCAGTGCCCCGACGTCTCTCACGTCCTGGTCTACAAGCGTACCGGCGCCGACGTGCCCATGACCAAGGGCCGTGATTGGTGGTGGCACGAGGAGGTCGAGAAGTGGCCCGCCTACTTCCCTCCCGAGCGCGTCAACTCCGAGGACCCCCTTTTCCTCCTCTACACTTCCGGTTCAACTGGTAAGCCCAAGGGTGTTCTGCACACCACCGGTGGCTACCTCGTCGGCGCTGCCGCCACCGGCAAGTACGTCTTTGACATCCACGACGGCGACCGCTACTTCTGCGGTGGTGATGTCGGTTGGATTACCGGTCACACCTATGTCGTATACGCCCCTCTGCTGCTTGGTGTGACTACCGTCGTCTTCGAGGGCACGCCAGCCTACCCCAACTTCTCAAGATACTGGGATATTATTGCCGAGCACAAGATCACTCAGTTCTACGTCGCCCCCACTGCTCTCCGCTTGTTGAAGCGTGCTGGTGACCAACATGTCAAGGGCGACATGAAGCACCTGAGAGTCCTCGGCTCCGTTGGTGAGCCCATCGCCGCCGAGGTCTGGAAGTGGTACTTCGAAATTGTTGGCAAGGAGGAGGCCCACATTGTAGACGTAAGTGCCCATGCTTCACGATCACCTTGACACACCGAAACTAATACCCCTTGCAGACATACTGGCAGACCGAGACTGGCTCCAACGTCATCACTCCCCTGGCTGGTGTGACACCTACCAAGCCCGGCAGTGCTTCCCTTCCCTTCTTCGGTATCGAGCCGGCCATTATCGACCCTGTTTCCGGCGAGGAGATTCACGGTAACGACGTGGAGGGTGTCCTGGCCTTCAAGCAGGCCTGGCCCAGCATGGCCCGCACAGTTTGGGGCGCCCACAAGCGCTACATGGACACCTACCTCAACGTCTACCCGGGCTACTACGTAAGCATCTACCACTAGAGTATCGCCGAACATTCAGACTAACATTCAAAACAGTTCACTGGTGACGGCGCTGGCCGTGACCACGAGGGATTCTACTGGATCCGCGGACGTGTCGACGACGTCGTCAACGTCTCCGGTCACCGCCTTTCCACCGCTGAAATCGAGGCCGCGCTCATTGAGCACCACGCCATCGCCGAGGCCGCCGTTGTCGGTGTTGCCGACGAGCTCACCGGCCAGACTGTCAACGCCTTCGTTGCCATCAAGGACGGCAACGAGCCCACAGATGCGCTCCGCAAGGAGTTCATCATGCAGGTCCGCAAGAGCATTGGTCCCTTCGCGGCGCCCAAGGCCGTCTACATCGTGCCCGACTTGCCCAAGACCCGCTCCGGTAAGATCATGCGCAGAATTCTGCGCAAGATCTTGGCCGGTGAGGAGGACCAGCTTGGTGACGTAACAACGGTGTGTACTCGCTTCCCTCCGCTCCGCAGCTTCGGTGACTGACTTGATACAGCTGTCGGATCCCTCAATCGTTGAGAAGATCATCAACATCGTTCACGAGGAGAAGAGGAAGAAGTAAATGCATGGCGCATGCAGGGGATGGGGAGTGAGGGAGAGAATGACTTTCGATACCACGAGCCAGGAGCGAGGACCTCCTTGAGCTCACGATGGATACTTGGTTTAGTTTTGCCATAAGCGACATGTTGATTGTTCTTGAGTCGATTTGAAAGAAATAAAAACGTTAAACTTAAACCATGTCATCAAACGTCTCCAAGTGACAATAGCCGATCCAGGGCGCTTCTTGTCGGTCCGAATCGTAAACAGGGCAAGGCTGGGGCTCACATCCACTTCCTCCATGGCGGAGGAGTCTCGGACATACGGGGCTGTCAGCACGGCCCGTGCACCGGCCTGTCGGCGGGTGCATTGCGGGTCTCGACACGGACCCCCGTTCTCCGGCCCGGATCAGCGAAAGTGGGGGGAGGCCAAGTCTGCAACTTGCTGACGCCCGGGGCGCTCCGCCACTAACATCTTCATCATCTCGGCGCTGCTAGACGGGCGAGTGTCCGTCGTGTGCGTTGAGAAACGCGCGTTTTCTGGAGCGGTTTCCTTCTTGAAGATGGAGGAAAGCCAAGGACCGGTAGCTGCTTCTGTAGCGGGATTGGGCTGTGTTGAAGACGCGGCGCGCACGGGTGAGATGGCTCGGATGGTGGTTGATATGACGTTGGGAGAGGCGTGGGTGGTGGGTTCTGTGCTTTACGAGTTTCGCGATGTTTGCGCCGTGGTTGAATTCTGCAGCAACTGGCTCTCTCCCCTAATGGTGGTTCGCAACAACGTGAACACACGGTGAATGTACTAATACTATCTATGTTCATCTGAAGCTAACATATACCATGCTCGCATCATATCTACTGGACGCCACCAGATGGACAGAATTCGAGTGTAAAAACAGATCGATGGATCGATATCAAACGAGGTATACAGCAACCCAGTCGATCCCGTGAACGCCGGCGTTGAACTCGGACAAATCCATATGCTTCTCGATGTACGCGGGACCGATGACGGAAAACGTGTGCTGGTTCCCCTGTTCCTCCTCGGCTGGCCGCAGGAGCATGGGGACGGCGACGCCGCGGAGGAGAGCGATTGTGTCTCCCTTTTCCGTATCAATCGGGCCGACACCGACACTGCCCTGTGTTGTGAGGAAGAGGCAGCTCTCGCTTCTCATGAGCTGACTGCAGCACATCAGTGCCAAATCTAAATTGTCTCGGTGGCTTGTTTCGAGGTCTTCGACCAACGCGAAGAGTGATGTATCATTTGCCCCGTAGTGTGTTTCTATCCGTTGGCTCACCTCCATGCTTTGACTGCAGGCCTCGAGGCATTCTGTGAGCGCCGTTGTGTGTTGTCCATCGAGGTTAGGCACGCACCCCCTGACGACTCGAGCGATCTCCGCGGACAAGCATACGGGAGGGCTCGCATCGGTCAAGATATCCTGTGCCTGGATGAAGAACCGCAACAGCATCGAGAGCATCTGGGACGGGAATTGAAGATCATCCCAGGCGAAACTCTGTCGGTCAAACATTGTCGTGGTACAGGCAGCTACGGTGCCCTCCAGAGTCCCCCATAGTCCAAGTTTCCCTTCACTGATCTTCATATGCGGAGCAGGTAGGTTGTCCTGGTACTTATCAATGTGGTCGTAGACATGTTCTGGCTTTAGCCAAGGCCTCTGCCTGATGGTGCTCCAGTCTGGAACCCAAGACGGTACCTCCCTTTCCCAACCTGATGCCGGGTTCACGTCGACGAGCAAGTTTATCACCGCAGGCTGGAAATGCAACAGGTCGAGGAAGAGCCGGTGATACACCTCGCCCAGCGATAGATCGTGGTTCGCATCTGCGTGCGATATGTCCAGGCTGTACAGGACACTGCTCAGCGCGAAGGCCTTGTCCTTTGGGACGCTGGCCTGACGCTCCCGCAACGAACGCAGCACGCCTATGAGTGGCCCGTCGGCGACGTGTTCGTCAGACCCCCAACTATCCATTGCAATGACCCCGACGGAGAGCCCGGTGAGGGCCGTGCCGGCCAGCACCGTCAAGAACCCGAGACGCAACTGCCTGTTCTCCAGGAACCCCGCTACGTGGGTGCGATCGTGCGTCACCTTGCCGTGGGCGAGTGTGTATGCCACAGTGAAGGGATCGATGCCGAGGATGAAAACGATGGATGCTAATCCAATGACGACGACCAAGGGTATGAAGAGTCTAATCAGTCTAGTTTCTAGACGATACTGTCTGACAGAACGTCGTTGTTCTGCCGAGTATGGACGGTATTGCCCAGCCGACCACCTGAACCCCACGCCGTTCCGATGTGTCGGACGTCGGGAATGAACCCAGATGTCTGCCAACGCCCGCCACTTGTCGAATGAGGGTATCTGTTTGACTGCGTCCGAGACGGGTGAGGATCGGGTCGTTGCTCCGCCACATAAGACATTGCCCAGGTATTTGAGGCCTCGAACTACGCCCAAGGGCGGCAGTTGCGGGCCGTACAAGTAAAGATGGTTCAGTCCTTGAATGAAGTCGCACCATCTGATGGTTTCGTAACCACAGACAATGACTGGGTTCGACGCCAGAACGGCCTCCTGGAACGTCCAGGCTCTGTTCATCCATTCAGTCCCTAGCAGGGCTTCCAGGTTTTCGACGTCGAACAAGTGTTTTAGCCCGAAAGGATTCAGACGGCACAAAGCTTGCGATGGAATCAGCTACGTAACGCGGGCTTTTAAGGAGGAGAGGGCTAAGCCAGAGTAACTTACAAGTTGAGATAACTCCCCATACCATGGGGCCGTAATCAAACAAAAAGGCGAGAAGAGATCCCCGAGGAACGAAGGAGCTGCTTCCGGGACGCCATGGAAGGCTAGGTAGGCCAACATGAAGGCTCGAGGCCTTTTGCAGACACCATATGGCCATCCGTGTATTCACGCTACCTTGACCCAGCCAAAGAAATACCTCAGAAGCCCATGTATAGATCTCGCTCATAAGTCTGAGTTGTGACGCTTTTTCTCCGTCGTCCGCCTGATTGATGCAGATTGCGTCAATCCAGACGGTTAATTCTCCCGCACACTTATTTCGAAGAACAACGATAGCATCTCGACAATTTCTTGTGATGGGGATGTTGATCCCATTGCACTCAATCGTATCCTTGATCGAGGAGTACTTGCCCCAAACGTAGGAAAGAGCGGCAAAACGAGGGCAGTCGTGCAGGCTGACGATACTCAGGGTCCCAACCAAGGGCGCGTCGAGTTTCTCCTCGTGAGGGATCTTAAGGACGCGTATACACTTTGAATCGGCGGGCAAGGGGAATTCTTGGTACAGTCGGTTGGGATCCAAAGCAAAATTGGCACCCAGAGTTCTGAAATTTCTCGTTGAACCGGATATGGCAACGAGTTGGTAATCTGACTCCATAACATTCAACAATCACGCAAGAAGGATAGCTGGCAGAAGACTTGACTGAACAACCACACCTATATGTAGATGAATCGTTGAGCGGAGAACATTCATTGCTATTATGCTAGGCCGGACAGGACAGGCCAGAGCAGCAGAAAGCGGTCTTCATGCCCGAAGGCTTTCTACGAGGCAAACCAAGGCGACGGGCGCTCGAAACGATAGGATGGCAGCTGACCGAAAATTCAGGCCTGGGAGCATTCATAAGGTAGAAGATGCCATCGAGCTCTTGTTGTGACAGGTCGATAAATGCAAAAATCCAGGGCCCAATTGTGTATGGCCTGCATATTGGGCAGCTAGGAAGTCTCACCGCGGCATTGCAGCAACTCGACCAGTATACGCTGGTCGACGATTTTATAAGAAGAGCCTCTTACTCAGGTGGTAGGCATACTGTTGGTAGGCCGTCGAGCTTCATCATTGCGCGCACGCTTCCCCAGAATCTCGATGACCTGCCAGTAGTAGAGTGGCTCCCATCTAGCCACTAGACATCTCAGCAGACCGTTGCCGCTAAGTCTGGCTCGAGGGGTTGGCGACTCAAGGACGCCGATAAGAATTAGCATTGCTGATAATGCTGCCGCGAGCCTTTTGCATGATGGGAGGAGTGTAGGACCCGTCATCTTTAAAGGAAAGGCCACAGAAGAAATGAGCTCGAGCATCAACAGACTTCTGCAAAACTCTGCACCATTCATGGTCAGGCCGGCTTTTTGGCCATTGCCAGCGAAGCGCACCCAGCAAATTATCATGCAGGTGTACAGCCCTAACATTCATTCCCACCAAGTTGAGTTGGTAAACTTGTAAGCAAGAGTCAGCAACCCCCTCCTGATTGCTCCCCGTTGGTCTATCGCAGCACAGCCTCCGCGAAGCTGCACGACCACCACACGGGAAAGGGTGGGCTGCCGCATTTCTCAGAAAGCAAACGGCGTCGTCGTCATCTCGCGCCAGGTGTGGACGTCCTTTGGGGCTAGCTTCGACACGGCAGACTTGGCATGTCATCAGCAGTCTCTTGTTATGTCCGAGACATATGGCGGGTGGGAGATCATGGAGAAAGAAGGGCTTTGAAAGCGGGCGAATTTCGGGCGTGGCGACGCTTGCGGGAGCTGCCTTTCTTCGCAGAACCGCGTCCAGCCATGTCCAACGTCCGTTACTCTCGTCCAAGCCAAGAAGATCGGGGGTTTGATGATGTCGACACTCAGATGGATAGCTCCGGAGAGATGTTCCTGCCCGAACATCGAAGCCAAGGTTCTTTTTTTCGTAAGGCTGTAAGAGATCACGGCTTGTCATACTGAAAACTGTTTCCGTATGAGAATCCACTGGGATCCGGCAGTCGTCGACGCAGTGCCGGTCCCAAGCAATCGGTGCTCGAGATCGAAGCTGACAGTCTTGGCCAAGGCTGTGCGGGAGCGTTCGGATGGCGAATCCACGTTCCTGAATGTGCTCGCTCAACCCAGCAAGCAAGTCGTTTCGGCTGATATCCAGAGATCGGTGGAGTTGTAGCGGTCATCTCTCGCCGAATTTGAGCCAAGATGACTTGGCAGGAAGGATGCGGCACTACCTTTCCGCCGGAAGCAATTCGATAGCCGCTGCGGGGGGTTCGGTAACGGTTGGGACCAACACCCTCGCGGAGGCCTCTCGATACAAAGCTGCAATGTCATCCAATCGACAGTACCTGTCTAGCATTATTAAGCATGCCGTACATCTCGTGCGTGAACAAAGCCACCGAAGGATGGGGTCGTACGCGCAATGCAAAAGCAGGATATCTTGCTTGCCCGCCGTGATAGCCCACATTGGCATGGCAAACATGCCGGCGTCGGACGTGGAAGTCGTCTTAAACCCGAAAAGAAGGCTGTGAAAGCGGGGGAGAAGAATTCTTTTTTCTTGCTGACTCCAGAAATCCAGACCGTCCGATGTATCGAGTCGAACTGGTTTGCACCTAAAGGGAATGATTGGCTCGGTCGAGGCCGGTGCTTTGAGTTTGTTTGTGATCCCTGCCCCACGAGCACGGAAGTCTGTTGTTAACTCAGTTTTTGGGACCGGGGCTCATCGATCTAGGGTTTTCCAAATGTCGAAAATTTGTCGAGTACCGGTATCTCGAAATGTTTCAGAAAGAGGCGCGGTGAACATGGACCAATGACGTTGCGGTTGATGATGATCAGAGACATGAAGGAGATGCGATAGCGAATTCCCGTGAGCCAAGACGTTGAGACTGAGAAGAAGAATGAGTGACATGCGAGCCGAATAGGGCCTAGCTGCTAGCTGCCGCTGCCGCTCCCTGTGTGCTCGTCAGAGACTTTGGCCAAGCTCGCTCAGCCTCTCCAAGGTCAACCTGGGTTGCAGAGGGAGACGTAAGCTCTTCTCTTAAGCTTACCTCCAGACACACAAGGCCGTTCCGCACGACACGGCGGGGTCTAGCTTGATGGAAATACGCGATGAGAGTCCATCCAGAAGGCGAGTGCTAGTCGGCGTGGCATCGGTGTAGTGTAATCCAAGCTCCACAGAAGCGGACATGGCTGCTCAGGCCCGGCTTGGTGTTTTTGGTACTTAACCATCGAGGTGCATCCGACAGTCGAAATGCAATGATTCGACTTTGAGTTGGTCCAAAAGATCTCATCTTTCTCACCAACCGTCCGGCATTTCCAAATCCCTCAACACGTTACTCCCTGGTCCATTTGTCACGAGCGATCCAACAAGCTTCCAGGAGCGCGAAGCGCCAGTAGCGACCCAAACAACGTGCCATTGGCTCTGAAACGCTTTGCTCGGAGAGGCGTTGTCCTGACAGAGCAGAGGTCGCAAGTTGGCCAAGGGTTGAGCAGGTACGTATCCATCTATATCACGACGACTAAGAATATACGGTCGGAATCTGTTAGGAGCTGACATGCAGTTTCCTGCACAACGCAGCGTAGCTCCCTTGCTTTTTTCGGAGTGCTGTCATCCCATCCATCCATCCCTCCCACATTCCCGTTTGCCTGCTGGGGGCCTTGGGAGCACCAATCTTGGCTCGGGGTTGATTGTAACGGCCTCTTCTGCGTGCTTCAGCTCAGACGGGGACGGTGTCAGATTCTTTGCGCGGGATCTTGGCCAATTGCTGGGATTCCCTCGTCGAATATTCGCGAGGTAAGTTCGAACGAGTTTATTTCTTGCATCCTGCATATTGCTGTGCAGAATTTGGCCGTCTTGAGATGAACCGTCATCGCTGTGTGCTGCGTGCCGCGGACGTCAAGGTGGTGAAGTCTTCAGCCATGATGGCGATGTACCTACCTTAGTGTTGGCGGTCGGACCGTAAAGGCGGGCGGCGTTGACGGTGACGGACGGCGGATTCTTCGGCACTTGCTTTTTTGCTTCTTCTTTGGGCTGTCAGAGCATCACGAGCAGACGCCGCGGCGCGCGGGTTGTTGTGCGTGTGTTTTGTGCGTGGTGTTGGGGGATCGACCGGGTGGAAAATTAAACATGGGGAGAAAAGAAGACGGGATTGCACCGCAGTACTGCGTAGAAGTTGTCACCAGCTAACACCGAGCAGTGAAACAGGGACACAAGACCAAGACGGTAGACCAAGCCCCTTTGAGTCGCAGCCCAGTCGAACTTGCCTTACCTCACCCTCACGTTGGCCTGTCGCCCTCGTTTTCCCGTCCTCTTTTCTCGCCAGAAATACGCTTGTTACGGATACGGTCCACGGATATACAGGGGAACATTTTGGCCAGGTGGGAACACTGCCAGGCTGCTTATTACGCTAGTGCGGTCCCCGTGTCTCTGATCGAAAAAGGATACTTCGGTCTTGGGCTTACCACTGCCGTGCGGCCGAGTCACACTAAGCCAAGAGTGACCAAGCTCGCCCAGCCGCCTCTGGAATCCACAGCAACTCGGCGCTCCAATACAGTTGGTCCACCGCCCCCCGTACCAAGATCGTGTTGCGCAATCCTGGACATCCACTCACTGGTCGCTGGCCACTGACTGAGGCGATAGCCCCCCCGAGAATCCCATTCCTTCTTGTTGTTGGCTGTGCTGAGTTCCTCTTGCTGCCCGTCACTCAGTCGTCGTCGTCGTCGTCGGCACTAGCGAACTTCCCGGCCTTCTTTCATTCTTTCCTCTAAACTACCACATTCGCTCTTTGCTATTCTTTTTTCACTTTAATCCGTTTCTTCGGTTTCGACGAACTTGTTGTTTCCCTACGAATACCCGCCGCTGGCGATAAGCTCCTAGTGCGATTACGGAACCCCTATTTCGACGACGCTTACGCAGCTCCATCGTCGATAGAGGCCTCCTCCACGAGCCTCTCCCCGTTTGCGGGGACCTCAACCTCCATAATGGTCGCCTTCAAGACCATTGCTGCGACCTTTCTCGGTCTCGCAGCTATCGCGCAAGAAACTTGGGGTAACTATTCACCAGAGTACCTGGCTATTTATCCAGAGTACTCAAAATACGATCAAGGACCGCTAGCTAACCTTACTTCGCAGCGCATTCAACACAGCGGAATCCGCTGAAGTATGTCACCATCCTCCAAGATGCCGCCATCCACTCGCCTTCACAACATTGCCACGCCCTCTCCCATTTCGACCTCACTTTCACACTACACGACAAGCAGCAGCAGGTCCGTTTATCGTTAGAGCCGAACCACGACATTTTGGGGGATAATTTCGAAGTCAACTATTTGGCGCCGGATGGGACGATTCACAAGACGGAGACGGTAGACCGGTCAGAGCACCGCGTCTTCAGGGGCAAGACTTTTATTCGGCACGAGGGTCATTCTGAGTGGACAAACGTCGGCTGGGCGAGAATCACGATTCACCGAGACGGCGCCGAACCCATCTTCGAAGGCGCGTTCCGCATTGACGGCGATCCCCACCACATTCTTACCGGCTCCAACTACCGCCAACGAAAGCACCGCGAAGACCCCGATGCTCCGGACAGGCGGAATCCCGACGACTACATGGTGGTGTGGCGGGACTCGGACATTCTGGATTACTGGCTTGACCGGGAGGATTTGAAGCGCGATGTGTACGGCCGGACGTCATGCAACTCGGACAGCTTGGACTTCAACTCCAACTACAAGGTTTTTGACGCACGGGAGGCCGACCCTCTGCAGGCTGTATCGACCAACTCTCTTTTCGGCGCCAACCTCTTTGGAAGACAGACCGACGGCGGCAGCACCGGTAACAACGGCGCCGGCGTCAATCTCGTTTCTTCCATTGGCCAGACGAACGGCTGTCCGACGACGCGCAAGATCGCATTGCTTGGTGTCGCCACCGACTGCACCTACACTGCCGCTTTCAACTCCACTCAGGCCGTCAGGTCTAATATCATCCAGGTCATCAATGCCGCCTCCGAGGTCTACGAGAGCTCCTTCAACATCTCACTCGGTATCCAGAACCTGACTATCAGCGATGCGAACTGCCCCGGGCAGGCCAGCTCTTCCGCGCCCTGGAACGTAGCGTGTAGCCCGAGCATCACTATCACAGACCGTTTGAGCTTGTTCTCGGCATGGCGCGGCAACTCCAAGGACACGAACGCTTTCTGGACTCTCCTGAGTACCTGCGGAACCGATTCCGCCGTTGGCTTGGCTTGGTTGGGACAGGCTTGTATGAGCGGATCTCAGGGTTCGGGTGACAGCAGCAATGAGACGGTTGCGTCCGCCAACGTTGTGATCCAGACGCCGAGTGAGTGGCAGGTCATCGCCCACGAAGTTGGCCACACGTTCGGTGCCGTCCACGACTGTACGGCCGACGCCTGCAGCAACGGCGACGCCAACCTGAACAAATGCTGTCCGTTGAGCTCCAGCACTTGCAACGCCGCCGGGCAGTTCATCATGAACCCCTCGACCGCCACTGGTATCAAGGCCTTCTCACCTTGCAGCATCGGCAACATCTGCTCCGGTCTCCTCCGCAACCAGGTCAAGTCGACGTGTCTGACGAATAACCGCGATGTGAAAACCATCCTCGAGAGTCAGTGCGGCAACGGCATTGTCGAGTCCGGCGAGGACTGCGACTGTGGTGGCGAGTCAGGCTGTGGCAGCAACAGCTGCTGCAACCCCACCACCTGCAAGTTCACCAGCGGCTCGGTCTGCGATCCCTCCAACGAAGACTGCTGCAACGGCCAGTGCCAGTTCGCCTCCAACGGGACAGTCTGCCGGCAAAGTACCGGGTCTTGCGACCCCGAGGAGACCTGCAGCGGCACTTCATCCTCTTGTCCTGCCGACAAGCACAAGGACGATGGAGACTCTTGCGGCAACTCAGGCCAGGGCTTGACTTGCGCCTCGGGCCAATGCACCTCCCGTGATCAACAATGCAAGACGGCATGGGGAGCTCGGACCAACGCCAGCTCGGTCACCGCCTGCGGCACCCAGGACTGCTTGATCGCATGCAACGTCCCGAGCGTCGGCCCCGGCTGCGTGACCATGAACCAGAACTTCCTCGACGGCACCAACTGCCAGGGAGGAGGCACCTGTTCCAATGGCCAGTGCGTGGGCTCCAACGCCGGCGACGAGATCCTCGACTGGATCAAGAACAACAAGCCCATCTTCATCCCCATCGTCTGCGTCGTCGGTCTCCTCATCCTCATCGTCCTCTGCAGCTGCATCTGCGGCGCTTGCCGCCGTAGCAGGAACCGCACCAGGGCCCGCAGGCTCAAGACCGTACAGCCGCCCATGGGAGGTTGGAACAGCTACGGAGGCGCTTGGAACAACAACGCCAACGTCCCTCCGCCGCCGCCCGTGGCCACTCGGCCCGGAGCTCCTCCGCAATACCAATACCCACCTCAACAAAACGACTGGCAGATGAATAGGACGCAGAGCGCCAGGTACGCGTAATCCCGCGACATAAGAGAAGAATAGAAGATGGCAGTAGCAAGGGCATGAAGAGAGGCCCTTGAAGAAAAGGAGGACTACAGCTACCCAAACATTTGCATTACTCGGAGTTGGTGGAGTTTTTACTACTCACATTTCATTTTTTATCTTCTGGATTCGTCCAAAAAAGTCCCAGTTTTGTTTTTGGGCATGAAGGGCGCCATGCACAACACGTCACAGGCCTTTATGGCAGTGTAATTGTGTAATTCACGATGACTACGGTCTTGGATACCTCGCGGATGGATACCTAGATAGGGACAGAGAGAACATAGCTTTAGGTCAGCTGGCTGATCCAGTGCGGACCACCAGCGGCGACCGACGACATCGTCACAATTCATCACTAGACTTTCATCCATTTTTGTCGCGCTGACGAAACTTTGAATTCCAATGTGAAAAGAGTGCCATGAAACGCCGGTATCCAAGTTAGTCATAAGTCATGCCAGATTGCCCCCTTGTCGGATCGAGAATGAGGTTGGCCTGACAGGCGAGGACAATTTGCCTCCCGAGACTCCCCATGCCTGCAGAAACCCTACTCCGTGAACCCAAAATCCGACCCATCCGTACTTCATCCCGCGTGCCAAGCCATGCGGACGGAACCGACGACGTCCGTATTCTTGTTGTCGATAGAGACCCAATCGAACTCCTCCTCGTGTCATCTCAAGGGGCCTCACCTCCCCCGCGCGCCTCTCATTCAATGCCGCCATCATTCTATCAGTGCCGACCAATCCTATCGCCACCCGCGCTTCTTCTGCGGTTGTCCTGCCTCGCGCCCTTCGCCTTGCGGTAGTCCTGCGCATGCTGCGCCGCGTCCGCCTTCACCCCGCACAGGATGCGCGTGAAGTAGAGCCTGGTGCCGGGGATGCTCTGTTGCTCTGGTCAGCACTTCCCTCTCTTTCCCTTCTCATACACGAAATCTCATCCCCTCAGTCGAGTCCGAGACAAGGACTTCCTTCTACGCCATGCATGAGAAAGAAAGCAAGAAAGAACTCACGTCTCCGCGACTACAGGCATACATAGCCAACTTCTCGGGATCATCCAGAACCTCAATCGCAAAGGCCTTCTGCCTGCGGTCCTCGAATGAGTCGCCCCTCCCGCTCACCAGATGTCCCAGCCTGCCGCCGCCGCCGCCCCCGCGCGAGGGCGAGTCCACGGGGTCGAACTCCATGTCCGAGGTCGTCGGGCTGTCGTGCGGCGTGTAGGGGTCCTTGCCGCGGGCCTGGCGGTCGCGCATCGAGGGCGTGAAGCTGGGTTCCGTGATGGGCATCGACGCGGCCGCTGCTGCTGCCGCCGCTCTGGAGGCGGAGGAGGATGCCGACGGGTGTTGTTGTTGCGGGGAGGCGTAGGTGCGCAGGTGTGGCGGGGTGTAGTAGGCGTACTGGTTCGACATGTTGGGCGGACTGGGGTCGGGTCTTTCCTTTCCGCTTTATGGGTAGGTGATTGTGTGAGGGGAGGTGAGATGAGAGGCAGGAGCGGTGTGAGAGGTTGTTTGTTTGCTCGCGTCTTCCCCTCTCTCACTTTCACTTTCACTCTCTTGCCCTGTGGATTTGAGGCAGCGACAGTGACGCCTACGACGAGCCTGGGCGATGAAGGTGGGAGCGCGATCGTCGCGAGACTCGAGGCTCCGTACAATGAATAGTGTCTCGGGAACGGGGGACGAGATGTGAACAAAGGAATTATCTATCCAAAGCACGGATGTCGTTGTTTGAACGGGGGATTGTCCGCCGCAGCGGTCGCTTGTGACGCGCGCGCCACGGGTGGCTTTGGAGGCGGTCGGATCCGATGCGGGGCACCGACCTAGGTAGAGGTGTTAAGCGCCTTGTGTTACCGACCCCGCGTTTGCAAGCTTTATTAGTTGATCAATGGTGTTATGGCTTAGATGGAACGTGAAAACTACCTACTTTTGAATAAAGATATAAGTAGTAATATAAGCATATTCATAACAATGGACTGTCCGTCCTTCTCTCTAGCGTCTCTGGATGGGTTGACATGAGTAGGTTGTCCTTTGAACTGGAGCATGTCCGAATGGATGCTTGTGATATATCTCATTCCGATCTGAATTACGACGAACTCACAGTTGTACTGAGCTCTCACTATCCCGCTGCACCGGCAACCATATGTCTGCGGCTGTCTTGCTTGAGACTTTCAGAGACTGAGTCTAAGGCCTCTTCGCATCAGAAGTACGGACGACGTTCATACCATAAAATCACACGCGACAAAAAAAATCCAAAGTTGGTCATGACCTCCTTTTTTTGTGTCGTATCAGTTGGTATATACAGGCATAGTGTACAACGCGCTAACCTTGCGTGCCTTAAAATGTATCCCATCTCCCGCTGCCGGACGCAAGCTCCTTTTGAAAAACAATTCGACACGAAAGCGACCGAATCATCTACCGCTGCTGCGGGTCTAACCCAATGCTGACTCCCAGCCTCTTTCTCTCCAGAAACCACTTGTAGATGAAGGTATGCGTATGCAAAAAGGCAGCCGGCTTCCCCAGTTCCCACCGTCGAGGACCCGACCGCCTGGTATCCTCGGTAACAAACACCGCCACGACGCCGAAGACTGTAAGAAAAGTGGTACTGGAAAGAGAACGACACGGATTGTCGTATTTGACCGGTCCTAGGTGATGTTGATGATGATGATGATGCGAGGGTTCTACCGCTCACGACGATACTGGGTCTGGTGTTGCGAATCGAGAATCTCTATATCTAGGGCCCACCTAGAACAATATGAACGGTTGATTCTCGCGTATAACTCCAGAGATGGCAATCATCTACCGGCTGAAGTTAATGACAGCCAGCTGCTCGTTGTTAGTGATGTCACAGTTTTCATCGTGTAGTTCACTTACTCGACTGTTGGCTCCGTAGGCCAGTCTCTGTCCGTCGGCGTCCCAGCACAAGCAGTGCTCGTCCTCCTCCTCCGGCTCTGAGTTGGCCTTGGGGCTGAGCCAGCCTGGATGCGGTGCTCTGCTCCAGCTGGCACGCGGCATCGTATGTTCGCCAACCTTCCAAATAAGGATGTGTCCCGCCGTGGCTCCTGCAATGAAGGCACCGTCAGGGGTGAAGGCGACAGCCACGATGGGTGACTCCATCGTCAAGTAGGACTTCGCCTTCTGGTCGGGATACTTGGCGTTCCAAATCAAAATAGCACAGTCGTCGCCTCCGGTTGCGATGAGTCGTTCGTCTTCGTGTGGGTTCGAGTCGCCTTGCAGGGGTTGCCATTGCAGTGCTGTGATGGCACCGGTGTGAGCCGTTATTGAGCGGCGCTGGCCATTTTCATCCCAGAGCTAAAAGGTTGAGTGAGCCGATCTTCATAGCACAGGCGTTTCGGGATACTTACATCCAGGATACCCTTGTCGCTTGATGTGGCAATCAATTTTGAACGCCAGTCATAGGCAACTTGAGTGAAGGTGTCGTCCTCCCGACTCTCAAACTTCTTGTTCGGCAAAATGGCCGTCTCGGTGCAGCGCAGCGACATCATCACGTCGCCGCCGGTAAGCAGAAACTCCGTCTCGCTCGTCCATGCTGCGTCGAGGGGCCAATTGAGCAGGTCGTGATTTGGCAAGAAGTAGGACATGGTGTTTGAGGTCAGAGAGTGGTAGACGGTCACGAGGGCGCCACCATTTCCATTGCCGTTGCTGTTATCGGGGGCGATGGCCAAGAGGGCGGCGTCGCTTGGGCTCCATCGAAGCTTGATGACCGGAGGGTCCGAGACGTCGAACTTGTCGACATGAGAGCCATCCTTGGCCCAGATGTGAACAGCATACTCTGCCGCGACGGCGATCGCAGTTCCCCCCCAGTTCCATGCCAACTGACCAACGGTGGCCGACTTGGGCGTCTCGTCGTCGATGAGATTGTGGTACGGGCGGTGGACGCCGTGCACGTGACCGTCGGCGTCGGGAGCTGACACAGGCGTCATAGTGCTTGAACGTGAGATGGTCCAAATTCGGGCTAGCGCATCGGTTCCAGCAGCCGCCAAGATGGATGGGTCTTTGGGGTTCCACTCGCAGCGCAACAGAATGGGTGCATTTTCGCCGTTGGCTGGCGAGGGCGAAGCGGTACCGGTCGCTGGCATTGTCGTCGCGTCGCCGTCCTGCGAGTTGGTCGTGGTGTCATCGGACATTAATCGCAGAAATGTCGTTTCTGTCGTGAGTTCCTGGACTTTGTCGACCTGCGTGCCCTGCTCGGGGCCGTCTGTTCTCGGGGTAGGCGTTGGAGCTTGTTCGCCTTCCAGGGGCGACGGGTAGGCGTGGTTGTCCCCGTGGCTGTCTAGATCCATGGGGTCCGTGGCTGCATCCGCCCCGTTCGTGCTTTCGTACCCATTGCTGAGCCTGGGCCGCTTGCTGGGTGAGCCGCCATTCACCAAGTGCTGCTGTGGCCGGCTGTCAAGTTGGCGTTTTCGAGTGTTTTCGACCTCCATTTCCGTGTCGTCCACCTCCCCGTCCGCATCCTCATCCTCCTCGATCTTGTGAGGCGGTTGAGGGATCAAAGGCCCAAACAACCCCACCTGCAATGCTTCGGCTGTTGCCGTTGCATCTTGAGGCACCTGCACGCGCAAAAAAGTGTCAGTTTGCCAGAGTTCGCCCGTTGCCCACACCTCCGTCCACCCTTTTGTCGCCTCGGGGTACGCCGCCGCTGCCAATGCCGTCGTCACCCACGGCGCCGGGGGGAGGACGAAGTGCGAGCCAAGTCGGATGTGGATTGCCTTACCAATTTCTTTGCGTGTTCCCTCTCGAGGGCCTGGTAGAGGAGACCTTTGTTGATGATGGACACTAGCGCATGGCTCTTGACGTGATTTGCGAAATCAAACTGGCGATGAGGTTGCGGGCAATGCCACTCCTTTTGAAGCTTAACTGCGGTCTCGCGGTAGTCTGCAAACGTTAGGATAAAGCCGTGGGTCACAACCAGCTGTCGCTGGCTGGAGTATTGACGATCATCACATACTGCTCTCCAACATGTATCTGAGGTCGACACGTTAGCAATCCCGCCGGGGTTCGAGTCGCAGTGAGATGAAGATGAAGGCCGGCAGCGAGGGCGTGAGATGAGATTGAGGCGCGCAATTGTGTGTTCAGGCGTGCGGTGGTCGGTGTGGGTGAGACGCAAAAAGGGTGAACTCACCTCCAGATGAGGAAGTTGACTCTGTCCGAGTCGAGGAATTCCTTGGTGACCATACCGCGCGGTGCCGCAGTGGGCGGCGTAATGGGTGCAAATCTGTACGGGGAACCGATCAAAGTGTCGACGAAGTCCTCTCTGGGCGTCTTCCGGGGCGTCGTCGAGGGGAGCGTTGTTGGTAGAATCGCGTCGTCGATTTCAAGATGAGAGGAAAGATTGAAGATTGAGGAAGCCCGCAAGAGTGGATGAAATGGAAGGATGGGCGAATCTGAATCTGGCGGTACGTAGGCCCAGGTACCTTGTTTAGGCGAGACCAGGCGTGAGGCGTGGCGCTAGCGCCAGAAGGCCAGTCAGTGCCCGCCATTGAATCCAACTGGTCCTGCTTCACTCCCACTCGCTCGCTCTCCCAGTTCTCCTCCTACTCATCCAGCACAGCACAATCTTTAAAATCTACGTACCGCCTCCCTGCTACTCTACCTTACCGACTAGCACTTTAGCGTCCTCTACGCTCTTTCTAGAGACTGCGACTAGGACTGGGGGAGACAGAGACAGGCACTGACTGATGGAGGAGAAGGTGCGACTGACGGGATTGGCACAGTCACACATTCCTTAGGCACATACTTTCAGCTTCTTTTCGTCTTCTTTCTCGCCCAGTCACGACAGCGAGCACATGGCCGAGAAGGCCGGCGTTATCTGGCAGTCAAGAATCACTACTCACTCGTGATATCGGTTACGCATCTCCAATTCCCTCATCGATGTTGAACGGCGCAGCACAGCATTCTCCGCTTCGTACACACACGCACATACACGCACACAAGGCCAAGTCGCAGGACTCGCAGAACAGGGAAGCAGAGGAGAAGGGGACCAGCCCGAGGCCCCGGACCCCGGCCAAGGCTCTGCGAGTCCCAGGGAACGATGATGAACGAACCAGCGCAGCCGGCATCAACCAGACACAATGCCATCAACAACTGGGACGGGACGCTGGAGTTGGAGCCTTGGAGGAACAAAAAAACGACGGTACGTACCGTCTACGTCGGACGGGAGTGGAGTCGCCTCAAATGCATGACCCAACGTACTCTACCTTCAGCGTACCTTTGGGACCGTTCTCGAAATCCTTAATTCAGTACCGAGCCCTTCTGCTAGACCGTAGACGAACTTTTAGCCTTCTCACCTGTCGATCGATAGCGTTGGGGCTCGTGTTCGAGGTTTCTTCCCGAGGCCAAGGTTCATGTGAACCATCGCGCATTCGTCATCGCCGGGAGTCGGGTTATGCTGTGCTGTGTTGTGCTAAGCTTGAGCTGGGTAGGCCGGCTGGAACTGGGATCGAGAACTGGAACCCAGGAGGGAATCAGCAACGGCCCAGCGGCTGTGGTGCGGGCGGGCTTCGAGAAAACGATAATTCTCTGTTTAATCCCGTGGTCCCGTCCATCAATTTGTTGTTGTGGTCCATCGAATTTGGGGGTGTTTGGGGCTGCTACTCAAGACAGGGTAGCCACACTTGGAGGACTTGAAGGTGGCCCTGACACCCAGTCACAATGCCGCCCCTTGCGCCCTGCCTGAGGTACGTAGCGTCGGTATCGTCTGTCGTCCGTGTCGAACGTCGTCGGGTACCTTGCGCGGAATAGCACCTGATGTCCGGAGGACGTTCTGCACTTGGGGATTGCGTGTCGGTACGATGAAAAATGATCGAGCATGACTTGTCTGCTGCTCCGCGCTGCTGCTGTTGTGCTCTGCGAGAATGGCCCGTCTGCAGGCCATCTTCGTACTTTTGGCGTGGCTTATTTCCAGGGGCCTCCATATCCTTGATCGTGTCCCCTCTCATCCTCCGTGACGATCTTTACGTCTGGCCACGGTGGAGGAGGCAACGGCGTCGTCTGGAGACGCCGCTGCTGTGCGTGACCGCATCAAAAGACAAAGTAAAAAAAACCCTCGATCGTTTCAGGGGTCCTGAGCAAGCAAGACACTGTGGGTGCCGGGCTCTTCCTGGTAGACGGCCGGACAGCTGGAGGAGGGCTGGAGACGTTGAAGGTACATTGAAATGTACATTCGACATTTCTTCTCTCGAAATGCACGGATTGGCTGCCTGGGAATAGATGCGCCCCCCTCAACATCCACCTTACGTAAGGCGTCTCCCCAGTTTCCTGGAGCAAATGAAAACGAAGAAATGCCTTCAAATCCGCGCTAAACTGCTGTTCTTCTGACTCTTGCCGGGAGAGACTCTGCACAATCTGCCCACTGCTGCTGCGCGTTCTCGTCGGTAATGATGCATCTCGAATCAATCTCTGTACCACCAGTGATGACCTGCCTCTGTGCTTCGTCCGGTACGTCGTCCTCGTGCATCGTCTTTGGAGTTCGCCCTGATCCCCACCAGGCCGTTAAATGGAGCGAAAAGCAGAGGAAACCAGAGACAACCTGGAAGGCTTTCCCTCTTCTTCAATGGCGGCACCAAATTTGACTTCTAGGCCCCAAAACCTTGTGCTGGTCGCCGCCAAGAACCGTAAAAATAAGCAGCGGAAGACCATCGTCGGAAGCACCTCCGCAGAGTCCTTGCAGACAGGGCAGATATTGAGAGGAACTCAGCAGAAAGAAGCAATGAATGGCACCTGGACCTGGACCTGGCCGGCTTGCCTGCTTTCCTTCCCTCTTCTCTGGCGCGGATGCAGCGTGCAGCGCAGCGCAGCGCCGCCGCGTCCTGACGTCTCCGCCCAACCATCTCTGAAATGCGGCGCGGCCTAGCGTGATGTAGCTTGCCTTTGCATGCACAAGACGATACGTATTGTTCCTTCTCTTCTCGCCCCATGCGGCCACTGCCCTGGAGGCTAATGCCGAGAGAGGGCCGCGCCTCTTGGGGCTGCAGCCCGCGCAGATGGGCAGCGGTTTGTCGTCTGTTTCCAATTCTTACCCGTCATGTACGTACCGCCGAACCTTGAAAGACAAGGCAAGGTACGGTCCCGAGTGGGGGATTCCAATCATGACAGCAGCTGGGGGTCGAGGTAGTGTTGTGCAGCACAGAATGTCTCTGGGCTGGTAGGGCGGGTTTTCCAACGCCCCTTCGTGGCAGGAGGCATGTCGACTGGGGAAATGCCATCGTCGTTGATGCGACATGCATCGACTTTCGCGGTCCTCCCTCTCTCCCCCTCTTCCTCATCGACTCTCTTCGTCTCCTCGCAAGGTCGTCTCTTGTGTGTACGTGGCATTGCTCTTCAAGGGGCCTTCCCTGGCGGGAACCGCTGGCTGCTGGCTGCGAGGCGCCATCGGTGGGTGTGGACAAGGATGTAATGGCTGCATGGCCTTCGATCTTTAATAGCTCCGGGGACTTCTTCAGGGCCCCCTGCCACCGCTTGTCTGTGACCACTGGACACTAGCCACTCACACCGGCACATCAGGCCAAGCCCAATGGGACCTCGTTTTGTGGTCAAACTCCATCCCGTCAACGTTGGCCAACGTTTTGGTGTTCGGAAACACCCCTGGGAATGGCAGGCCGCTCATCACTCAGAGGCACCTCTCAACACAGAAGTCAATCCAAGCCATCCTGGCACGGACGTGACTGACGCTGAGGCCGATGCTCATGCTGATGCTGATGCTGATGCTCTTCTCCGAGACCGTCTAATCAATGGCGATATGCATCCCAGCGTGATGCCCGTCGGCCGCGTCTGGGGTATTTGTGACGGGGTTCGTCGGCCATTACCCGCTGGTCGGAAAGGGACGGTAAATTGACAGCCGTTGTGCATATGGACAAGCTGATCGATTGGGTGGCGACAAGACCTCCAAATTGACAATCTTCTATGTCGTTGATGATGCCATGGCCAAAGCAACGGCGTCCTTTTGCCAGCCGACCGAGCCAGTCTAGCCAAGCAACGAGTGATCTGGCTGCTCGTCTGGCGGTCCAAGGGGGCCCGTCCGAGGTTTGCGGCACCGTCCGAAGGCGTCCAGGGGCCATGTTCTCGAGTCAGTTTTACCACCTGAATGCTCACCAAACGTTGTCCTCAATTTGCGCCTGCGAGACCCGGAAAGCGTTTTGTGTCAGCGGCGGCATTCCTCGATGGGCTCGTCAGTCTGGCCGGCTTCTCAGAGCTGTCTCTCGTCCAAGCCGATCAGGAAGAGCAACAAACAAGACTTCCTGCCGAGAGGCCGGAAGGTGGCACGAGTGGGAAAGGGAAAAGGGTGGATGACGGCGGCTTCTGGCTGGCACGGCCGGGCTGGATTGGCGTTCAACCGAACCAAGTGCCCTTGGAGTGCCCTGCAGGGATGGAGCCACGAGATCTCCCCGTTTCGACCGCATCGAGGACTTGTTCGGCTCCACCAGTGGAACACTCCCACGCCCCCCTCCAAGCCCGTCCGTCGCCCTGCAGATGGAAAAACTCTGGGGCTTGCTTGTGCTGTTTGTGCGCCTGTTTTTTTTGCTCGCTGCTGCCTCGTGCGCCGCTTTCCACCTCCGAATCAGCCGAAAATCCGGGGCCGTGAAGCATGAGTGAGAATGATGAATGGCAATGAAAAGTAGGAGAACTGGGACGTCGTTAAAGATCTGACAAGTCGCGGACACCTGCGTTGAGAACGAGAGGGAGTCCGGGGGAACGTGGCTCGAAACAGCTCAAAATACGGGGCACGTACCGTATCCTCAAAAGGCTGCTGCTCGTGTCAATTTTGCTGGGAAGTTTGAACCCGCCAAAATGGACCGCGGGATCCAATCAGTCCCGTCTGCAAGGCCCGTGCGCTAAGCTTCAAGCTCATGTCCTATTTCGGCCTAGCTCGAAGTCTGGAATATCTATCTCCCGTCATCGAGCTCCACTGAAACCATGTGTCCCCTTGAGTGAGGCTCTAATTACGATCCAGATATCTGAGGGCGACAGGCGAGCTCGTCCTATCACGATACCCACCCTAAATGCGCTGTTGACGTCCGCTGCTTGACCGGAAGCTTTCCCCAAGATGCCGCCTCGAATCAATATTCCGCCGGTCACCCGTGTGCTGCTGGCCGTGCTCGTGCTGCAGTCCTTCTTGAGCGCCGCGATCCGCTATCGCCAATGGAGCGCAACCTCAGAGATCGTGATACCCTACCTCACGCTCATCCCTCAGCTCTCCCTTATTTACCCGTGGACTTTTTTGACCTCGACTCTGGTCGAAAACAACATATTCACCGTCGGTATCGCCGGCGTGACCATCTACCATGGAGGTAGATATCTCGAGAGAGCTTGGTCGTCGGCGGAGCTGGCCAAGTTTGTCGCCATTACAGCGCTGATCCCGAATACTCTGACCTTTGCGCTCATGATCGTCTTCTTCACCCTGACGAGAAACGAGCGCTGGACGTAAGCCGAGCTTCTTTGCAGTCGATACACCCCCCATCCGGAGCTCCGGGGCTAACGTCTGTCTGATTAGGTTGACCGTCATTGGCGGCACGATCCCGATGCAAATCTCCTTCCTCGTGGCTTTCAGCCAGCTTGTGCCGGCGCACACCGTCACCCTCTTCCGCGGCATCCTCTCCATGCGAGTCCCGAGATTTCCGCTAGTATACCTCGGCATCGTCTTTGCGCTCTCCCTGACGCCGCTCCTGACGACCGCCTCCTTCTCCCTTGCCCTGACGGGCTTCCTGACCAGCTGGACCTACCTTCGATTCTACAAGAAGGTCTTCCCAGACCTCGACGCCTCCCAGCCGACATCGATGCGTGGAGACGCCAGCGAGACCTTCGCCTTCAGCGAGTTCTTCCCGGCCCCCGTCAAGCCTTTTGTCGCCGCTCTCTCCACCCAGATCTTTGAGGTCCTCGTAGCGATGCGGATATGCAGCCCGTTCTCCCCCGACAACGTCCCGGCCGGACGCGGCAACAACTACATACAGCGCAGTGTCCCGGGCGGAGCTAGGGCCGAAGCGGAGCGGAGACGCGCGCTGGCTCTCAAGACCCTCGATCAGCGACTCCACGCGGCCACGGCCAACGCGGCGACGCGGTCGTCCCCGCAGCCCCCGGCGCAGCAACCCACGGGCCCGACGGTACAGACGCAACCCGCGCCCAACACGCAGACGGCCATGACCACCCAGCCGACGGAGATGTTGGGAGAGACCAACTACACCCCCGAGCAGGACTCGACCGACAAGAACGGCTCATGAGAAAGGGAAGAAGGAAGCGGGAAAGAAAAGCCTTGACTTTGGAATCAGTTGTCTTTTGTCATTCGGTTTAAACAACGGGAAAAGGGCGATTGGACAGGAACGAAGGATGTACTCTTTATGTGTGAACCGAGGGGGAACAACTCTAATTCGTCCCGGGTTTGTTGTTTTCTCTTTTGTTTCTTTCGGCATCGGCGTCAACAGATGGATACCTGCGCGAGAAAGTGTGCGGCCGGTGGCGGTCTTGGGATTATGCAGAGCGAAGAAACTTTACCCTCCCCCAGGGATATTGTAGTTTTACTTACAATGGTCGGGAATCGATGATGTACGTCTTTTAACACGGGAGAACCAGGAAAACAAAAATGTCTGTCCGCCAAAATATCAATCCTCAAGCCGGGTGCCGGTATCACTGACATCCGCGCGCAGACGGGCCCCGTCCGTTTCCCATGTGTCATCCTGTGCCCACGTGCCCTGCATCATGTCGTTTATGTCAGTCAGTTCAGTCCAGTCGTTCCTGCATTTCCCTTCGCTCCGCCCCGGTGTACCCCGAAGGAAAAAAAGAGGGTCCGAGGTTTTTGTTCCCGGCTCCGAAGAGGCCGGCCTTGATGGCTCCATAGAACGGACGGTCCGGTCCCGTCGTCTTACACTACACGGCCTCGGACCTACGTGAGCGAGTGGAGTGTTTGCTCAAAGGGCATTGCCTATGCCATTCTTCACATACTCCCATCAAAGGACAAAAGAAGGAGAAACAAAACAACACAAGAAACCCTCGGACGCTGTGTGTTTACTCTCATCCCGATATCGTGCAGGCCCCCCGTTTCCTCCTTTCTTTTTAGGGTTCAAGGTTTGCTACTGCTGCTGCTCTGCCGTACCGCACCCGTGCCGTACTTGTGAGGTCTCACGGGTCCGTGTGCGTGCGTGGTGTCGCTCTCGGCTCGCGCCATCCGCTGTCGGGTTTACCCCCCAAAATGTTTTCTTGGGCACGGAGGGTTCCTGTTATTCTTTTCGTGATCGCGGCCGCCGTTTGTGTGACATGATCGCCGGTCCGTGTGTCAGCAGAAGCCCGGTGTCAAGATCTGAATTCTCCCACCCTTCCTCCTTCCCCCTTTTCCCCAATCCCATGATCTGGGCCAAACTCCCGAGAAGAAAAAAGTCAAAGTGCGCCAATATTCATAATATCAGTCGAAGCGAGCAAAGAGTTTCCGTCCTTTCTGTCTTTCTGTTCCGAACGCACGTCCGCCCCATGGTGACGGCTGGCAGGTGCCTCTGTTTCTCCCCGATCATGGGAGGAAAAAAGATACCTGACCAGAAGCGCAAGGTTGAACGTCATGTCGTCCGGCCTGTGTTTTGAGTTTTTTGCGTGTGCTCGTACTTTTTTGGTTTTTGATTGCTTGTTTTTCGTCCGGCCGCTTGTCCGCTTGCTTCAGGGTCCGTGTTTCACTATGTTCTGCAGTGTTCTTCAGTGTTCCTTTCGCTCTATCTCCCCTGGTTTTATTTCCCCATTAGCCGTTTAACCCTACTTTTGCATTTGGTTTTTTCGTACCGAAGACGAAAGCTTGCACGGTTGTGATGGTTGGTAGTCCTTGGAGAGAGGACATACCAAATGCCAGACACTTCAAATCCCATTGCTTCGATCATTGATCACGGAAGGAGGAATGTGCTAATTCCAGAGAGAAACGAAACGAAGCCCCGGTACATTTCTGCAATATTCGCCATGCTGTTGGCATTCCCCGAAGCCACAAACAAATACATACTTTCAATACTGCAGTATTGGGCAGCCTCTTCTACCGCCCCAGCATTTAGAGTTGCGGGACTCGAAAACCGAGGAACGTCGAACCGTCGATCTTCTGGACCCATGCGTGTGTCAAAGGAAAGTAAAAGCACGCCGTACGGGTTGTGTGTGCGCGCGCGTGTGTGTGTCTCGCGCCCATCTGCCTCATCCCACCCTACCTCGACTCAACTACCCAAAACCGAGCATGAAGAGAGGGTGCAAGTGTTTGAGGGGTGCACGGTATATCACAGAGAATGCAGTGGCGGTCTGTTGGTTCAAACGAGACGAAAAGCCAAGAGGGCCAATAAATTACCGTGAACTGGCAGTTGCATTCGATTCTTCAAGCTGAGCCGAAATATTGTTTCTCCAAGATAGAAAACCATATCTCCCTCCCCCTTTTCGAGGAGATGTTTGGTGTTGGTGTATTATCCCGTCTCACCACATTTTAAGCTCTTCAATGATGGGCGCCGCCTCACCTCGAGCTCGAGTGGGATAAAGTCTGCTCATACGCCGTCGTCATGCAATCACTGGACGGTTAATGCTGTTGGGGAAATAGAAAAAAGGTACGATGACGGAAAACATGGATGTCCTCATTGCCGTTCCCCCCGGATGACGGCGAGATACCTCAGATGGGCGCGCGTGCGGGAAACTCTGGACATGACACATGAACGTCGGGGGCCCTCCCCTCTGCATGACACGGCCGTGGAGGAGGGTTTGTCATGTCAAGGAGCCCCTGATCGTCCCGTGTCGTTCTGCCTCCTCAAAGTGTATTGCGTTCTTCTCGTCAACCCAACGTTGTTGCGTCCCTTCTTTTTTTTTGCGCGTTGTATTGGCAAGCGAGCCGAGATTGTGCCTGTGTGGTCTCGGAATGTGTGTCTATGCATGCAATGGGTGCCCACGCACACACGCACGTACTGCTCCAACAAGTCTCGACACAATGTATTACGTATGTCTGGGGGAGCGGAGAAATCGGGAAGGGTTCACGGGGTTCACGACTCAAGATTGTGCTCCCGCAGATGATTGGCTTGGTGATCTTCTGCGGTCCTACGTCTATCTTTGCGGTGTTGAGTTTGCTTCAGCAAACGGACCACGGAAAAACCGAGCAATATGAACCAAGAGATAATACAGATAACACAGCAACGTGATTGGGGGCTACGCTGCCGGTATAAACCGCATGGGAAACGATGAAAAAAGCAACGGGACGCGTCAAAACGCCCAGAGTTGGGCACCTGGAATCTCGGGCCAATAGTCTGGAACACCTCAATCACGACGACGGCATGCGCCGATCTCTGGATACGTATCGAGAATGGCGTAGTGGTGCCTTAGGCGAGAGTGGAGATGGATAGAGGAGGCTTGGGGGGGCTCGGGAGGCAGGAAAAGAAGAAAAAATCGAGAGGGAAAAAAAGGTTTCTGCCGATGTTGCGTTAGCCGGCCGAGCCAATCACTGCCAAACCGTGATATTGCCGGGTTCACACAGGTTTGGCGTCGATGTGGAGGGGTGACGAGGGAATGGGATGCAAGCCCCACCATCAGCACGCCTTATTCAGCAGGAGCTTAACTGAAGTTTGCCTTGTCGGGTGCCTCAGATTCAGGGTTTCGTCGTGAGGTGGTGAGGCACTTGATTGTGTCTCTGGTTAAGGGTCTTCAGTATCGAGCATCACCGTGGCCCTGGCTAGAAATTATGGAACAAGTTTGTGGATTAATTAGAACTAGGAGTATATAAAGACTACCTATACTTTACCCTAACTTAGCCTATATATATACCCCCTTTTCTACCCCCTATAAGTAAGTTAAATATTATTTCCTCTATACTAAATAAGGCATTATAGTCTTTAGAGGAGCTTAATATACTATTAGTTAAATAGTTAATTAACTTTAGCTATATCTTTAAATATAAATAGTATTATTATCTATTTAAATATATTTTTAATTATATTAATTTTATATATTTATTATTTAATAAGGCTTATTTAGCTTTATATAAAGGTAGCTATTAAGAAATAGAAATTATATAAGTTAATAGAGAGAATAAAAGTAATATTCTAAATATTTTAATATATAAGTAAATCTATTACTATTAAGCTATTAATAAGGAATAAAGGTATTTTAGCTTAATTTAGAGATATATAAGAGAAAGTTTAATATTAACTATATTATAATATAATTATAGTTAAATTTAGCTCTCTTTATAGCTTTAACTTAACTATTAAGGTTTATATTATTTAGGTCTTTATATAACTCTATAAATTTAAAGTTTTTATTTATTTAGTTATAGTAAATAGTAGCTACTATTAAGTTTTTAATTCTTTTTAGTATAGAAACCTTCCTCGCCCTTAGGGGGCTCAAAAGGTTACTAGTGGCCCTGGCTGGTAGTGAGGAAAAAGCCTAGAGCCTAGAGAAGCCGCAGCCGCTAAGCATCTCCGACGAGATGAAAAAAGAACAAGACAAGAAGGAAAAGAAGACACCGTCGGGTGGGCTTGGCTTGGCTTGACTTGGCCTGGTGGGCTTGGCTTTTGGCGCCCGCGTTGATGTCGATGATGACTTGGCTTTGGCTGAGTCGGCTTCCCCGTGGCGCGTGCAGCCCCTGACACCTGTGGCTCGTGAGTTGACTTGTGCTTTTGTGGATTGGCCGCTGCCAGGCTTGGGCTGGGCTGCATCATCTGTCTCACCTTGCAATTCGTTCCCATGTTCCACAGCTCTCGCAGGAATGTGGAATGTGCGCCCGCGCAGCCGTGGCATTCCATATCAAGACAAATGCATCCGCATGTCAACGAAGTGGAGGGAAAGGAACCGGCAGAAGCATTGATTGGGAATCTGTTCTGGACTCCGGCTCTGCCTTTGAACGGCAGAGCTCAACGGCGAATGCTAAACCCAACGCCAAGACGTAAACATCGTGGCAGCGGTGTCGTGAGATGCGGGTGTTTGAGATGCCCGCGCTTTGCGCCCAGCCCAGCGATTCGATCTGCAAGTATCCTTGCGAGAATTCCTTTTTTTGGTCTGCTGGCTGGCTCGAGACGAGAATGCCAGTTGAGGCACAGATGGATTGATGGACGGACGATGGAGACGATGGTCTGGACATGGTGACAAACACGTAATGTGCCGTACTCGTTGTGTCGGACCAGGGAGACCAGTCCAATCTTGTCGACGTGGGAGATGGGACGGTTTGTGATGGGGGCCACGGGTGTCGGGGATAGGCTCGTCAACTCGTCTTTTTGGAGACAGGCTCACGTGT